GATATTCTATAGTACTTACAAAAGAAAATTTCTCTACATCACGATCCTGATTAAAATCAGTAAACCAGATTATATCATTTGAATAACAGACTTGCAATATGACAGCGCTATCATTTGCTGTTTCAAGAATCAGCCCATTGCATATTCTTCAATATAATCACAAGTTATTTAAAACACACACACACACACACACACACACACACACAGTGTTTTGGGGTGAGGGAAGTAGGACAGGTACCAAATTTTAGAATATCTTGACAGAATGCAATTAATCAATGACCTTCACATTTTCTAAAGTCTACTTTGGATTAATTTCCAAAACTACACACATTCGATAACTTTTACGACTGCTCTACCTTCTAGAGTGCGACATTTAAAGTCTACTTTGGGTTATCTGTTCCTCCAAATGATGTTCACTTTCAACAAATGAGAATCCGTAGTCAAATTTTTGTCAGCTGAATTCAAAATTATCATATATCCATATATGTTCTGCATTGATAAAGGATTTTTTGTCCAACTACTAAACAGGTGTATTTTGAGTGGTTATTTTTTCTATTGCTTAAACAACTTAGTATATCATTTATTGGTCAAGCAACTAATATTAACGTATACCAACAGATACATATATATAAATAAATATAAAAGAATACAAGAACAGGATATATATTAACATTATTGATTCATAAAAAGAATCCATAATGGAGTGAAGAAACAAAAGAAAAAAAGAAAGAAAAACCTTTGGAACCAGAATTCCTGGCTATATATGCAGGTTGCGAGGAGGGAAATACTATATACAAGCCTAATACAATAATTGGGACTATTTTGTGCAAAGTAGCAGCTCTCAGACTTGAACCACATCTCACGCTTGTTAGTATCCTTTTACCATTTCACCAAGCAATGGGCCTCAGCACCAATACACATGTATAACATAGCATATCGATTTATAGGGGCATGGAAAGTAATTTCTCTCTATGATACTCACAAAAAGATTTTCTTTATACCACAGTCCCTATTACTAATCCAGATTATATCATCTTGAATGACAGACTGACAATATGGCAGCTAGACAGACTTACAATATGGCAGCTAACATTTGCTGTTTCAAGAATCAGCTAATTGCTTATTATTTAATTTGGTACAGAAAACAATATAATTTCAGAAGTACGAATAGAAAAGAATAGGAAATAGCATGACCGCAGGAAATTAAATTGCAGTGGAAATATAGTATGAAGGTTCTGTTTAAATGATGTCAGGTAGCTAGATTGACAAAAGCAATGCAAGGAAAATGTTGATTTTGGCCTGAATGACATTTTATAGTGGTCTAAGCAGCGTAAGAACAGAAGCATTTGACTGTTAGGACTTTCCATCTCAAATCGCAACAAAATGCTGGAACAAACCCTGTTTTTGATAGCAAGTTTAGCAAATTTTGTTGAATAAGCCCTTTTTTTTGCTAGCATGTTTAGTAAATTTCATACACTATTGAACAATCATTCACACATAATTTCTATTAAGGGGATGATTTCCTTTAGTGTTCGGAACCATCAAGTACCAGAGCAGAAGGCATCACTTTGTTGAGGGAATTATCTCATTTAGTGTTTTGGTAACATAAAATACCGGTATTGAAGGGCATCACTTCCTTTGGTCTCTAAATGGCACAAGCACTCATATAGGTCACAAATAAGATAACTTTTAGCATGTTTCAAAAATTTACAAACTATGTCACAATGCATTCCCTGAAGAACAACAGAGAAGAATGCAAATTTTCAAAACCAACAGAATACAACAAAAATAAGTTCATTTTTATATGTAAAGCCCATATCTCTAAATTCTTGATACAGGTTGCAGCCATTGCCCAAAGAAATCAATGAAAAATAAAGGAGGTCTACTAAGGAAATACATGAATGCTTTCATCTAGAATACAGTATAATGGACGTACAATCCTTGTCATGTCACACAGTGCATGTGTTGATGGACACTAATTCAAGCAAAAGCTCAATTACACATTTATTTATTTTACCCGTAATGACAAGGCATTAGGTACTCATGATTTCTACTTGGAGGCAGCTAAAAAGAAGAATCACATTTTTGCACAGGAATTCAGAATTAAACCAGATCAAACATGCAGGTAAGACAACAACTATATACTTGAAAAGGAACAAACAACTATAATGCTGAAAACATGACTTTAATTGTGTATATCATATTCATAAATAGATACATCTACAATGAAAGCCAAAGAATTAATAAAATAAAGTTTAAGAGTAAATCGATGAAAAGACTATTTTTAACTCCCTAAAGCTGATTAAACCCCAGTGGACACATTCAGCTCTGTCAAAGAGCATCTTGAGAAGAATCTGAGAATTTTCAACAATCTGAACTGGTTTTCAGGTTAAACTTATTGATATTTAAATTCATCTCATTCAATTTACGCTGATTATAAGCATATAACATTTGGATTTAAATTAATTATGGACCATTTTGTTAACTTTGAGCTCATATCATACCCTAGTAAAAAGAAGGCAATGCTAGCCACATTTAGCAAGAATGCAAGGAGAAATTAACATGGGGATTTCATTGAAGAAATTAAAAGGGGTTGATGCCAAGAAGAATGAAAAACCATTGAATCAATGAGTTTGTATTTTAGTTCCACCTACAACTTGATGAAGGTGTATTATGCCCTTCAGTACCTCCTCCAAGTATGAATTAGCCATTGAAGGCACTAAAATAAATATCTTTCTTCTGGCCTATGGTAAATTTGTAATTATTAATTAGTTAGTTATAGGTAAATACCTCCAGCAAATTAGTCATTTAGTAAGAAAAAAATCATGCAGATAAACTGAAATCAAATGTAAATGCTATAGAACAAGTCAATAACTTTTTTTCATGCTTGATATCTTCACAGAAGCTTGGCACAATGATGTTCGCCCCTCATTTAATTGAAGTTCGTTCATCATCCTCATAAATAGTCTAGTAATAGTGAGAATTTGGCAATGCATCTCAGCATCTTAGATTGTAATCCTAAGAAGTCAACAAAATCAGACCTGATGATCAAGGCCGGTAAACCCTACGACTATAAAAAGCTATGTCTACAGCTAGCAAAGAATTGACACTAGTCATTAGTATGTCACACCTAACAACATATACTAGTTCAGGTCATGTTGTTCCTCGTGATGACAACTTTTGGTATTTGACTCCTTGTTGATGTTCCATTTACCTCTTTTGGAACATTTGACTTTTTACAGAAGAGAATGCCCAAGAAGGCAGTCACTTATCTGGTTGTTCTGCTTACACTGGGATGGTTGAGTCCTTTTGATATTTAGGGGCAAAAATCCAGGTCACTGCATAAAATTTACATCTAGGATGCCACTGGTATCATATGAAAAAATTCCATACATCAACTGAATAGCACATGCAAAGGTTCGACAACAATTGGGACAAGAACAAACTAAAAACTATTGACATGGTAGAGACATTAACGCTTCTCTTTTCCAAAAACATGATAACAATCTATGTTCTATATGCATAATTCGTTCATATAGGGCCAATATGTGGTGTACTGGTAAAAGCTCTGACTGCAGAAGCTTTAGAGCATGTGTTTGACTCTAATGGCATCTACCTTAACAACTCCCTCAGAGGAGAATTTCATACGGAAACAATAGTGCTTCTATATTCCAAAATCTAAGGAAGAAGTTTCTTGATCAATTATGTGACAGAAGTAGGATCAGAACACCTCATGATTATCACACTAATTAATGTCAAGAAAAACTCCACAGCACCAATGGAATTGCACAAAGATAAGTAAGCTAAAGTAAAAGGTTAAAAAAATAATAAATAAAGAAGGAAAGAGAGGCCATCAATGTTTGGAAGTTATCTGCTTTCACAATCAGTTAAAGCTTCTCCAGAAACAAGTGTACGACCTTCAAGCGAACCTGCACAAGGATAGGTACTTACAATACCATTTCCATCCAATAAAAATAGCAATTTCCATTACCTCAATATACAGGGAAAAGAAAGAAAAGAGAGAAGAAAAAAAGAACATGCGCTTGCATGTTTCTCTTTCTGCATCAACCAACATTGCTTTCTGAAAACGTTATTACTGTATATCAGTTCAATATGTTGTGTACTGGTAAAAGCTCTGACTGCAGAATTTTAGAGCATGTGTTTGACTCTAATGGCATCTACCTTAAAAACTCTAATAGGAAGCTTAGAGGAGAACATACAGCAACAATAGTGCTTCTACATTCCAAAATATCAGGAAGAAGTTTCTTAAACGATTATATTACAGCAGCCGGATCAGAACAGCTCATGATTATCTCACTAATTAATGTCAAGAAAAACTCCACAACGCCAATGGAATTGTGCAAAGATACCAACGGCCAGTGGTAAAGCGATATCAGCCTCTTACTTCCCAAAAGGAGGTAAGGGATTCAAGTCTCAAAAGAGACGTATGTGAGTTCCAAATAGGAAAAAAAAAAATATATATTTGTGCAATAAGTAAGCTTAAGTTAAAAGTTAAAAAAGAAAAAAGAAAAGAAGGAAAGAGTGGCCATCAATAGCAACATGTATTTATTAATCGTAACTCACCCAATTGCAATCTTAAAGTTTGGAAATTATCTGCTTCCATTACCTCAATATATGGGGGGTGAGGGGGTCACTTGCACGTTTCTCTTTCTGGATCAATTAACATATCTTTTAGAAAAACTTCTATTATTGTATATCAGTTCAACTGCACTTACACTTAGAGAGTATAAGCATTAAAAAGGAGCATATCAACAAAAGGAACCGAAAACACATATGACCTTTTTTCTTAGCATGCAAGGACAGAAACCTAATTGCAAGCTGTCAAGTGTTGACACCCTCGTTAGTAAATAATAAAGAAGGCTGAGCACATAGAGGCCAAATCCAACTCATGAATCGTAACACTAACAGCGTAAATTACATACACAACCTGCATGAATTTTCAAAATTAACTAATCAAAGCAGTTAAAAAATGCAACTAATTTAACTTCTGTAACAACACTTCTTTATTATGCATTCGTCAGTGTTGAATGAATGAATCAAGAAATTTACACTCCTAAATGACGCTTTTCTATATCTTGGAAAACAGTACATATCAGAAAGAGCCCCAAAACAAGAGCAAAAAAGAAACACTACAAGAAGGGTATAGCACAGTAGACTTATAGTTCCTTTGGCACAACAGAGTGAGTGGTCAGTCCTATTTCATTCTCTCTTTGATTATCTTCAACCCAACATACCTGTCAAAACAAACCAACAAATTAACCAACCCTCCCACCACCATTCCATCCTATAGCAATCAAATATATTCAAATAATGACAAACACATACCTTCCAAGCATCAATAGTGTAGCCTGGGGATTGGTCCCTGGCGATACAGTGAATGTCGAGCCATCAACAACTCGGAGAGCATCAAGACCAATAACTCTGAGATTACGATCAACCACCTTTCCCACGACACACCCACCATGGTAGTGCCATATGGTACTCACTGTGCGACGGCAGAAGTCTCCCATTTGCTGATCATCATTTTGATCATCAGGCAATGCCGGTCCAACGTATCTGAATTCCCGACCACCATACCATTCCCGGAACTTGAAATCATCCAAGGACCGGCTCCTCAGGACATCACTGACTTTGCGAGTGCCATTCACACAACGCGCTACATCATTTGGGTTGCTGAAGTAATTAAACTGGACAATCGGGTTAACCCTGATGTCTGTAGAAGCCAATCGCAGAGAACCTGAAGAGAGAGGCCCGGTGATCTTCAAAATGAGGGTGGCCACTGTGAGATACAGTGGTGAAGAGGATGATCTAATGAAAACGGACCGCGAAGGTGAAATGAAAGGGATGACATTGGAGGCAGCTTCAAGGTAAGCCCCTGAATCAGTAATGCCCACAACTTGTATGAGAGAATGGTCTAATGGAATTGGTGGCACTATTGATATCCCAGTTCTGGGATTGTCATAGATGTACTGTCCCACATAAGGCACATGATGCACCACCGGAATTCCCCATGACGAGAGGTATGGCCGTGGCCCAATGCCACTCAAAAGCAGAAGCTGAGGGCTGCCAATGGCGCCGGCACAGAGCAACACTTCACCCCTTTCGCGCACCAATGCGTGGTGGTATTGGCCTGTTTGGTCGCGATAAACCACCCCAATTGCTGTTTGTTTCGACCCAGAAAAATCTGAAGAAGATGCTAATAGAATTCTTTCCACGCTTGCATAAACAGCCACTTGAATGTTTGAAGATTTGGCATAGCTGAGAAGATCAGCAGAGCTGTGTCGTCGACCATAGCTGTCAAATGTGGAACCCCCAATCTTGGTACCCACCACATGATCCAAATTGAACCCGTTATACGGATCAACGCCGGCCTCCAACAGCCCATCTCTGACCGCCGATTGCCAGTTCTTGAGTTCTGGCTGGAACACAATTGCTCTCTCTACCCACTCGTAAGACTGATTCACCACTCGGAGATCCCAATTCAGTCCAGATCTTCTGTAGAAATCTTGATCGGCTCGGCTGTAAAAACCTGCATTGATTGCGCTACTGCCTCCAAGAACGCGTCCTCGGGCGTTAGGAACGCCGTCTTCGGAGGTGAAGGTCTGTGCCGGCGAGTCAAAATCGTCGACCTCCATGAGAGTGGTGATAAACCCTTCTTGGGTCATCAAATTAGGTTTCCCATATGCAACCCCGCCTCGTTCGAGCACCAGAACCCTAAAGAATTCCGACAGCGTCGCCGCCAATGGACACCCGGCGGTGCCGCCACCTACGATTATGTAATCGTAGTAGTCCTGAACAGGGAATTCTGTGGCGTTGAATACAAATTGAAGGTAACTTGGACCTGTAAACACAAAAATAGATTGAAATTAGTCCTGGGGTCAAGAAAAAGAACAATACAATGAATTAAAAGAACAGAGTTTGAAATGATCGAATGATTACTCTGTTCCGATTGAGCTGTGGACAGCGGAATGAGAGTGAAAATCATCAAGAACGCGAGGAATGGAAAGTAGAGAGTAGTGGGTTTTGAGGGTTTCGACATTATTGGTGATGGGAAAGCGCGATCAAGAAACTAGGGTTTTCTTTGGACGAAGAATTAAAGGCGAGTGGTGGAACTTAGCGAAAGAGAAGACGATGGATTGCGTTTCAGAGAAATTATTGTGTTATTGAGTTTTACAATGACCTTTAACACATTGGGATTGAGAGAGAGAGAGAGAGAGAGAGAGAGTTGTCAGTGTATTCGCTTTTGCAGAGAGAGGGAGAGAGTTGATAGAAGGAGTGTATCTTTTTGGTGGGAAATTCAGTTGGATAATCGTCAACGGAGCCTAATAACTGCTTCCGACGCCGTTAATAAATGAATTTCAATCTGCCAGCTACTTCTCTCTCTCTCTCTCCCTCACACACGCACACACACACAAACAACACATCCGAAAAAAGGAAAAAAAAAAAAAAAAAATAGTTAGATTATTCACTCTTTAATTATTCGCTTTGTAGTTACCACAGTGACTACTATATTTGCCAACATTTACAAGAAGTAATTGGTCATTTTGTTGAACATAGCAATCATTTTTTTTTTTTAAGTGAATAAATTATGATTTACTTTTTAATATATTAGAAAAAAAATTAAGTTCATACTCAGCCCAAGGTGTGGATTTGAGTGGCCGTGTTACATAACTTAGGGATTAATATGTCTCTTAATACAATCTCTAAATCAAATCTCTCCTTATTACCCTTTTATATTACAAAGCATCTCACTTATTATATCTAACTTAACAATCCTTTTCTCATTATTTATCCATGATAATTTTGGCTTGTGTGCTTGTGTTTGACCTTATCTTCTATATTAGCACGATTATACCCGTTGAAAATAATGTGATTAGATTTGAGACAAATTTTAGCTAGGTTTCAAACTCCTTTAAGATGCTTTGGCCCTTCCAAGACCAACACATAATTTAATTAATCAACAGATTTTTCTAATAATATAATTTTGTTTTGTCATCTTTTCTATGTAGCTAAATTTTTTTTTTAAGCTGAAAAATAATATGATGGTAGGAACGTCGAAAGAGTTGTTTCGTATGATATATTTGAAAACATGTTAACACAAGTCCAAATTTATTTACGGATTAATTACTTTAAAATTGTTTCTTCATAAATCTACATTTTTTTTTGTGACAAAGAGAGTTTTAACCATTGGGTCAAATGCAAGGCCTTTTTTTTTTTTTTTTTTATAATTATTTTTCTGCCAAATGACTAATATAAGTGTAAACAACATGATGAATGCTAAAAGGAAAGCAAAATGAAAATTAGATGAAAGAAAGTGGGATTGACTACTATAGCTTACTTAGAGAGTGATACATGATGGAAATAGAATTGGCTAGAAGTCCAACTCTCCCAATGAAACACAATGTCAAAGTTCATTCGCATTCTCATTTAAATAATTTGTTTTCTCGTTTGAAGGGATTAGTGTTTTTTTTTTACAAATATGTAAAAAAAAACTAATACAATTAAGAGAGAGAAAAAAAAAAAACCATTTTCAGCAAGTTTTTTCTTTTCATTTAAACACAATTTCAAAGTCAAAGCTATATATCAATTGGTTCATTCGTATTCTCATTTAAATAATTTTTTTTTCTGGTTTGAAGGGAAAAAAATGGGTTTCTTTTGAGTTAGTTTTGAGTTAGTTTTTTTACAAATATATAAAAAATATTAATAAAGTTAAGAGAAAAAAACCATTTTCAGTAACTTTTTTCTTTTCATTTTCATAAAATTGTTTTTATTTAAAAAAATTATTGAAATGTTACGAAATATCTTTGATTAATGGGTCTTCTAACCCCAATCAAATTTTCAGATTTAATTACTGAAAAAAAGGTCAAAATTTAAGTTAAATTAATACCGGTCATATTTGAGTTCCTCAAACCATTCCCGAAAAATTCAAATACATACCTTTTTTTAAGGAGCGCTGCCCGCTTACATATAGCTAGACAACCTCCTTCTTAATAGTCGGAACCTCTTTGTAAATTATTATTATTTTTTTTTACCCAAGCCCTTCTAAGTGTTGAAAATTTACCCAACCCTAGAAGAGTGAAAAAGAAATTGTAAAATTTAAAAATACCTGTTTTCGATCACAAAACAGCAATACAGAAAAACATGTGTAGACAACGTCATGTGTAGACAACGTCACACGATGTCACAAACAGCCTAAGGTAGCTGTCGCGCAAGTAGCAAGGCTACTCAAAGGTGTGGAAATGTGTTGGCTCTGATACCAAGTAGAAATATATAAAAAGAAGAGAAAAGAGAGAATTGCATAAATGCTTGAATGAGATGAATTACCCATTCACAACTCTAGTATTTATAGATAAAACGAGCACATGCTCATATTGTTCAAACACATGATTTGTGGCTATCATATATCACAGATAATATGGTAAATCACATCCCATGATTTGGGCCTATCATATCTCAGCTATTATGGTAAATTATACCATAAATCGTGGTTGGTTAGCGTTAGCTAACATAATGAATGTAGTTTATGTCCCTACATTTATAGTATGTAGGTCCCTCTTTTCCTTTTTTTTTTTTTTTTTAATTTATGATTTTTATTTTTATTTTCATATTTGTTCTATGCAAATGTGTAAAACCGTTTTGTCTTTTTTAATTACACTAAGTTGGTTAATAAACAACTAAAATTTAAATACTCAACTTGTATCATTCACAAAATCTTATTTGTGAAGCGGTGATACGTGAGTGACAATTTTTGAATTGAAAATGCTCAATTTTAAAATTTTATAGGGCAGATACATGTATATATATATGTTATGAAATAAGGATTGAATAGGAGTTTATGAGAATAAGATAAAAAATAAATGACAAGAAAATAAATAGGCACACACACAAACGAGATAAGAATTTACGTAGTTTGACTATGCCTACATTCACGGGGAGAAGACAGAACAATATTTCATTATGAAAATAAAGAGATACAAGGTAAAGTGGCTCACACCCAAAACTCAATTACACCCAAACTCTCTTACTCACTAATTGATATTACAAACTCACTCAATTGATTTGGGATGCTTCAACACCATAGAGGGCAAGGCTATTTATAACCAAAATGGGACACCAAAATGAGGCTACTTAGTGACCACTCAAAAGACTTGATAGACACACATTCTTGGATGCCAAGAATAAAGCTTGATGAACACATATACTAAGAAGATGATGTCATGGGTGATGCAAGCCTCAAATTGAGCCACATGTTCAACAATATACTTTTCATATATATATAAAGAAACACAATGACTCATTATTCACAAAATTATATACACATGTGAGGAATTTACACACTGCATAATCATGGTGAATGCTCTTGAATGATACTTTTCGTGGAATTGTGGTTGATGTTAATTTGAAGTTGAGGTAGTCATTTATGAGCGTGAAATAGTTCTTTATATAGGGAACCTTAAAGTCTAAGGACTAACATCTGTACAAGAGTTGCAAATTTAATGGCTAGGAAAATTCTGGAATTAGATTCTAAATAATCAAAAAAGAATATTTATGATAAATACAGAAAATTCTATACAAGTGTGAAAAAGTGTAGTACATTTTGCAAAGGTGAACATCATGTGAACAAATTTTAAAGTACTTTTTTCATTTCAAGGTTGTTGGCCAAGTCCCATAAAGTGAGAACGGAAGTAAGAGCGAGAGCAAATTCGAGAGCGAAAGAGTAAAAACGACAAAATTAAGTCTCAAATAGTGATAATTTGAGCGAAATCGCACGCATAGCATGAGAATGGGAATGCACTTGGAGTGTGAGAGTGACATCAGTTAAGAATGGTTGTCTGACTTAAGTTGTTGGTCTCTACTTTTTTTTTTATTTTTTTAAATTTTTTTTTCTCAGTAAATCAATTTATTGAATGAAGCAAAACACTGTTGTCAGCAAAAAAAAAAAAAAAAAAAACGAGGGACTAGCCCAACGAACAGGCCCAATTCAGGACAAACCGAAAAGCCCATCGAACAGGGCCAATGCTAGGACAAGCTCAGCAAACAAGCCCAATGCCAGGACAAGCCTACAAAAGGCAACCCAAAGCGCACCCACAACAACTGAATCTATAAAAACAAAAAAAACCTCCAAGTGGAGCAACAGGAAAACAGGGGACAGCCAAAACCAAGCAACATCAACAAACTAACTGTTGGCAGCAGAGTTGGCCATGAACTTGCTCGGGAGTCCTCAAATTTGATAGATAGAAGTCGATTTCGAACACAGTCTTCCATGAGCTTTCAGCACAGTCTCTACTTGTTAGTTGAAAGACGTTTGATTTCAAATAAAAATAATCAGAATGAGTGCAAGTACATTGAATTACAGCTCTTTACATTCATGATGTGCATGTGATGCAGCATTTCAGGAAAAAATGATGAACAACTTAGTTAAGTCCTAACATGTTCCCTCAAAATGGTTCGAGGGGCTTATTCATGAACTAAATCCATCTTCCCTTCCTTTAAGCAAATTGATAGTAGCACTTTGACGTGCAGGCTGTTCAAGCCATAGCAATCCTAAAAATCTCAAAAATATATGCAGCTGATTTGCTTGAGGAGGGCTAAGGGCCAAACCTGCTGTATGTTTCTGGTAATTTTAATCTTAACTTGGAGTAGCACAATAAGGTTGGCAGCTCTGGGACATTTGTTTTTTATATTTGGGAGCTCTTCGGGTAATTTTAATCTTAATTGGAATGTTTCTTTTGCCTCCGCTTTCCTCTGTCATTATCAACCTAAGCAACCAATCTTCTCCTGGGAGGACATTAGTTTTTTAAGATACCATAGCCTTGCATATTTCTTCCACAAAACAGAGGTTATTTCTTCATGTAATTCAACCCAGAAAAACCCAATCCTCGGAAATCGATCAAATTGTTGTTAATTAACTTTCTAAGTGGTTAAATAATCAATTCAATATTTCTTAGATATTTTTTAATGATCAATTACAAAATTTGGTTATCCAGAATCTCGTCCATTCCTCCAAAAAGTTTTTTGAATATAATTTTAACACTGTACCCTCATCTTTTTTTCTCTCTTTATCTCCACAATGATGAATGGACGTAAGGAATTCACACAATACACACTTATGTGTATGCTGATACCTGTCATAACTTTGTTACCATCTGCTTTTTAGGTAAAATGGTTTTTATTAGCTTGAAGCCACTTCTTTATATAGGCAACGCATTCAAGTCAAGAACTAAGATCTGTCCAAATTTAATGGCTAGGAGCGATCTGGAAATATCTGTGATATTTAAATGACACTAAATAAATGTATAAAATTCTATGCAAGTCTAAACAACTCTGAAAATTTGTAAAATATTTTGGTGAATATCATGTTATCATGGGTGTGTGATTTATGACAATGTAAACGAAATTTAATGTACTTTTTTCATTTCAAAGTGGTTTGGTCTCTACTTGTTAGTTGATAGATGTTCGATTTCAAAAATATCAGAATCAGAATGAGTGTAAGTATAAGAGCAAGTGCAGTTAAACGAATATAAAGTAGTTGATGCAGAAAGAGTAGCATGCGTCTGTTTATTTGCTCTTATAACAGGATTTTGGAAATATTGGTTTTTCGTTGGGAACTCCTGCCGAAATTGTGACCCGTGACATCATGAACACATTATTAGGCCCAAGTCAAGAGAGCCCATAAAGCCCAAGACATAGAGGTCAAGAGAGGGGATTAGAGTTGAAGGAAATTGGGGATAAATAGGGAGAGAAAGAAAGGAGGTGGTGTGTGAAGCAACTTTTTGTACCTGCACCTTATTGGGAAACTAATTACCAGAAAATTTACTGAAAAAATTACCCCTTCAATCTAACAAGCAACATTTGTATCAATTTTTGTTAATAGACGGCAAGCGCGAATGCGTTTTTAAATTTTTGTTAATAGACAGGGCGTCTCGCACCCCGCTACCGGGGGAAGCGCTCGCCAACCCTCTCACAGGGAATGCTGTCTCCTTCCTAAACACCCAACCCCAACCCTAACAAGATGTCCAATGAGCCACAAACTATTAACAAGCACGGGCAATGTACCCACACCACCTTAATAATCCATCATACTAGAAACAACCACTGAGGGATAGAAATTACAAATAGTGGCGTCCATCCTATAACTGGATTTCCAATGATCCATGGATGATGCAGAAATCACAAGGAACAACCATCATACTAGACTGTCCCAACATTTACAAAAGCAACAACAAAAACATTCTCCCAACACATTATAGAGAAATAACACAATCCCATTAAAGCAAGAAGCAATCATCTAAAAAGATGATTGGAATTCCATTTAGAACCAACAACAGTAGCAGGCATAAGTTTTGAGCAAAAAAGCACCTCCATTATTGCAAGTTAAAATTCAAGGCAAAACCAGTATGCATGCATTGTCTGCACTGATGATTATGCATTACAAAGCCGGTGTATTCATATAGAATAAACTTATGAAAGCGAACTACAGGTTTCAATGGCTTTCCCAGCAAGAGACTTGCGATCAAACTCCCCACATCATTCTTCCCCGGTATCCGAACGAATGGCTGACAAAAAAGAAAAGAAATAATTCATCAGAAAACAGAGACTTGTACAGGTCGTGGAATCAAACTATAAACTAGATTGAAACACATAAATGAACATGCATTTGAATCATATCAAGGCTTGGTCAACACAAAACCTTGGGACAAAAAAAAAAAAAAACACATAAAACCTTTACCTACATATGAATGATGATCAGTCGAATCATCATTTTTCCATCTACCACATATGAGCGGGCTCAGTCTCAAACAACGAAAGATTATTTGAGAAAGTCTATACTCCCTTAGACTGCATCTCACATACTTGATTTTCTTTTCCCACAAACCCGCTCTCACAAATGGAGGTTAAAATAATATTATAACATTAAATTGACAACAGGTAGAAATCAATTTTTTTTTTCCCTTGGCATGAAACACAAACCCCCCGTTTGTCCCTATGAGAACTTAACCCTCACCTCCCATTTTGGAAGGTAGAGGAGATACCACCAGGCTACAACCCTTTTATTCCCATTCTAAGTATTTTTTTTCATCAAAGGCAAAACTACACCCACTAAAACATTAATTAGAGGGTGTCATAAAAATAGTGCAGGGGCCACCCACAAACCCCCCGTTTGTCCCTATGAGAACTTAACCCTCACCTCCCATTTTGGAAGGTAGAGGAGATACCACCAGGCTACAACCTTGTTATTCCCATTCTTAGTATTTTTTTCATCAAAGGCAAAACTACACCCACTAAAACATTAATTAGAGGGTGTCATAAAAATAGTGCAGGGGCCACCCAATGGTTAAACTGATATATCCATGAATGAGCCCGCCAGCCTTTTGATTGTGTGTACAATAATTATTTCAGGTGCTCTATAATCCTTCAATCTCCTCGGTCAGTATATCAGTGCCTATAGAATATGTTACTAGTGCTTCCATGATTTCTCTAACAACATGCTCTAGCAGAAGTGTTATTTTCCAGTACAGACAGGTAAGATACATTAGAGGCAGGCGAAAGGACCCACAATTTAAGCTGTTAAGTTCAGTGAGAAGCTCCTCTTCAATGGAAATGATAGTTACGTTTCAGTAGGACATGATCAAGAAAGGGAGCCCTTCAAGTGGCATCAAATTTCAGTATAAGCATACTAAAGTACTACGATGATGACACAACATAATAATATGAATAGGATCTGTAGCCGCCAGCCCATCATTCAGAATGCAGATATTCAAACCCATTTTGTGGGATTTTCTCAATTGCAACCAATTATGATCCAACAGTTCAAAGGTTAAAGAAGTAACTTGGTCAAGGTTAAACTAACATGCATGATGAATGTTAAGCACTAGCATTCACCAAATGGACAAATTCGCAAATTTTTTACCCCCAAAATAAAGAAATATCAGGGCCTAAGGTTCTAAGTCACCTTAGTATGAGGACAATAGCTCCTGGATTTGATGTTCAAGTTTCCAATGGCACAATCATTGAATACAATAACGGTAAAAAGTATAAACCTCATCCTGTGATACTTGGTAATTATGAACAAATTTGCAATTTTGTAAGGTAGAATGGCAAATGTAAAGCAAATGAAAGAATTTTAAATGACTTTGACTGGAACCTAAGCACAAGGCATGACCTAAGGCTAAGGGTTCCTGGAACCCAACTGAAAGGGGCAATGTAAACCGCAGGCCTGATTGAAGTAGGGCACAGAAGCAATAAAAATGAATATTAAATATAAGTGTCAGAAAAAAAAATGTAACACAAATTAAGTCAAGATGAAAATATAAGAAATTTTCACTTGTCAATTCAATAGATTAGTACATATATCCTTTTAGTTTGCAAATGAATTCAATTAAATAAATGTACATTCTAAAAATCCAAGATATGCAACTATGAAAAAGTTTTCTACAAATGGAACATGATGCAATGTAGAGCGTTTAAATTCATGATTTTCTTTACTAAAATCGTATCAATGAATGATTAAAAAATAAGAGATGCACCTTTTTAAGGCTTCAAGCATGCTAAAAAATGCAAATATGAGGGCTTTAAGTGAGCCAGACTTAAGGGGCTTGGCCTGTTGTAAGTTGAGGTGCTTCAGCTAAGCTTTGATAAGCCTAAAAAAGTTTTTGGCAGGCAATCCTTTAACAACTATGAGTCCACTAAAGAGCACCATGGAGGTGAAGTGCAAGCAGATGTCATATGCAATAATCTAAAGAGAAGAAAAGAACATCTAACTACACAAATTCTCTAGAGAATCTATAATTCCGACAACAGCAACAATCTCCCGAAGACCCACATAAATGACATGTTCAAAAAGTCATGCATCAGATTAAATGCCAGCATATCGATTCCCTCAAGCAACCAACGGTCAGGGCACCAACACTAGGTTAAAACTTGCAGGTAAATACTGATGCTGAAAAGTACCACACTGTAAATTTAATATTTGAACGGTCCCAGCATTCTAGCTATCCTAAATGCTGGTGCAGACTGAATTGGACTGCTGATCACCAGAAAATTCAATCTCACCATGACTGTGCTCCTACAGATGCTCAACTGACTCTGTTAGGTACCAATACACCAAAAGATATAGTCACTAATAATGTGAAAGATGAAAATGCTCAATCACTAACACAAAAACAATCCAACAAACCCCATCTATCCACTACAATGATAAGCCAGCTTGGATTCCCAAGGCCAATGCAATGGTAAAGATCAACGGGAGTTAAAAGATCTCATAGACCCAAACTCTCAAGGAAACAAATATACAAGAACCCCTAATAACCACTTTTCACTCCAATGCCTTTTCACTTTATTTCATTTCATTTTATTTTACTTTTCAAATTACTATTTTCCTTTTCTTTTTCAGGAGGCAAAGAATCCAATCTTCCTCACCAAATTAAGTAACTAGACAAAAGATTGAATTTATTAGACTTTCGAAGAATTCCTATAATTTCTCCAGTAAGAAATCCCAGAACTTCAACTCAAAAAGTGCACTGTGCCATCTCACCTTACAACTCAAGACAAAAATCAAAACCTACAGTCCTGAAGTCCATTCCAAAGTTGCTTTCCTAAGTAAAATTTAGACTGCAATGTAGGTTTAAAAGTTAATAGTTGTGGAGATGTTAACAATATTTCCCTGCTTTTTTAGTTTGATACATGGATATGAAGTCTCTTCCTCAATGTTCAACGAGTAGCTAATAATGATAAAGAGATAATATATATTTAGCTAAAATAGTAAAACTATAAAGAAGAACTAAAGGCACTTAATCACAGTGCCACCCAACAGACCACATTTTCTCACAATGATGATGAGCCTTCTAGATTACCTCAGGCCACTATATAAAAAACGAGCAACTGGAGTTAAAATATCCTGAACCAAAACTCTGAAAGCAGCTAATAAAAAAATTACTCAGCACCAATTATTCAAAATAAAACTATTTAGCAAAGAAACACTTTTGATTGAGACCCTTTTATCTTCCTCCTTGCCACAGAGCTAGAAATTGAATGACTGTATTCAACTCCTCAAGCATTACTTCAATTACCACAGAAGAAAAGAAATAGACTATGACTGAACAAAAATGGCAGTCCAATTAGGTACATTCTGGCATATTTTCACAGCGTTTCTTAAGGCCCAAAACATTCTCAAACTGACTCACAAACATTTCCATAATTACAATTCAGTAAGCATTGGAACCCACACGGAAGATACTATTCCCCTTCCATGAGCTAAAGTGAAGAACCAACTAAGAAATACTTCACATTTGCACCAAAACTAGATACCTAGTTCACACACACACATATAACATCTCAAGTTCAAAAAAATATAAAAAATAAAAAAATGGAACGACAACTGCCACCATCACCAACATTATATTCATCTCCAACCATGAAAAGACACTAAAAACCCTAGATCCAAAAATCCATACTTCAACAACATCATAAAGAGGCCATTAAGACAACAAAATCCATACTAGATGTTACAATGTAATCCAGAATCTTATTAAAAATAAATCAGATCATTAAATTGCAAAAAGTAGCCCCAATCGAAGGTTAAAGAAACCCAAGATCCGGGAAAAAAAATATAATAAGAAGAAAGAAATGACTATATACGTGTGTAAATGTGTATATATAGAGAGAGAGTGATTACTGGCTTTCTGGGGTTTGCCATTGGCCCATTTGGAGACTACAAAATGGACCTGCTCGCGATTTAGGGCTTCGGATCTGTGGGGCTCTTTGAGGCAGTTCCTCACCATGTTGGCGCAGATGTTGGAGTACGTTATGTAAGTCATTCCCGCCGCCCTCCAAAACGGCATCGCAGCGTTCGACGCCATTTCTCTCTCCCCTCCTTGCTCTGATAGCTTCTTCTCTTTCCTATTCGATTGTATCCAACACAAACGCTGACCAACCTAACTTGTTCTACACACGGACAATGAATGAGATAAATAGACCACAGTTAAGATTGGGTCGGTCAGCCCGGACTAACTCAAGTCGAACCTGGTTCAGACGGATAACTTAAGTCACATAAAGAGAGAGAGGGGAAGCACGAAAGCGGTAAAACTGCGGAGCATGAAAACAGGAGTGCACTCAAAGCTTAGGAGTAGGGGTGGCAAAAATTGACACGACCCGCCAACACGACTAAAATACGATACGAGTTAAATGAGTTTGGGTTGATCTTAAACGGGTTCGAGTTATAAACAGGTCGACACGATTAATCCGTTTAGTTAATCGTATCGTGTTTGAATTGAGGGGTTTATCCCGTATAACCCGTTTATACAAGTTTAACTATATATCGCGAAAATAAATTTCTATTTAAGGTTAAAATTATTATATAAACTTGTGTCTTGTAATCTAATCTTTTATAAACTAGAAACTATTTAATAATTTGGTTGATTAAAACTTAGATTTTTTTTTAGTATTTATTATTTTATTGAGTACTATTAATAATTTAAATAATATAATTTTTTTTTTTTTTTGTAAATAGGTCATTAAATAAGTTACATGTGTAATCCGTTTAATAAACAGTTCGGGTTAGTGTTGAGAGTACCTGACATGATTATTAAACGGGTCATGTTCGAGTTGAGTTATTTAGTATAATACCCTTAAATTGATACGACACGATTACGATCCGCGAACACGAATTGCCACCCCAACCTAGGAGCAGTGCCCTTAGGTAATAACTAATACTAGGTAACTCTTTTTATTGGTCGGGTCGGGTTTCAGCATTTATATTGATAATTGTATGTCACTGACCTTATTTTTAGATGGGTTTGGGCCGCTTGGCACCTTTCGAACAATCTCAGACCAATTTCAATTAATATAATGAAGTGATCGTTGAAATATTAATAAATTTGAACAAGTTGAGCAAATATATATATAACCTACTCCAATTATTCCAACTAATCCAACTAACTTAAAGTATCCTTTCCCTTTTATCTTCTTTATGCATCATTTTTTTTTTCTTTCCTCTTTTCCATTTTTTATTTTTTTTAAATTTAATTTAATTTATTATTTTTCTCTCCTTATCATTTTCTTCCCTTTTCTCCAAAAGAGCGCGCAGATTATGAATTTGTGAGTAGTAGTTAGTTCAGTACACTCTCCTTGGTTGGAAAATGTAAAAGCCTACATTGGTTGGAAACTGATATTCAAGTTGGAAACAGGCCTTACATCAACAATACTGCCCAAGATTACATATACTTGGTTCTCAAGTCAAAAATGAATGATATTCAATTTCCCAGTTATGATGATCCAAAAGGTACAATAAAATTTATAACCAAAAAATAAAGAAAAAAAGAAGATTGTGGTGTGCTGCTAGACAAGGAGAACTCCATTGATACAACCATCATTCTCTGGATTATTTGTCACTTGCGCATACTTCCCTGCCATACATCATGTATAAACAATAAAGAGTAAGATATCATAAAAGGGAAGAATGAAAATTACAATGTTCATAAGGACGATGACTATCTCGATACTTACCCCATACAACTTTTCCAGCTGGTGTAACCAGACCCAGTTCACTGACATTCACCTAAAAGTCAGGGTAAGAATATGTTACTGATAAAGAAGAAGACACCCGAATGAATTTCTCATCATAAAAGACACTAAAGCAAAAATTACCTCAATAATGGTTCCTTTAGTCATAACACCAAGAGAGGTATACATTGGACCATTGGGATTCTTCTTCACTCCAATTATCTCAAGATTGAAAGTACATTTGAGCTCCGGATGCGTCACATGTGCTTTCGTGAATCGCAAACCGGTAGGACGGATGAATCGTTCATACTTGGGAGGTTTCCTAGTAAAGCTTGGTCCCACAAATGTGGCTTTGGTGATCATCCTCTTCCACTGCTTGGCTGGAAAAAAGGAAAACAGTTGTGAACTGTCCGAAGCATAACTCGAGGAACATGTATGTGTTTCAACTTTTCATAATCTCCCTTTCTTTTTTTTTCCTTGACAAGAACCTTTTCATAGTCTTACGAGGCACAAACTTGCCTCGTTTGAAGATTCATATATGCTGTCCTAGAACAAAGTCAATCATCATAACTAGCATTTATATATTTAACATGATCCACGAATATGGAACCCGATACAATTTTACTTGGATTATTAACCACTCAAATTGGAGAACAGATACAAATATTGTCGATTGATGAATTTCAGTTGGGGGACCTAGAGTTGCAAAGCCTTAGCACTTGGGGCTGCTGTTGAACCCAGATGATTTTTTTTTCTTTTCTTTTCTTCTTTTCTTTTTTCAATGTATAGAACTAACTGAATCATAAAGGAACTTCTTCAAAGGAAGATTGATGGTTGATATAAATCTCTGTATCAAGCTACTCTAATCTAAGAAAGGCTTCAAAAAGCAGTAAAGCAAGCACTGCAAGGAAAACATCCCCACTGCTGGTCTCCATAAATCCCAAAAATAGTACAAATATCTTATTCTGTTAGTGAAAAATGATTCTCAGAAGAAGACAACTGATAAAGGAGAATTAGCAACCAATGACTAGGATTTTCCAGAAATTTCATTGGCCTCAAAGTATACAAAGTTGATGGCAGAGATAAACAACTTCAACCACAATTTGCATCATAAATTTAACACAAGAAAAGGAAGTTACCAAAGGAAGACAACGTGAAGAATACTTACTTTTTCTTTTACCAGACCTGATCACTCTAAACATCTCATCTTCTGCCACAGGCCGGACCTGAAAAGTTAAAACAGCTAGCATTTAAGAAGTTTGATCATTAAAAGTGCGTACTAAACAGACATCTTACTAAGTAAATGCATGAAAATCCAACATGAAATTCTGATTATTCCCAGATAAAAAGCCAATTAACTCAAAACGTACCAAGCAAACAGTAATAGAACCTATATAAAAACTGAATACAAGGTGGAAGAGCAATTTGATGATCATTTCACAATTTCCCCTAGTGTGTCACACATTACAAAAAGGCCACTTGAGAAAAGGATAGCAGACCTCATTGAAGTCTGACAGAATGTTCGTTCTTTTCAATTAAGGTGACTGCTTGAAATGCTCATTTAGTTCAATTTCATATGAAATTAGCTCCACGAGGTTAACTGGGAAACCTGACTACATATCTCTTTATACTGTTTGGTTTTCCCGCGGTTGAATAAAATATAAAGGAAAACTATAAATTGCACAGCTGAAAGGACTTCCCAATCTTGTACATGCATTGAGAAGAGGATAGCTTCTTAAATCACGTGTATTGTACAGTCGTTTACTAAACTTCACACTTCACTCCCAAAATAAGAAAAATTGGTTTTTTCCTCTTTTTTTTTTTTTTTTTTTTTTTTTGGAGAGGAGGAGGGGGGGGAGATCAACATTTTGATTAAAAACCTAGCAGCAATTGCTGATCATTCAGTGCTTCACATTGCTAGATGCACAAGGATGGTCCAATGTATGCAAGGAAAAAGTAAACAAGACATGCAGGATATTCAAGATAAGCTGAACTATGAAAAAATTGTGACTAATCTTACCTTGGGTAGAGGAACCTCCCATTTCCCAGCTTTCTCTTTCCTCTTCTGCTTTATAGTGTTGCTAAGAACCTACATACAAGACAATGTCATATTTAATAACAGCATGAATTCAAGTACATTTCTACTCAACAAAAAAATCTAAAGAAGAGAAGACAGTGAAGCAATCCAATCAACCAAAGTAACATACCTTTGCTCGTGTTGTTGTTTCACGATCAAGCAGATAGGCAGGGACTGCTCCTTCATGAACATCATCATCCACCTTGCGCCTAGTTGAGGATTCTTCATGCATAGCTAATCTGTTGACATGATAAAAGAAAATTGATCCACAAACGACATGCTGGTCCATAATACATTCAATGAAGAGAGTGGCAATTCATGACATGCAAATAGAAAATAAAGCAAATCATAAAATGCACAAACACAAGACAATTAGGTTAGTGGCACCACTATAATTCTTGAAGCAAAAGAAATCCATAGTGATTCTCAACTCAGAGGAAAAGGCATTAAGATATTCAAATCTCATAGGACAGAAAATAAAGTTTTAAGTATGAATAATTCTTTACAAAACTGATTTAAGAGAGAGATATATGAGCCACCCAAACTTCATCATAAAATATCCATCAAAGAGGAAGTTGCATTGGAATTTCATTCTTTTTTCAAAAAAGAAGTTTTTTTAGATATTCAAAAAAGAAGTTTTTTAGATATTCCTTCCTCAGGAACAAATAGGGGAAAAATGAATATAACCCTGAATTAGTTTCTTACATGCCTTATGATCGTATCTTTGATTGATGTTTAAGCATGAGATATTCTCTCTCAAATTAAATAGGGGAAAAATGAATTGTGTATAGAACAAACTCATTAAAATCCTAGCCCCCACTAAAAAATTGACAACAAGGACCCAAAGATTCATTCTCCACACTAACCCTAGTCTCTCTTAATTCCGTTGATTGGTATAAGGGACGGAAATTTGGAAGGAAGGAAAGGCAGGAAGAATGGAGGAGGGGTCTTTCCTTCCTTTTATTTATTTAAGCATAAAGTAAAGGAATAAGACGGGTTTCTAATAATTTCACTATAATATCCAAGGGAAATACACACACACACACACAAAAACATATCGCGGGGAACACTTTCCATCATCCTTCACTCCCACTTCTGAGTAGAGAAGGAATAATGCCGATCCGGAGGGAAAGACCTTTCCTCCTCTCTTTCCCTTCCAACCCTTTTTCTGCTACCAAAAAAGGGCAAAGCTATCAACCCCTCCCCTTCACTTCCCTACATTTCTTTCCTCCCACTCTTCCCTTCTATCAACCAGACCATAATAACCCCCACATGTAGCATCTAAATAAAAAGACGATCTTGATTTCTATTTTATTTTTATAATTAAAGATGCTCTTGATTGATCAGCACTAGAATGAAAAAACTGAATCAGCATTAACTTCAAGAGTCCAAAAATACACAGAAGCTCTCTGCTTGCCTTTGGCAAACTATTGAATATAAATATATATAGAAACACACACTCAGCTTTGAATTTGCTGTCTCGGTACTCAAATTCATAATTTCAGTTATGCAAGCAACATAAATATTAGAGACATATATTTAAGTTAAAGACCAAATAATGCACTATAACAGGCCATTCCTAACACTTCTTTCCTCTTATATATAGCAAAGAAAATAAAATCACATTAATTAATAAGTAAATAAACTAAACTCATATAGTATATGTGGGAAAGGAACTCACGTTTTCTTCATTTGAGCCTTTTCAGAATATCGTTTCTTAGCAAACATCTTCCCCTTGATACCCAATGCCTGTTCCATTAAAATTAAGCACACGTTTAATAGTTTTATACATGAAAATACACAAGTACATAGCTTTTATGATACCAATTAGACAAGTATATATAGAGTTTGAGAATTGAAATTGAACCTTCTGGGCGATTTGGGATCGCTTGTGAACTTCGCGAGCCTCTTTCTTGCGTTTGCGCTCGAAGTGATCAGGGCGATAGCCATGTCTCTTCCTATGCAGGTCGATGTAATCTCCTTGAGGCTTAAAAATTCAGACAACAACAACATAAAATTAACAATTAGTACAAGAAATGTAATGACTATTAATCCTCTAGGGAAAGATTAGCTAAGGAACGAACCATCGCCGACGACGAAGATTTTAAGGTTTTCTAGAGAGAGAAGACTTGACAGATAAATGGGGTTGAAAGTAGAAACCCTAGTTTCCGATGGTGTGAGGGCTTTTGTTTCCGATAGCAAGTTAGAACAAGAAGACTAGGGCTGCAAGTTGGGTGGGCTCAACCCAGCCCAGTTCCAACCCAATCTCAACCCGAATCGAGTTGAGTTGGGTCAATTCGAATTGTACTTAATATGGGTTGTGGTCATAACCTGAATCGAATATTTTCGGACGGATTAGGTCGGGTTGACGGGTTGAGTTTTTTTTTATATATATATAACTTCTTTTTTTAAAAAATTTATATATATTATATTATATTATATATTTTTTATTATATTATTATTAAATATATATATATATTTAGGGCAAATCGATTCAGCCTCCCCAATCGCCGCCTCCAACTCTATTCTCTTTCCCAACTCTGAACTTGCCTTCTTTCTCTTTCTCTCTGCAACTGCAAAGTACTAAATCTACAAGAATCATAATTTCAAAACCTATATATTTCAATTTATCTATCTGTTGCAATAATCAAAAGTTCAAAACCGAATATTCTCAGTGTTAATTTTATTTATTTATTTTAAAACCCAGATGTGGTTCCTCCAAATCACCACCACCACTCGCCAGAATCTGATGCCAACTACAAAGCTCCTCCTCCGCCGCCGCCACCAGAAGAAGAAACCGTTAAAGAAGTGCCCTGCGAAGGTCTCAAAGAGACGGCCGTCCTCTGGCAAAATCGCCGAAGCGAGGGAGAGGAAACCCAGATCTCCTGCGAGGAGGCAGGCGCCATCGCCGGAAAGAAGAAGCAACATCACATTGAGGCCGGCTCAGGATTAGACAACCACGACCAGACGGCTCGAGAAGAAGCAACCCAGATCTCCGGCAGAGAGAGAAAGAGAAAGAAGAGAGAGGAGAGAGAAAGGAGAAGAAAAATAATAATAATAATTAATTTTGGGTTTTGGGTTGGGTTCGGGTTGACCCGAATATGTCTGGGTTTTAACAAAACCCAACCCGAACATAACCCGATTTGTGAATTATATGTCCAGATTTCAAAATTTTTGGGTTGGGGCTGGGCTGGGTTGGGCTAACCCGCCCAAGTTGTAGCCCTAAAGAAGACGGGTTTAAGAAACTCGGCGGGTCGGTGCAAAAAACACTATAATCAAGTGGTTCGATTCAAATCCAACCCGATAACCCAAGTCCAAGAAACAAGTTTTTTTTTTTTTTTGGAAAGTAAAATAATTTTATAAATAGAAGCAATATTTACATGAACGAGTGGCAAGCCCACAAAAGAGTGGACAGCCCACTTACAAAACACTGAACAAAACAATATGAAACAAACTCAAGTGTAGGCTCAATATAGCAACAAGACAATACTAGTCTAGGGGACTAGACTATTCTTGTCTAAAGCATACCCACGTCCGGTGTAACAGAGCAGGGCATAAAACCCTAATCAGCGCGATCCGGCGACTTTGGAGGTGGTTTGATGAACTCTGGCAAGTCCCAATCTAACTTCAACCTTCTTGCACATGGTGAGTCTTTAATAGATGTAGTTAGAAGCCTCTGCCTTACTAAATCCATGATTTGTCTGAAAATTGAAATCTGATTGCTCGTTTGGTTTTTGAAGATTCGGTCATTCCGTTCCTGCCAGATCTTGTTGATTGCAGTAGAGAGTGCGAGCTTATTGACGGAATTTTTCAGATTGTTGCTTGCCCAGCAAGAAGCCACACGATCCACCAAGTCACTCCACAAAGAAGGAGAAAGATGAAATCGACATTTGTTTTGGAGAGCAATCCAAATTGGTCGAATGAAAGCACATGAGAAGAACAAATGATTGTAAGATTCCTCCACAATGCCACAAAACTGACATAATCTGGAGCCCGTGAAATGCCTCATGCTTGCTCTATCATAGGTGGAGAGATGATTCTGAACTGTGAGCCACTGAGAGAATTTGCATCTAGGGATCGAGAGTGTATTCCAAATCAAGTGTTGCCAAGGTTTTGGGTGGTTGTGAGCTCCGAGCCACTCAATTGTATAGCTCAGTGTGAATACCCCTGAGGGTGATAGAATCCAAACAATGGAGTTTTCAGTTGCTGATGGTGAAGGGATATTACAAATTTCAGGGGAATGCTGAATGAGGTAATCTAGAAAATGTCATTCCCCATTGCGAATCAACGTTGCAAGTTTTTGATTTGGGTGAATTGGTGAGTTAGAAATTTCTTCCTTAGTGAAAGATCTGGAGAGAGGGCCCCCTAGGAACCAGTTGTCCTCCCAGAAAAAGGTGTTCAAACTATTCCCAACCTTTGACTTGATCATAGACTTTGCCACTCCTCTGAGCTTTAGGATTTTATTCCAATTGGTAGAACAAGACTAAGGTATTCCCATTGTCCAGAAGCATCGATCTCTAATAAGTTATGTTATAACCCATTGAACCCAGAGATTGTCCCTGCAATTAGAAGTGAGTGTCTAAATGTGCCTTAAAATAGCTGCCATGTTGGCAGTTTCCAGATTTCTGAATCACAAACCCCCAAACTCTTTAGGCTGACAACAAGCAACCCAATTCACCTTAGCTCCCGAATGCTTATATTCAGTGCCTGACCATAGAAAATTTCTCATAAGGTTAGTAACCTCTGCTATTATTGATTTAGGTATGATGAAAAGGCTAGACCAGTAGTTAATCATACTGTAGATGACTGCTTGAATGAGCTGGATTCTGCCTGCATAAGATAGAAAATTGGATGACCAGTGATTAATTCTTTTTGTAACTCTTTCAACAAGTCCATGACAATCATCAACCTTAAGCCTAGTGGACAGCAGAGGGACCCCTAAATACTTAATAGGTAGAGAGCCATCATTAAACCCTAGTAAAGCCTTGATATCATTAGATAGATCAGTGCCCACACCCGAGACAAAGAATGAGCTCTTGGAGTTGTTGGAGCTCAATCCTGAAAGGGCTGAAAAGTGATAAAGGGCATGTTTAAGGGTAGATATAGAGGCAAGGTCACCACGGCAAAACAGAAGTAAATCATCAGCAAAAATTAGGTATGCAATTGCTAAATTACTGCATCTTAAGTGAAATTTGAAGGCTGTGGATTGAGATATAAACTTCTTTGTATTGGCTGTGAAAACCTTCGTTGCTAAAAAAAATAGAAAATGTGAGATTGGGTTGCCTTGTCTTAGTCCCTTTACCCCTCTAAAGTGTCCATGAAACTCTCCATTAAAGGATATAGTGAATAATGGTGAAGTGATACAAGCTTTGATTCAACTAACAAATGGAAGAGGGAATCCAAAGAGGTCAAGAGCATCAAGAAGAAACTCCCACCCCACTGAATCAAAAGCTTTCATGAGGTCGACCTTTATAGCACATCTAAGTGGTGAAAAATGCTTATGGTAGCCCTGAAGTAGTTCCTGGGCCAACAAAACACTATCCCCAATATGTCTTCCTTTATTGAAAGCATTTTGGCAAGGGTCAATGGTGGAAGGTAGGGCTTGCTTGAGCTTATTTGCCAAAATCTTGGTTATGCACTTATATAAAGTGTTACAGCAGGAAATAGGATGAAAATCATTAAGGGATGAGGGGTTTTGATATTTTAGGACAAGTGCAATGTAGGCATTATTAACCTCTCTAAGGAGCTTGCCAGTGACAAAGAAGTCTTTTATGGCTTTGATCACATCATTGCCAATCACAGGCCATGCCTTGTGGAAGAAGTGGGCATTGAAACCATCAGGCCCCGGGCTTTTTCTTTGCTGAGAGAGAAAATACAAAACTGGATCTCCAAATTTGTAGGAATTTCACAAAGTGCAAGAATTAGATTGGGGGGAACCCTTTTAGTGATAAAGGGCTGTAATGCATCTCTTCCAAGGTAGTGGGGAGGTGAACTCCCAAGAAGGTTGTGATAATAAGTAACAACTTCATCTCTAATAAGATTTTCAAAAGTAATAGGATGCCCATATGCTGATGTAAGACTTGTGATCTTCTTCTTATTGAGCTTTGAGTTGAAGACCTTGAAAAAGAAGGTAGTGTGATACCCCTCGACTCCGAAACATGGGTTGATCAGGCTCAAGCCCAAACCTGAGGGAATATCAAACAATTAATATAAAAAATAACACATAACACAAAAAGATTTAAGAAATAAATAATAGAGCTGAAAGAATTAATAAATATAAAATCCTCAAACATGTAAGATTAAAATAATCCAACTCTCCAAAACCTCCAAGAGTACAACTCTGGAATCCATCAAGTGGACCCCTAAACAAAATCCCAACTGAAAAGTAATCAACTGAAGATAAAATCCAAATCTAAAACATGGAATGAAATCCTACGTCGTCGGTAGAGTGAATGACCGGTTCTGCTCAGCCCGATCAAGCCCTAAGATTGGAACCGTTCGATACCTGAAAAATATAAGAGTGGGTCAGGCCCATGAATAAGTTCCATTCTAACTGCAATCCATACAGTGATCCGATACACATATACACCATATATATTTCAACAATATTTATCTAGTCCATACACACACACACACACACACACACATATATATATATATATCAACAATAAGGGACATTCACTGGACTACAACGGGGGTCTCAACCTGAATAGAAGGCAACATGTAAAACGCACCTGAGTGAGCATGAGTACCTAAGCCTAATAGGGTACACCTCAACCTATTATAGCCAGCTACGCATCCACTGCATATACGCGCCCTAACCATCGACTCTGAGACTCAAGCTCATATCGTGGTACTATAATCATATATTTAAAGTCCGTCCAAAACTAAAATATGTCATTCAATTATTTGTTGATCTGACATAAGATTTATAATCCGGTTAGTCACTCAACTTATTCAGTTGATCTGACTTAACCACAAATAACAATTAATCCAAGTAGTCACTTAACTTATTCAGTTGACCTGACTTAAATATAATTAGGATTCAATATTTTACAATCCATTCCTTTATTTCAATAAGGTAGGTCTTAACGTTTTGAGCTAAACTATCCATAGTATGCCACCATCCCATACCGATGCATACAATCCATAACATCCAGATAATTGATAGAAAATATAATAATTCAGCAATTATAGTCTAACACATTAATCCATATAATTGACAGAACATAGTTTAATAGTTCAGCAATTTGTAACCAAAACATTAATCCATGTAATTGGAGAACAGAGTTTATTATTTCAGCAATTAGCATCCAGAATAAGCATAGATCAAGTCTAATAATTAAATGACCTTATTGTGCATCCAAAATAAGATTTATAATCATGCTATAGTCCGTTAAATTGTTAAATTAAAATTAAGCAATTAAATCTTTTCCACCCGTAAACAGCATGCAAAGTTGTTTAATTTTATACTGTTCATTCCATTAGCACAACGATGTAACTTATGTAATATGAGGTCATAGAATTCCATGAAATTACATTTACAACCCTCAGTACATTCCCCAAAACATTCCAGAATACCAAACTCGTCCAAATAGTACCTAAAACACCTCCAGAATGCGTCAAACAAGGGAGCCTGCTCTCAAAACTTGAGAGCAGACTCAATTACACATGGAGCCGGTTCTATGAAGAGGGGAGCCTGCTCCCCATCACCTGGAGCCGGCTCTGCACAAGAAGGAGCCGACTCCCACTTCCATGGAGCCAGCTTTCTCCCTCTCTGAGAGCTCTGAACCTTTTCTGGCTTTCTACTTCATTTCCGGCCACTTCCAACTCTTTTGTTCCTCTTTAATACTAAACCTAAGAGTCTAATTTATACCCAGTAGCATCCCAATCATTTGCTTACAACAGTAAGAATTAATAACAACGATTAGAACAGCCACCGATTCATTATACTTTAAAGACAGACAACGAACTCCAAACTTACAAGAACAATTACAGATTAAATTAAAACACATACAGTCGATTAATTTAACATAAACTAAGCATGCAAGATTCAATTAATGTCCGATTAAAATCCTAGAGACCATCTAAGTATGCATAGAACACAAGTCAAGGGGAGAGAGAAAGAATAGAACTTGTCTGTGTGGTTTTGAATCAAAATCTCGTTGCTGTCTCCTAAGTTCTCCGACGACGTCCATTCACTGTCAACCTGTGATACCCCCGGATTCCCAAATGCAGGTTGGCCAGGCCCACGCCCGAATACCCGAGGATATCAAAACAAATTGATAATAAACGAACACAGAGTACAAAAGAATAAAGAAGAATAAATAAAATGCTGACAAGAAACTAAGATGATAATCTAATAATAAATCTCAGAATATATTTTCATAAATTAATAAACTCTTCTGATACAACGGATCCTCTAAAATATAACTCGGGAATCCATACTGTGTGGACCCCTAGAAAATCCAAACTAAACAAATGACAGCAATAACTGTCTAAATCAGGAAACTGAATCATCAAGGAACTCCTATGTAGCATCGGAAGAATGAAGTAGACTAATCCCCGCTCAGCACGAACAACCTTTACTCCTGACAAACACTGGTGGGTCAGGCCCACAAACAAGTTCTACTCTATTATAGTCCAAGCAGAAATCCGATACACGTATACATCCTAGTCAATCCAATAGTAACTAGTAGTCCGTATATATATATATATACACACTAAAGGAACCTCACTAGACTATATGGTTGTCTCAACCTGAATAGTAGGCAACATGCAAAACGCACATATAGTGTGCATGAGTACCTAGACCTACCAGAGTACACAACTACACTATATCTAGCTACACATCCTTGGCGATATACGCAACATAATCACTGATCCTGAGACTCAAGCTCATATTATGGCACCACACTTATATATATAAAATCTAGTAACACTCCTATTCAGTAAAAATTAATCATCCATAAGTCATTCAACTTGTTCAGCTGACCTGACTTGAATATAAGTAGGACTTAACATTTTAGTTAATCCATTCCCTTATATAATAAATTAATCCTCCATAAGTCATTCAACTTGTTCAGCTGACCTGACTTGAATATAAGTAGGGCTTAACATTTTAGTTAATCCATTCCCTTATATAAAATAGATAGGACTTAACTGATAAGTTAATCCGTCCCTAGAATGCCACCGTCCCATACCGGTGCATTAAACCACACAATCCAACAAATAATGTAATGATTAAGGAAATACATTAAACAATTCAGAAATAACTATGATAATATGATATCAAGTTATCACAAAATATGAATGACTTATTATTTATTTAAGTTTCATATATCATATGTCCTACATTAACTGATTCTTATACATATGATAATATTTTATTATACCGTCAAATAAGCATTCTCCATATCCAATTCATCCTACACATTTAATCTCAATTGTTAAAACATATTAAAAGATTAAATTCATTCGTTTGTTTAAAATATTCAAATAGAAAGCATTATTATGATTGAGTCTATTTAAATTTATTTAAACCCAAACTTAGTTCCTATTTAATATTCAGGAATCCTAGGCATGTTTCTACATTCCATCATTCCACAGATATGAAAAATACATAATTTAAACATGTAAAAATTCACACCGGAAATCAAATCAAAATCATGCATTTATCAATTCATAACACAAGAACAGATTTGAACAAAATTCATAAAACCTATGTTCTAATCCAATTAAACATGCATAATTATTTAATTTTATATGTTTAATAAATTCTAGAATTTCCTAGGCATGTACAGAAACACGAATTAAAGGGAAAGAGATAGAAAAAAAACTTACTTTAAACTTTCGGATCGAAAGTTAAACTTCTTCTTCCTTGATCTTCTCTCTATAGGGTTTTTCTCCTCCTTCCTTCCTTTTCCTCATTCCCTTTCTAACTCTCTCTCTCTAGAATATATCACGTGAATATTTCTAACCCCCTTTTACAACCTATAGCTATATATTTATAGGTTAAATAAAATAACTCTAACCATTTTCCCAATCCAAGTAAACTTAAAAAAAAAAAAAATATTAAAATATTAAAAAGGTAAGTAAAATATGTTACGTATATAATTTATGTATATCTTTATTAAATAAATAAATTATACACCTCCCATTATTTATTAATGGATTATCTAATAATACTTAAATTAACATAATATTATAAAGTAACTTAAAACATAACACGTATCAAAATTATGTATATTTTTATTATTTAAATATAAAATATATACATTGGATTAAATATTACTAATTACCATAAAAGTAATTAATAAATTACTTTCCCTTTTATATATATTAAAAAGGTAAGTAAAATATGTTACGTATATAATTTATGTATATGCTTATTAAATAAATAAATTATACACATTCCATTATTTAGTAATGGATTATCCAATAATACTTAAGTTATCATAATATTATAAAGTAACTTAAAACATAATACGTATCAAATCTACGTATATTTTTATTATTTAAATATAAAACATATACATCAGATTAAATATTACTATCCAAGTTACCATAAAAGTAATTAATAAATTACTTTCCCTTTTATATATATTAAAAAGGTAAGTAAAACATGTTACGTATATAATTTATGTATATGTTTATTAAATAAATAAATTATACGCATTCCATTATTTATTAATAGATTATCCAATAATACTTAAGTTACCATAATATTATAAAGTAACTTACAACATAACACGTATCAAATTTATGTATATTTTTATTATTTAAATATTAAACATATACATCAGATTAAATATTATTACCAAAGTTACCATGAAAGTAATTAATAAATTACTTTCCTTTATATATATGTATATAATGTATATCTATATATAAACATACACAACTATCCATGGGTAATAATCCATACACATCTAACCTCCTATCCAAGTAGTCCATGGGACCCAATTGGTTGGCCCATTACTACTAACCATAACCATAAAAGAAAAATAAAATAAAATAATAAAAGAAAAGAAAACATTTAATTTACAATTAATCAAAACACCATTTAAACACATAATCTAATTAAACAATTAACACATAAACAAATACAAATAATACATAGACACATAATCAAATGATCAAGTAATACCTAATTCAATTAAACACATAAGTAATTAGTCAAATAATCAATTAAAAAATTAAAAATACAATTAAAACAAATAAATAAATACCGAAACTATCCTTTTAAAATTAGGGGTATTACACAACCTCCTACTGCTCAACCTTCCCTCCTCTTAGGTTCGTCCTTTAATCCACAGCCGAAACCCTAACTGACAACTCTCTATTTTCTCACAATCTCTCCCTGGTTCTTTCTATATCTCTGGTACGTGCATAATGTTTTTCCAACTCTTTTGCAGACTTATAACAATATATTTATAGGCAGTACTAAAACCTAGGTCCAATTGTAATTAGAGACAGAAACTCTAACTAATCCTAGTCGGCCAAAACGTGTAATACCCTTAATTTTAAAAGAATGGTCCTAGTATTTAAATTAATTATGTAATTGCATTTTAAAGATTTCTATTGTTTTATTTGTTGGTTACTTGAATTAATTGGGGTTTTAATTATATTTGTTTGTTAATTAATTGTTTTAAATTGAATAATTTGTTTTATTATTAATTATTTGTTTTAAATTGAATTAAGTTAGGAGAATTAATTAATTAATTAGAGTTAGGGTTTCTTTCTGCTTGTAATTAAATTGTGTCTAGGATTTGAGCCGACACATATAGTTGGTTTAGGATTTAATTTAGGGTTTTCAATAAAGCCTATAAATACCTAAGTTAATGTCTACCAAGGGTTTGTTAACCCTATTCACGTAATAGAGAGAAGACACAGTGAGCAACAGAGAAAGAATTTGAGAGAAATAGATAGTGAACCTTGAGAGGTTTATAGAAAGGTTCAAGGAGGAAGGGGTGGAGTGCTTCTGGGTTGAACCAATAGCACTGGAGGTGTTTAACGGCAGTCTAGGACTTTGACGAAAACTCAAAGGCGGATGTTTAAGATTTCTGGAATGAAATCTAAGACAAGTCTTTGTTCTATTCTTTCCTTTTAATCTGTGTTCTGTGCATGCCTAACTAGACTCCAGGGGTTTAACTAATGATAAAACGAAGTAATCATGCATGCTTAAACGGACTAAAACTGAGAGTTTTATGGTTATATATACTTGTGCGTGATTTCATTATTTTCTTAGATCTTTATGTATGATTTGTGATTTAACTTGAATCTTTGCCTACTAAAACACTTAAAATAATTTAGTATGGACATATGAGACTTAGGTTGAAGCTTAGGGGCCTTAACAATGAAGTTGTAGAGTTTACAGAGGCTGAACGGACGAAGAAGAAAACCTAGCACTAACTGAGGTGCCTAAGTTTGCAACTGAGGTGCCTAAGTTAGCAACTGAGGCTGATTAGTTGTAACTTAGCTTGCTCAGTTGGAATTTTTGGTTTTAAACGCCCAGTTTGGGTTTTGTGCACTGTGTGGACTACACAGAGTGTTAGCACTTCGTTTAAATTGTCTTAAATAATGTATATTATTGTTTTAGACCTGTAAGAATATAGGTAAACAATGATTCATAAATGGATTAACGTATGCACAGTGTACAGTTAGGGGAAGATCCTACATGTTGAACTTTGAATGTTAATCAGTTTACACTTTGGAACTTGGAGGATTGTTTATATGTGATTTAATTTTAATTAATCATATTTGGATAGGATTGGAAGTAACATGGATTACTTGAACTTAACCATGCTTATGTTGGATCAAATTAATATTCACTTTGTTATTCAACTGCATCAGTGTATGGATATTTTAGAGGATGTGAACGCTTATACTTGTTTTAGCTGTATACATTATTGGAATTGGATTTTAGGCACTATAATGACTGCCTAATATTGTTGGATATGTGTTAATTTATATTGATGCATGTTATGAAGGATGGTTGTTGGATATATATAATGTCGTTTTATTAACTATGTTATCTGGAGGATTGTATGCACCGGTATGGGACGGTGGCATACTAGGGACGGATTAGTTAAAAATACTAAGTCCTGCCTATTTGGAAATAAGTTGGATTAATAATAAAAGTTAAGTCCTACTTATGTATGTGTATATGCACCGGTATGGGACGGGGGCATATTAGGGACGCCTTAGTTCAAAACATTAAGACCTACCTATTCTAGGGACAGATTAGTTCAAACACTAAGTCCTACCTAATCTGGATTGAGGTATGGATTAACCACAAAGGTTAAGTCCATCTCATACTTGTGTCATGTCAATAAAATAATTGAATGACCTACGTTGGTTTCTGAATGGATTGAAAAATATTGAATCTTAACTGTGACTAAGTCAAATCAACTGTGACCAAGTTGAATGACTTTCTGGATTAATTGGTTGTAGTTAAGTCATATCAACTAAATAAGTTGAGTGACTAACTAGTTTGTATATTGTATGTCAGCTCAGTAAATTATGGAATGACACATTTCGGATGGACGAATTTTAGATATATGGTTATGATACCACAAGATGAGCTTGAGTCTCAGACTCGTTGGTTAGGGTACATATATGTAGTGGATGCGTAGCTGGTTATAGTAGATTGAGGTATACCCTGTTAGGTCTAGGTACTCATGCCCACATTTGGGTGCATTTTCGCATGTTGCCTTCTATTCAGGTTGAGGCCCTTACTATAGTCTAGTGAATATCCCTTAGTGTGATTACTCTAGATATTGTTGAGCTATCTAGAATGTATCTGCGTATCGGATTACTGTTTGGATCGTAGTAGAATAAGACTTGCATGTGGGCCTGACCCACTATTTTATTTTTTCCAGGTGTTCGTTAGTTCTATGGTTAGAGTTTGGACGTGCAGAGCAAGTACAGACACTTATTGATCCGACTACGTAGGACTACTCTATATGTTTAGCTTTAATTTTCATTTCTATTGTTTTAGTTTCAGTTTGGGATTTTATTAGGGGTCCACATGATGGATTCCCGAGTTATATGGATTGGAGGTTTTGGAAAGTTTGGTTTTAATGATTAATAATTGAGGATTTTATTATTTAGTATTCGTTCAGCATTATTATTTATTTCTTTAATTCACTATTTTGTATTCCGTGTTCGTTTTAACATATTGATTGTTTGATATCCCTCGGGTTTGGGCCTGAGCCTGATCAACCTGTGTCTCGGATCCGAGGGGTATCACAAAACGTGATTCCTAAAAGAATAAAACATAATTTAACATTATAACTAATAACATTAATTCAATCCAATTAACTAAACTAATAAACCATTTAACCAATTAAAACAAGTAATTAAATTAAAGAAAATAAAAATACAATTAATTAACCAATTAATCAAACAATTTAATTAAATAAAACAATTAATCAAATAATGCAATTCAAATACACAATTAAACAATTAAATCAAATAAATAATAAAACAATTAAGTAAATAATCACACAAAAATGCAATAAAACAATAATTAAAATGTCGAGATTATCCTTTTAAAATTAAGGGTATTACAGGTAGTGTTACTATCCCGTTCCCTCAGCTATCCCACCTTAGCCTTCTGCTTGATAAAGTGCTCATCAGCAAGAACCAAACTAGAATAATGTTGCATAAGCTCCTTCTCTTGTAACTTTAATTGAATATCTCTAGGATTAGAGTCCAGGAGAGATTGACAGGAAGCCAGAGATTGCTTTGCCTGAGAGACCAATGCTGAAGCCCGAGAGATCTCCATGCTGTAGCTATGTTTAAGTGCTCATTTCAAGCCTTTTAACTTCTGAACTAGCTGATACATGGCTGTTCCTGGGATGGAAGTGGCCCACACCTGTTCTACTGTGGGAAGAAATAGAGGGTTAGTAGCCCAGGCATTAAAGTACCTGAAAGGAATTTTCTTGAGGCTAGTAAGATGACCTATCTCGATTAAGAGTGTGCTGTGGTCTGCTAGGCCTGGAGTGAGGAAGGTGCAGTCTGACATAGGATAAGTGAGAGTCCACCTCTCATTAATTATAGCCCTATCCAGCATTTTGGCAATATTGGTATGACCCACACTCATATTGTTCTAAGTGAATTGCACCCCTGTAGACCTCAATTCTTCCAAATGTGATTGATAAAGGCAGTCTCTAAATTCATTCATGGCCATCGTCTACCTCTGAGACCCTAAAAAATTTTCAAGGGGAGATGAAATGATGTTAAAATCCCCAAACACCACCCATGGAAAGTTAGCAAAACTGTTTGAGTGCTTAGTGATACTTTCCAATAAGCCTCTCCTGCCTACATATTCATTAGCTCCATAGACAAAAGAAACATAGAATTTGGAGTTGTCAGTCAAACAAGCTACTTAACAGTGTATAATTTACCTATTGGCTTTAACCAGCTCAACCTTAAGTAAATTAGGGTTCTAGAGGACCCACATTCTTCCTAAAGAAGAGTAGTCATAATTGTGTAGGCAAGCCCATATAGGGCAAATAAATTTAAGTATATTACCCATATTCCCCTGTGCCACCTTAGTTTCCAAAAGTGACACCATAACAAGCTTATTAAAATGTATCAATTCACACAGCTGAAGTTTCCTATAGAGGCTATTGAAGCCTTTAGTATTCCATACGCAGAAACTTATCATCGAGAGGGAGCTTTGTGCTTACCTCCCAGCAGTCCAAGCCCTTTGTGGGGAAAGACTGTCGATTGCAGGTTATTACCGCCTTTCTTCTTCTTCATCATGGATCTTTTGTCCTTTGATGTGACTGAGTTGGATTGACTTTGTGAAGATAAAGACAAAGGAAGGGATTGGTCTGAGCTATCAGCAACCTCTACATTCTCAAAAGTGGGATCCTCCTGGGCCTGCACCAAATCTTAATTGTTGGGAAATTTGTTTTCAGCATAGGAGGTTAAACAAGCTTCAGTATCTGCAATACAATCAGCTTGGTTGATAGATCTAGCTAATTGTTTAGTTTGCAAGAGGGTTAAACTTTTTGATGGGGAGATATGGTTGTGGATGTGAGGTGGTGCATGTGAGTTCTTCAGCTTTTGTGGAGAGGAGTCATTGGACTGGGGATGGTAGATAGTTTGGGGTAAGTTTTGCTGCTCCGTGGGATCAGGGTGAAGGTATTCATTTCTTCCATTAGGGGCTCTTGTCTTTTTTGGATTTAACCAACTGCCATATGGATTTTGGTTGAGAGGAACCAGGACAGTGGGAGGAAGAATGACCAGCCTTTTTACAGGCAATGTAGTAGTTAGGCAACCTTTCGAACTCCACAACAATGTCAACCACTTTCCCATCTTTCTTCTTCAGTGGGAAAGAATACACCAGAGGGGCATTAAGGTCTAATTCAATACAAATCCTTGCGTACTTCAGCTTGTGTCTCCCCTCAGTGGTTTAATCTGCATTCTAATAACGCCCCCATATAATTTTTGACAAAATCCCTTATACGCACACAGTTGTATCCAAAACCTGCACACATACATCTCCCCTATCTCTCTCTTGGAAATATATTCGATGTGCCTGGTGCACCGTGCATCGGCCCATCACAGTCATTTTTATTCGCGCATATTGTGCACGCGCCCGCATTATCTGGTGCACTGAGCAAACTGAATACCTGCTCCTTTTCTTTAAAATTCACAATATCGATTTATCTACTTTTGAAACTTTCATTAACCTACAACTCTCAATAAATGATAGAAATTAGAGCTTCTAATTTGTTTACTTATCTCTTTAAATTTGTTTATATTATTCCTTTGATCTACTAAATTTTTATTGATACCTGGGCTTCTCGGATATGAGTTGATCACAAGTTTTCTAAAATTGTCTTTAATTAATTATTAAAAAAACTAAAATTAATCATATTAAATTTGTAAGGTCATAATTTTAATTTTTCTTTCTAAATCACAATAAATACAAATTATCCTTTCTAAAATTCATAAGTAAATTGAGTGTAAACAATATTTTTGAAAATCCATACCAAGGTTTAGGGAACCCCTAAGCTGGCTCCGTGCCTGCCATTTATGATAAGTCAATCTCAATCAAGGAGATTTAAGAGGAGGAAATACCATTTGATCCAAATTTTGAGGACTAGTTTGGTGTGGAGGAATAAAATAAGGTAGGAATGGAATGAATAAGAGAATGGAAAGACCATTCCTATTCTCTCGTTTGGTTATGCATGGCTTAAAAAGGAAAACTAATCTATATATATGTAAACCAAATATATATATATATATTTGGTTTACATATATATAGATTAGTTTTCCTTATATATATTTGGTTTACATATATATAGATTAGTTTTGCTTAAATAGATTAGTTTTCCTTATATATATTTGGTTTACATATATATAGATTAGTTTTCCTTTTTAAGCTATATATATTTGGTTTACATATATATAGATTAGTTTTCCTTTTTAAGCCATGTATATATATATATATGCGTAAATATATATTTTCAATATATATTTGAAAATTGAGGAGGGAATATTAAGAAAAAGTTAACTTTTATTGGATCTCGTTATTTAAGAAAAGTGTGTTAGCAATCACGTCGTTCAAGTAAAACGATTTTTAATATTATTTTTATTCCGTATTTTTTAAAGTGAGGAATATAATGCCCATTCCTCTTGTTGGAAAGTGGAATGATTTTGATGGAATGATCATTCTCGGAGAAATGTGGAGAATAGACCTTCTATCTTTAAAATTACTTTCCAAACAAAATAATGAAATTAAAAACATTTCATTTTACTTTATTTCATTTCATTTCCATCGACCAAACTTGCCCTTAGTATTACTAACGGAGTGAGTTTAAATCTACTAAATGAACCAAACAAATTGACCTTGACTTGTGCTCACATAAATAATTAAAAACTCGTTTAGCCTAAACTCATTTGCAAAATTTACTTTGTGCAAAAGTAGCATCAAAGATGAGTTGTGTCTCCATTCTTTTCTTAGTACACATATGCCCATATCTCTACATATGCGTTTGTGTATATATGTCAATTTATATGTGCGTGTGACGAAGCATAAGGACCTAGGGCATCATTTGTAATTGCGTGATTGAAACATTGTATGGATATCCATCCTTATCACAGGAGGAACAACCCCATTAGAGTTGTCTCATGCATAACGTGATCTTGTGGTGTCGGTGGGAGACTCCAACTATGCAATTATAATCTCACAAATTTTCTTCCACTCCTATTAAAAAAAAAAAAACAGAAAAGAAAAAAAAAGTGCATGTATAATAATAATATATATAAGAAAAAATTCATGTCGTCTTATGTTTATTTTGTCCTATTTTTATTCTGAATAGTAACTCTTTTGTTTTACCCTACAGGAGAATATATTTGTTTCGTCATGAAATCAAGCCACGCCTTAATTACGGGCCGATTTGCCAAACCAAATGCCTAATATTTATTTAATTAATTAATTATTATCATTACTTTTGTAAATCAAGACAAACAACTATCATAATGTTCTTGAAAAAATTGAACCTTCCACTTTTTATTTAGAAAGATGACAATAAACCACAGACTCAAAAAACAATGGTTTTTTTTTTTTTTTTCAGTGAGAATAATATTAAAATTTCATAGTATATGATAAATAAAAATATTACTAATATATAATACTAAAAATAAGATTGGCAATTCCCCCCTGAATATACTACTTCCCTGCCTGAAAATCCATATCTACTTAGTCCAAAAAAATTGTCATATCGATTTTTTTTTTTTTTAAATAAATAAAAAAAATGCTGATTGATCAAAAGAGTAGAGAAGTCAAATGGAACTATTTTCCACATTTTGTCTGCTTAGACCAATGAACATGTGGTTTTTAGCCCTTTCCTCTGACAATTCAAGCTTTATTTGAAAGATTTATAGTTAATTGCTTGAAAGCAGCGAAGAATTAATGGACAAATTTGAAAGATTTATAATTAATTGCTTGAAAGCAGCGAAGAATTAATGGACAAAGAATATGATGTTTTCTTTATATTCTTGTGCTAATATATATATATATATATATATATATATATATATATATGCACACACGCACTCTCTCTCTCTCACACACACACACATGTATATATTTCAACATTTTTCTGGTAAGTGTACAAAAAGCCAATTTATGTCAAAGTCTTACTGGTTCTTCAAGTTCAAAGATACACCCTCGGTCTCCAGATATTAAAGTTTCAACGGTCCCTATTATTTAAAACATATGCAAACTTCTAATCATTTTATTAGGAGTATTAAATTATTTTTATAAAACTGTTCCCATTTGACGCTTCCATTAAACCTTAAGCATCAAATTGTTTGCTTATATATATATATATATATATATATATATATATAAGCAAACAATGCACACATTTATTTTAATCTCACTTGACGCTTAAAACGTTCAATCTCTCCTTTGGGGAGAGGCCCTACCACATAGAGCATAAGCCCCCTGGTAAATTAACTGAATATATATATATATATATATATATATATATATACACTACTAATTTGATATATAACTGCATGGAAATTAGAATATAATCCAGTCCAAATGATTTGGTTATAAAGATCTTAGTTTTGATTCCCTTTTTCGAATGATTGAGCATTATCAATTGATTTTTCTTTTCTAGTGGGCTGGCGCAATCATTTCTATACCATTAATTGCATAAAAAGAATGCTAAACACCCAAACACTCTGGTCAATATTGTATTTAAAGGGGAAGGAGGATTAGAAAAAATAAATACTATCAAATTAAGGCATGCAAAATGACATATTTTCATCATCATTTTAGGATAGTTTTTTTTTTTTTTTTACAAGACAAGAATTGTTAGAAATTAAATTAGTAGATGCAGAGAGTCCAAACCTGACACTTCAAAATTCACTGAAAATACTAACCCACTCTAGACTATCGAGACATCTGCAATTATAGGATAGTGATATATGCACCATTCCCTATCAAACTCTAATTCAAAATTAACTAGTTAAAATAAATCCAAGTTAACAAATATTTCTTCTAATTTCTAACATAGATAGGCAATATTCTTATTAGGCCAATAGATATTTCTTAGGCTATCTATGTTAATGTTCGGTTGTATGGACCAAACTTTTCTTCAACTTCAATCTCAAAATTTCAATTTCATACAACAGTATTGAACCAGAATTTTTTCAAATTACATGAATTTTAATTTCAAAATTTTCTCTAATTTCACCAATTTTGTACAATCGAACATTGAATTAAAATTTTTTCCAATTTTAAAACATTTCAATTTCAATAAAATCTTCACGAGTACACTGTTTTTCTTCACTATATTTAGCAGTGAAATCAATATAATCATGGTATTCACCAATTTAGTGGTGAAATTTGATTGGTTATTCAAAGATAGACAAAATAAATTGATATTTTTTTAAAAAAAAAAAATTGTCTGCCAACGAAATATAGCTATTTATGTATGTAGGTATCATTCATGTGCCATGGGTCTTAGAGAAGTGAGACCTACTTAATAAATATGTTGAGAGACATGTATCTATACATGTTTGGCTACATGGTAAATGGAAAATCCTTCATTTGACTCATAACACAGAATGATAGAAAGAAGCCAAAGCCGTCGACAACAATGGTTTATTGTTAGGTATGCTATTGCCTGTCAGAATGAATCTTCCATGGTCATTTTGAGAACCTTGTGTCCATCCCACATACAGAAATTAAGAAAATTATATTACAGATTATTCACATATTGCGTGACACCCCATATGGTGGAACTCACGTGGGCTTATGTGACAAATAATCGGATTTTAAAATTGTTGATGCAAAATTTTTTGTGAGACGACGTTTATCTGCAAAACAATAGAGATTATATTACATCTATAATAGAAAAATAATTATGTATTCAATGTTTAGGAGTTTTTTCCTCATACCTATTTTAATGGCTCGATGCTCTTTTTATGGTTGTCGATTAAAATCCGATTGGTTCAACTGATACCGATGGTTAAAATCTCCCTTATCATTAACGGAGTTAGTTGAGCAAATGTTAACGGTTGAGATTTGTTCCATCATCAATAATAGATTTTATTTATTGAATCGAACGACATCATTATTCTCACCAAATTAATAAGAACTTGTGACTGGTCAACATAGGGTTATTTTTTTCCATCAGAAATTAAATACAATGTCATTGTTTTTTTGCTGGGTATGTATTGTTCAGATGAGGAAATGGAAAATTTGTTAATTACTTTAGTGGATGAAAAATGTTGTAATTTGTAGCTGGAGTGTGAAGTTTTGAAGGACAAGTAAGTGGTTGTGGGATTCTTGGTGTATATGTACTATATATCATCTTATAATTACTAACCTAATGTTTTGTTTATTATATTTAAGAGAGCGACATAATATTTAATGGCACATGTGTTTTGTTGGAAATCAGCGTCCACGATGGGCAAGTGAAAACATCAGTATCTATCGATGTGTGCATGTAAAGCTATGCACAGAGACATATATACAAATACTGTACTTAAAAATGTCACACCTTATTAATAAAAGTGGGTGTGATGTGTTTCAAATAAGTCAATCTATGTCATTATCTTGAAAATTTTCATTTATACTCATGTTATGTTTGACATTATTGAATTGATATTTTAAATTTAAAATTAAAAAAGATTTAGTACAAAAATTTAATAAAATTTATTTTAATTCTAAACTCAAGATACTGATTCAGTACTTCAAAATATAAAATTAAATCAATCAAGATAGGTGTTTATCACGGATAGTTTTGGACTCTTAATAACCTTATATGTAGCTGGGGGTTGAAGTTTAGTTGAGATTTGAGGGTTGAAATTTTCATAGATTATATTTTAAGATTTGTCACTAAATTATAATATTAATGTTTTTTGAGGGTTGTTACCTGCAGTTGAAAATTTTGTTTTCATTCCCCCAAAGTAATGCTTTCATTTTGTTAGTTTTTTACGGTCAAGGTATTGGATTTGGGACATCCTAACCACCTGTAATATTTGCCAAGTTTACAAAGTATTTATTTTATTTTATTTATTTATTTGTAGGTTGATCTGGTTCTCGAATTGAACACTTAAATATCGGAAAAAGGGCCATAAAATGTTTCTTATCTAAAATTGATTCCAATACAAAAAGTACATATAATCACATGGTGAGGACAATGTATTATTCAATGTATATATATATAAAATATTATATGATTTCGACGATGTTAGCTCAATGGTAGAAGTGGGGAGACAAATAAACCTAGTCGCTGTCTATTGATTAACATATTATTTTGTAATATTTTTTTTTTGTGATTTATCTCTTAAAATGAAGAATCTATATTTGTCATGGTTTATTGATTTTTTTATTTTTTATTTTTATGTTGCCTCTCTTAAATTGAATATCTGGCTCCACCATTTCTCTTGGGAGGTGAAGAATTCAAGTTTTGCAGTATAAATTTAACTAGTTGTAAAAAAAAAAAATAAGAGAATTTTTTTACTATTGGAACGATTAAACACATGTTTTGATATTTAGTAGCAATGTTAAAAATATGAAAGTGGAGTATTAGATGTTCTTTTTGGATTGCTACTCTTATTATTATTATTATTATTATTATTTTCAAAAGGCAGTGCTACTTTTATCTTTTTATTCAATTATTTATTACCATTTTCCTTATTCGCATAAAAGAGTTGGTCAAATGAATTTTCCGTCTTAATTTTTTTCTATTACCATGTTTAGATTGTAAAATCCTTTTTAGTCACTTTTAGTCTCTCTTATTTCTATGAAAAATATTTTAAAAATAATTTTCTTCAATTTTAATGGTACATAGGTCTCCATTATAATGTATTAAATAACATATGAGTTTACTCTCTTTTATTTTCATTCTCATTTCTCTTGTTTCCTTTTCTAAACTCCACTCTGCTGCATACAGCGTAGATGAGCTTGTTCAATTAAAAGAAGGGATCATCAATTCTTCTTTGAGATGATATATTTTATACTCCGTATTTATTATATATATTTCATATGGATAAAAAACCATTGCTCTCATTTTTTTTTTTAAATTTTTTAAATTAGAGTATTGTAGTAGTATACCAAAAAAAACCTATATATTTTCCTTTTTCGAGATGATATATTTTTATATTATATATTCCATATCTATTTTTTTTAAAAACCTATACTTTCCTTAATTGTTTTTAAATTAGCTGGTAACAGTCTTGGCTTTACCAAAACAACCTATATATTTCCTTTTTTTTCTAATTGGCTGGTAAAAGTCCAAATACCGAAAAATATTATTATTATATGGTAATAATTTATCCTGTAATAAAAAAAAAACTACATGATAGAGAAGAACCGCCACCAATCTAGCTCATATACCCGAGAAGATGACGGCCAGGTTGGGATTGGGATCGGCATTGTCTGCGGCTATTCTTTTTAATCTATTAAATTGTCCCTTTTTTTAATTATTATTATTATTATTCTAACTAATTCAACTTAGCTTATATTAATCCTTTGATCCATCATTATTAACTCATCTTCTGTCATTTCTGCAGCCACTCAGTTCATAATTCCAAAACCCTGTATCAGAGTGATCTTTATTATCACTTTATTGCTTTATTCTTTTTCTGTTAATCATTATTGATTTTTTTATTTTTTATTTTTTACTAGTTTGAATCTATCCAATCCACCCCATGGTAATATGTAGAAAGTTAAAATGTGGGTTGTGATTGTTTGTTTGGAATTTTATGACTACATGCCCAAATGATTAGGGCTTTGCCTTTCCCTATATTGGTAATTTCCCTTGTTGGGGGTAGCTTGTAGAGCCTTTTGGTAGTAGGAAGAGAGAACCCCACACACTCCTCTCCTCTTTGGCTTTCCCTTTCCTGCATTTTAGTGAGGAGTGCACGAGCGAATTTTTTTTATTTTTATTTTTATTTTTTATTTATTTATTTGTGGTGGATCTGTTCTTTTAGTGGTTAGACATGAATTGGGTTTGAGTTTTGTTCATTTTTATATCTGGGTTTTGAAGTTCTCTTTGTTTTTTTTTGAGGTTTCTGTGTAGTGTGGTTCTGTTTTTATTTTATGTAAATGGTTTTGTGAGTTTGTTCATCTTGAGATCTGAGTTCTGAAGAACTGTGGGTTTTGCTCAAGTTGTTAGTTTTTGCTTGTTCAATTGAGTGTATTTGGGTTCTAATTTTGGTCATTTGTGAGTGAATTGAGTTCACTTGAGTGAAAACATGGCTCCAAGTACAAAATTTTACAAGTGGTGGACAAAGGACACAAGGAAGGGTACTCCAGTAGTAGTGACCATGGAGAACCCCAATTACTCTGTGCTAGAAATTGATGGCCCTGATGCGGCATTCCGTCCGGTGGACAAGGACCGGGGGAAGAATGCCAAACAAGTGACATGGGTTTTGCTTCTCAAGGCCCATCGAGCTGTCGGTTGCCTGGCGTGGCTCGGCAACGTGCTCTGGGCATTGCTTGGTGCCATCAAGAAAAGGTTGATATTTGGGGAAGGAGTGACAATGGAGAATGAAAAATCTGGCAGGGGAAGGTTATTGTTCAGAATCATTTTAGCATTCTTGGTGACTGCTTTGGCATTTCTGGCCTTTGAAGTGGTTGCCCATTTTAATGGTTGGCATTATTTCCAGAACCATAGTTTGCACATCCCACAAGCATTGGAGATTCAGGGATGGCTGCACACTGTATACATCGCTTGGTTGGACTTTCGCGCCGATTACATTGCACCTTCAATTCAAGCTCTATCAAGCTTTTGTGTTGTTCTCTTCCTAATTCAATCCGCCGACAGGCTCATACTTTGTCTAGGTTGCTTCTGGATCAAGTACAAGAAGATTAGGCCGAGAATTGAAGGGGATCCATTTAAGTCGGAGGATTTGGAAGGTTCAGGTTGTAACTATCCGATGGTTCTCGTTCAGATTCCAATGTGCAATGAGAGAGAGGTAATTATTCTAATGTTCCTTTTATATCAGTCATGTAAGAACTAATTGTAGCCCTTGTTTGTGTGTTTCTTCTTTTCTCGATTTGAATTTTAGTTTTAAATTCACTATTCATATATTGAGTACCCTTCTATCTAAAATAAATAGAATTGATGGTAGAATATGATATATTTGGTGTTTGGTGGTGCCATGACAATGCCAATAAGTTTTTCAACAATGGTGGACTGATGATGATGGCTTTTGAATTGACCCCTTTAGGTGTACGAACAGTCTATCTCAGCCGTCTGTCAACTTGATTGGCCAAAGGACCAGTTGTTGATTCAAATTCTCGACGACTCTGATGATGAGAACATTCAGTGGTTGATTAAGGGCGAGGTCTCCAAGTGGAGTCAGAGGGGTGTCAACATTATTTATCGGCATCGATTGGTTAGAACGGGTTATAAAGCTGGAAACCTTAAGTCTGCTATGAATTGTGATTATGTGAAGGCCTATGAATTTGTTGCAATCTTTGATGCTGATTTCCAACCACACACTGATTTCCTTAAGCAGACAATTCCACATTTTAAGGTAAAAAGAACACTTGCGCGGCCATTCTATATCAGTTCTTAAGCTTCTCTGTGTGTGAGGCTTGTTCTAGTCACTCATATGTTCACCTTGTATTGCAGGACAATCCTGAACTGGGATTAGTTCAGGCTAGATGGGCTTTTGTAAACAAGGACGAAAATTTGTTGACACGCCTCCAAAACATCAATTTGTGCTTTCACTTTGAGGTAGAGCAGCAGGTAAATGGAGTCTTCCTCAATTTCTTTGGTTTCAATGGGACTGCTGGTGTGTGGAGAATCAAAGCACTGGAAGAGTCTGGTGGCTGGCTTGAGAGGACAACTGTGGAGGATATGGACATAGCAGTTCGTGCTCATCTCAGTGGTTGGAAATTCATCTTCCTTAATGATGTGAAGGTAACCTAAGTTCTTGACAAATTTTTTTCTTCTCTTTCTGGCATTCCTGGCGTTCCTGAGATGTTGATGACAGACGACTTGAATTGAATAGACCTTGAAAACAACCAAAGGGTAGTAAGTCGAATTTGAGGGAAAAATTCAAGTATGGAAAAGTTTAAAATTAGTGAGGCTGATTTGGGAATTATGCCCAATGATTAGGACATTGATGAATAATTCACATATTAGCATGTGTTCTGTTACATAATGTCAGTGGGAAAGTTGGGTTCAATTCGATTTATCACTGAATATTTGGAGAACACTGAATGATGCCTTGCAGGTGCTTTGCGAAGTTCCCGAGTCTTATGAAGCTTACAGAAAACAGCAACATCGCTGGCATTCCGGTCCGATGCATCTCTTTCGTGTGTGCCTTCCAGCGGTCATTAAGTCTGAGGTTAGTCTCACTCTCACATTCAATCTTGCTTATATTTCTGTTGTTTAATTTCAATCATGTCATCTCTAAAATCACCTCTAAAATTTCACTTTGCTGTGATGTTGCAGATATCATTTTGGAAGAAAGCAAACTTGATATTTTTGTTCTTTCTCCTTAGGAAACTCATTCTCCCATTCTATTCTTTCACATTATTTTGCATTATTCTTCCTTTAACCATGTTTGTCCCTGAAGCCGAGCTACCTGCCTGGGTTATTTGTTACGTTCCCGTATGCATGTCATTCCTAAGTATACTTCCTGCACCAGGATCCTTCCCATTCATTGCCCCCTACCTTCTATTTGAGAACACAATGTCTGTGACCAAATTCAATGCCATGATATCTGGACTCTTCCAGCTGGGAAGCTCATATGAATGGGTTGTCACTAAAAAGGCCGGTCGATCATCAGAACCTGACCTAGTGGCTGCAGCAGAGAGGGAATCTAAAGCCATGAATCACCCACAACTTTATAGAGGTGCTTCTGATAGCGGACTCTCTGAGCTCAACAAACTGAAAGAACACCAAGAAACACCCACTAAACCTCCTGCGAAGAAAACAAACAAGATATATCGGAAAGAGCTTGCCCTAGCTTTCTTACTACTCACTGCAGCACTCAGGAGCCTTTTATCAGCTCAAGGAGTGCACTTCTACTACTTGCTATTTCAAGGTGTGTCTTTCCTCCTTGTGGGTCTTGACCTGATTGGCGAACAAATGAGCTAAAATGATCTGCAGGAAAAAAAAAGAAAGAAGTACATTGAAAAATGAGAGAAAGAAACAGCTAAACAAGGAAAATAGTGAACATCTCTAGTTGCAGCTGCAAATTTCATATTGGCATTCTCTAGTTGGGGTGTTCGATCGTTCCTTTGGCTTCGATGGTGCAGGTAGAAGCTAACAGTACGCCATTTGCAAATAAGAAGTTTTTTCTTACCACTTAAAATATTGCCCATAAAGAAATTTTTTTTCCCTCTTTATTGATTGCTTGCATTCCCTCGTGCAATAAATTTGTGGGTTATTTGTGACATAGGCCAATCTTCAATGTTGTTGCATCTTATTATCATAAATTTTCTTCTACTTCTTTGGTTCTTAAATTTATGATCATGATGTTTGCTATATAGATATATGTAATATCAGAGCCAACTATTCATTTTTTGTCTTTGTATTCTTGCTTGGGTGTGATTTGGATCTTATGTTGTCCATCTTGTTTTGTATTTAATCCCCAAAACTACACTGAATGTATAGCTATATATAAAGTTGCAGCAGTAAGTCTATTTTAATCTCTCTCTCTCTCTCTCACACACACACACACACACTAAGCTACCTATTTTCTATAAATTTATTATTCAATGCAAGAAGTGAATTGTGATTTGTGAATGCGTGTTCTAATGAAATTACATATTAAAAAGAACTAAAAATAGTGTCGGCAGGAAGTGGGAGTGAGGAGGATAAGCTAATGACCAGAGTGGACCGTGACCATCAGTGGTGACAGCACCATTCCTCACCCTACAACCTTGAGTCTTATTTGGTATGAATTACTTTGACCTTTGCTTTAATTTGAATCTGACCAAATTGGGCTTGTGACACTGATAGTTCTGGTATATTCAAACACTATTCCAACATAATTGTATGTATGTGGACCAAAGTGGTCAACACCCTCCAATATTCTATGGCATATCCTTTATACTTTTTGAACTTGCCAATTAATACCATTTTCTTACAGCATAATGTTTGATAATAGCAAAATGAATTGGGTTTAACTTCTTATCCCACTTATATTGACACCTTTTAAATTTGCTTAAAAGACAGATAAATATAATTTAGGTCACTTTTGGACAATGACACCTTAGGTTTGCAAATTTAAACAATGACACTCCAAATATGATGAGAGTACGTGTTTATCCTTTAACAACCCTTTGACCGTGTAAAATGACTGAAACAGCCTCAACTAATATACACCACCACTACTTACCCGTCACCACCACCGCAACCTCCACAGCCACCATCTTCTTCCCCGTTCCACTACCATCATACAAAGCCACACAAACTCAACACTTCAAAAATTACACACATATATCTATATATACATATGTACATACATACAAAAGCAGAGGTAGCCATTGAACCTGACCGAGTTCAACTCGGACCTCTGCCAGCACCGAGCTCAACTCGGACGGGTCAACCATTGAACCCTGTCGTATCACCACCGAACCAGACCATCTCCACTGGCCGTTCCTTTTTGCCGTGAACTGTTTTTGGTCAACGCCTTGCCCGCCGTTCAGTCCACCATCTGATCTGCCTTCCGTGCTCTCTGCAGCCAGCTACCCATCTCATCCGAGCATCCCCCTTCCTTGCCGGTAGCCACTCCAAAGCTATTTGCCATCGTTGCCATCACGCCGCCGCGCATCGCCATCGTCGCTGTCCCCTACAGTTCACGGCTGCCCATCTCATCCGAGCTTCCAAGGCTCGTTGGCGACCGTTCCAAAGTTCACTGCCCACCTCATCGTGGCTGAGTTCAGTCCACATTCCACAGCCGGACTCATCACAGAAATCCACATCGCCGAGCTTCCTCTTTGCTACCGGCCGATCTGTATCGCCGCCTCGTGGCTGTAGTGTTCCTTAAATTTCTCTTATGGGTTTGAAAGCTGTTGAAAGAGAGAGATGAGAGAGTAAAGTTGTGTATGAGGAATGAAAGAGAGAGATGAGATGAGAGGGTAGTTTGGTTATTTTAGGTGAGGATTAAAATATATCTCAGAGCACGTTAGACATTTCATGTCATTTAAGATTGTGTTTGGCTTCGTTTTTTTTTTTTAAAATAGGATATCATTATTCAAGTTTATAAATTTACAAATATTATTGTTTAAAAGCGACCTAAATTATATCTATTTGTCTTTTAAAAAAAACTTGCCATTGCAAATTACCCTATATTATATTAGTCCGAATCTTTTGCGTTAGTCACGATTATACATATGAGTGATTGTCACCGTCAACACACTCATTCTATTATAGAGGACAAAAATTTCTACTCCGTATTATAGAATATACAAATGGTCTGACTTGATTACAGGACACACGATTCTATTACAGAGGATAAAAATTTCTATTATAGAGGATACAATAGGATACAAATGGTCTTCTACTAGAAAGGATTAGGAATGATGTCAGAAGTAGATACTTCATTTAAGAGCCCTCTCTCATTATATATATATATATATATATATATATATATATATCCACATATATATAGTGATGGTAAAGTTGTGGTCGTGAATACGATGAGATCTAGAGTTTTGGAGTCGAAGTCACGCCCATTGCAATGCATGCTATGAGAAACCAAGTGTAAAACCAGTTGACAGGACAAGCTAACTACCTACCATTACTCTCACCCTCCTGTGGAGAGTGTACAAATAGTGTTTTTAAGAGTTTTGTACTATTTTCATGTGTCGGTTGTTGAATGCTGGAGAGCCGTATCAAGTTTGGACGATTACTCTGTGGGGATGGAATATCTTGGATGTTTGTTTGGGAGGAGAGAAAGTGACAAAAGTACTTAACCCTGTTTGGCTTTTATGAACGTTTAGCTTCCATCCATCCAATATTGAAACGGGTTTGTTAAGAAAAAGATATTACAGCCCCAAGTTAGGGGTGGCAAACCGCTGAGTTGGGTTGGAGTGTCCAATATGGATTGTGATTTATATTTAATTTATTTGTAATAGGTAAAATATGAGTTGAGTCAAAATGAATCGGATTAATCTGTCATAACCTATTAATCTGTTTTTAAAAATTTATATGCTATTATTTTGGATAATTTCATTATTATAGTGTTGGTTTTTTATATAGATAAAAGTTTGTAAAAATATGTATTGATAATTGTAAATCATTCAATTTATTTTGAAAATTCTTTAAATTTGTATTATTTTATTTTTTTTTATAATTATAAATTCTCACTGCATATATGTTGTGACTGTAATAGAACAATACCACAGTACTACAAAGAATTTTAGAGAGAGAAAAAGGATGATGCAGAGTGAATATTAGAGAGAGTGGGAGAGAGAGAATTTGAGATCGTGTTAGAGAAATTTAGAGAGGAAGAAGAGATAAATTTGAGTCAAATAGAGGATGTGAAACTGTCTCTTATATAATAGGTGAAACATGGGTTGAATTCGGGTCACCCATTTTGACTTATATTTTAAAATGATTCACCCTTATCCATTTTAAAACGAACGGATATGGATTGGTTGGTATGTCATGACCCATTTTGCCATCCCTACGCTAGGGATGGCAACGGGGCGGGTTTGGAGCAGATTTCCCTAAATCCCGCCCCGCCCCTTTTAATTTTTGTCAAGTCCATGCCCGCCCCGAGACCCGCGACGGGTTGAATTTTGATATCCAACCCCGCCCCGTTAGGAAATACTGTGCCCCCGTGCCCGCCCCACTAACAAATTTTTTTCTCCCACTTTTTGAAACTTAAACTCCTACTATTTAAATATGCAAAGCCTAGGAATGACACAACATAAATAAAATTATGTATTCTAACAAAAATAAAAAAAATAACATGCACATAACATAATTCAAAGAACATAATAAACAAAAATAAAAGTTTAATACAACCAAATCACAAGAAGTTCTAAGCTCCAACTTCCACCATAACCAAAACAAAAGCAAATTTAATACCAAGTTTACATCCCAAATTAGGATTGTAAGAGATGGGTTGGGTAAGCCGCTAAAATAACTTATTAATATATATATATATTAAATATAGTTATATGCTGGGCGGGGCGGGGCGGGGCCCCTAGGATATGTATATTGAACCCTTACCCGCCCCGTGACCCTCGACGGGTACAAAATTTGTATCCATGTCCGTCCCAACGGTATAATACGTGTTCCCATATCCGTTATTAACGGGGCGGAATGGGCGGGGCCCCGGCGGGGCGGTAAAAATTGACATCCCTACCCTACGCAGTATGTGTTCGTTCGAATCTGTTACACCGCGATTGACTACAAACCATACATCACATATATGAATCTGAATCAAATCATAAATGTTGAGATAGTTGCCACGTGGTACCTTTTTTGGCCCAATAGAAAATAATTATGTTGGCATGGAGGATGATTCACACCTGTGTATAAATTCACCTCCCCCTTTCCTAACAATGAAAATGAATATGTTGTGAAAAACCCTAAAAAGAAGACTTGGAAAGAAGAAGTATTTTTGAGTACTCCAATAAAATCAATGAAACTTCAAACATGCTTGCTTTTTTAGTCAATGCGAGCTTCAAAGTAGCTTTGGTTCCATCATTACTTTTTCTTTTCATGGACAACCCATACTGGAGACTCCAAACAGTTTTTCATAAGGTAATGATAGGCATCACAAAATTTATTTTATGTTGATCTAATTTCATTTTTTTTTACCAAATGGATTGAAAGTAAATCCCACGTTTCACAACCTTATAAATGTTGGAAACTTGGTGTTGATTAAGCAAATTTTGGGTTTTGGTCCAACCTATGGAAACGCATGCTGCCCAATACGGCTCGGGCTTGGGCCTTAAAATATTGGGCTTTGAGGACGTTGGGCTGTGACATGGTCCAGAATTCTTTAATTCTTCTGGAACCTGAATTAATTCAGATCAACCCATTAAAAAGGGTCGCACCAGTTCGGATTCGGACTGAACCACTGTGCCTATTTGCGGTTTGGGCACCAATTCGAATAAACAGAACTTCATTTTCAATTAGTTTTTTTGTTTTGTTTTTTTTTTTTAATTATATTTTTTTATCTTCAATTCGTACTTTAAAATCTGATTTCTATTTCTATTTTTATTCTCTTTCTTAATACTCAATCTTCATCTAAGGGTTACGCCAAAAAAAAAAGAAAAAAAAGAAAAAAAAAAATTCTACATGGGCTATTCTTTGAGTTCATATATCTGAATTTTGATCACTAATTACTTTGTTTTGAAGTGTGTTATCATTATAAAAAAAAAAATGTTCGATACTTTTAGTGGTTTTTTAATCACATATTTATGTATTTTATATATTTCAAAAAGCATAGTTGTCTAACTTATCTCAAATTTATACATTAAAATGTAACTTTTTCAAGAATAATATTATAATTTTATTGTAAACACTAAACACAGTTAAAAAATGAGAGAAATATTATGTCTAAATTAATTTAACTTAGTCCATAAATTGATATATTTACATCAACTGTCCTCCAAGGTTCCAACTCTCTGTCTCTCTCTCCCACCGCCTATGTGTTTCGAAAATGAGGGCAACGGCTTTCAACTATTGCAACCACCCATCGTTAACCTTCTCTTCCACTCCTTCTTCCCGCCAATTCTGCTTCCCTAATCAACCACCATGTCTAGGGTTCATAAGCTTCAAAGGTAAAGCAGAACACCATTTCGAACTATCCCCAATTCGTTGATCTCTCTCTTCTATTTATTATTCGTCTTCAATATATATACACATATGCAGGCCAGGAATTGTATATAGGGAAGCGCATACACTCAACTTTTGGAGCTATAAATGGAGGCAACAGAGCAACAACGATGTCGATTTTGTCATCATCATCGCCATGGAACGATAAACCCTACGAACTACTGCCCAGTGGGAAGAGAGCTTACTTGGACGAACAGGACGTTGTCACATTTCTGGATCCTTCCAAAGACCTCATCCCTTTGGACCCCACTTCGTATAATCCCGCTGCATATCTCTGGTAAGTTCTTTTATCTGTCTACACACACATTAAACATACATATATCTTTTATTTGATGTATTTTGTTCCAATGATTCTTTTGGTTGCTGAAAATTTGTGATAATTTATAACTGTTATACATAAACAAGAGCTGATTAATTTGTGAAAATTTGTCATTATACATATATATAGAAGAGCAGATTAATCTTAAAACTCATTTGGGTCTTTATTTATTTTTTGGTATATAACTATTTATTTATTTTAAAAATCTGTGGTCCTGCTTTAAATTTTATTTTTCTGATTAGGAAAAAAATTAAAGATATCCCAGAGGAAAGACGGTATCGATTGCTGCACTTGCTAAAACCCGGGTAATCTCTCACTTGAGCCTTTTAGCTTTGTATCTACTTTCTATCCGATAAATTCTATATTTTTAGTTGGTTCATACCAATTAATTATTTAGTTTCAATTGTTTATAAATTATGGATAGGTACGTTATATGGCATTGAGTATTCAATTTTTATCTTGTGTGTGGGTCTGTCTCTAGGTTTAGATTTATTAAGCCTGAAAATATCAGGACATCAATGCATAGTTAATTGTTTGAGTGCCTTTCTAAGTTTTTGGGTGATTTGATTAAAGCATTAATATGTTTGGAGATTTACCTGCCCAAAAAAAAAAAATTTTTGCAATGGATAATCTGCTCATTGTTGTATTTATCACTGTAACATGGGCGAGAGAAATAAAAGGTATCATACTGAATTTTTGGTGAAGTAGGAATGTTGTCTTCTTTTATTTTTGTCGAATGCTCCTGTTGGCTACATGGGTTATAATAGGCTGATCCTGTAAATATCTCATATCTATATCCATGTCTTGTTGTCTCCAACATGGCCACTGTGTAGTTCTTGAAGTATATATGTGACATAGCTGACACATCTAAGTTACAAGTATGATACTAGAAAAGGGAACGCTTCAGGTTGGAATTCCTGATATATCTTTTGTAAAAAAATAAAATAAATAAATAAATTGATGCAGGCTTATATCAAGAGCTTGGGAAATAGCTGGCACACGATATGAGGATCTTAATATAGCAAAGAAAAGTTCATCTAGCATTCTGCCTGATGGAGATGGTGTGACATTGCTTGAATTTTGGAATTGCAGAACAAGTGAAGGTAACTCATTGAAATTAAGCACTTATTATTAAGTTACAATTTGACTTTGGTAAGAAAGATTAATATATTCATGCTACAATAGAGTGCTCCATATTTTTGAATTGTGCTATATGCAAGATATAGAGCCTTGCAGAAGAAAGATCGTGAACTTTGCTGTCTTCTCAGATTAGTATGAGTTATAGGAACTGTGGTACTCCCTCAAAATAGTGTCCACTTTCCTTTTTGAGATGTTCCAGAACTCAACTTCTCCAAATTGTCGTTAAGTTTTGAAATTTTTTTCTCTTTCAAATTAATCTTGTAAAATTCAAATGGGCAGCACTTATTAGGAGATGGAGGTAATACATTTTTCTCTCCGAAGTGGTAAAAAATTTGTGGCACCTTTTAAGAAAGAGGTGTATCTGTTGATAAATTAAGATTTACCATGTATTGATTTACATAATTATACAATATATGCATCCCCAAAAGGAGAAAGAAATTTATGTTTCAGAAACGATTACAGTTTGAGTCCTCTCATGGAGTGGTATTTTTTGGGGATTCTAACCTTATGAAAAATTATGTCACATGAATATTAATTGACAAGAAATGTACAATCAACCTCAAATTTTCATTTCATTTTGTGGAGTTATTGGTGAGACTTGTTGTCAAGATGACACGAGTTAAGGGAATGTTGAACTAATCTCTACTTCTCACTTCTTTGTTATGAAAAAGTTAGTATGGAAGCTAAGTAACTAAGTTTTACTAGCTTCCCCAAAGAAGCTGGATTCACTATTGGGAAGAGAGTAATTACACAAACTCCACAGGATGATTGATGTTATGAGAAAACCTGGTAATGGGAACTGAGGTATCGATCAAGAAAAGGAGACAGTGAGTTGCCCAGTTTTAAAGTGGAAAATGGGAGAAAAGAGTTAAACTAAATCAGAAACTCATTGGCTTATAAAATCAGATTAACATAAGAAATACCCATCTACATCTTAATACATGTTTGATATGCATTTCTTTATTTCTCATGCATTGAATCTCTTAAAACTGATAGCTCCTAATCTTATATAAATGTTACTCTGTATGTTTGAGAATTGTAATATTTTACTTCCAGTACTTCCATTAATATCTTTAGTATGTCTAGTAAGGCATTAAAGTATTCAAAGCTTATGACATTTGAACATTGCAAAATAGGGCCGACGCCGATTGCTTGGATGGAGTTCTTCAAGAAGGTGAATTCTCCATTTTGGGGAAGTTTTTAAGCCATAGTTATATTTTTTTTTTTTGTTTTCCTCTGTTCAAATTTACACGACAAACTTAGTCTTATTCTTTTTACTTTTTGGCATTTGTCAGGCTATATTTCGTTGCAAGGATGGGAAGACATATGGACGATTAATTGGTAATGCCTTTTCTTTATCTTATTTTCATTTTTTGTCATACTATGTTCTGGACTGCTCATACCCTCATTTACATGAAAGTATTCATTTCTAGTCAATTTCTGCATCATTTCTGAACTTTGAATTAGGTTAGCCTTGGTTACATATGCTATTCTGGCGATATTTCTACCATGGGAGGTCCATCCGAATTCCACACCCTTGAGTCAGGACTTTCTTGGGAAAGACTAATTTAGAAAAAAGGCAACACCCAATGCTAGTTAGGCCAGTGAGGGTGCTGGGGTGGGGGGGGGGGGGGGGGGGACACTTCGATGTTATTTGTATGAAGTGACTGCCATAAGAGTCGAACACATGTTAAACTCAACAAGGTCTTCCCAACTATTCAAGGTTCAGCTACATGAATCTTGTTTCGTTATGCTGCTCTATCTAATGCCATATCCTGAGTTAAACATGTTATCATATATTTTCATATATTTTCTAATCGTCTCAACCCATGTTAGTTTTGTCTTCCCCTTCCCCTAGCGTTACCCTCAACAAGGAATACGTCACTTTATCTAACATGGCCAAATTATATTAGCTGGTTTTCGCTCATTTTATCTCCAATAAGTGATCCTTTCGCTCATTTTTCACTTTTTTTTTTCTCTTAGCTTTGACTTAATTTCTTCTTAGATTTCCACTTATCCTTTCAGCACCTTGAACAAAATCATTCATCCTTAGTAGCGGTAGTTCAGTAACTGATCTTTGTTATACATGAATAAACCATCTTAATGGAATTGTCTCATGTTTGCTTTACTATTTCTACCTCGAGCTTCTCAAAAGTTAATTTCTTTTCTACCTTTTCATGGTTTGTCTCCCATCATCTCTAGTGAAATAGAAGGAGATTCAAATGTCATGCTTTGACTGAAGATAGTTGATGTACTATAAAGGCATTATATCTTGCTACTGCTATTTAGGTAAGGCGTGAACATAATTCTTGGATATAATTCTCATAAATAGATAATTTTGCTAGTGGTTTGCTCAAATAAATTTAAAGACATGAAATGAAATGGTGCGTGCTACTGTTAGAATCTAGTAACTTTCTTAGAAGATGAGATTCTTGAAATATTACTATTAGAATATGAGATTCTTGAAATATTACTGTTAGAATCTAGTTATTTTCTTATATTTGAGATTCTTGAATTGATGATGTGGATCTTATAATGATTTCATGGTTATAACTAGGAGTCTAGGAGCTACATGGCAGGTAAATAGGTCTTACAGCTCTTTTAATTAGATTTTTAATTAGATTTTTATTTGCTCCTATCTTTTGTTTTCCAATTAATGTCCATTTTTAGATTATGTATAATGCAAAACTTCATGAAGCAAACTAGTTAAACACTATTTTTTTTTTTTTTAAGGTGGTTGTTTTGTTTTCTTCAATTTTTGTCTAATTATATATTTCAGTCTGAGTTACCTTAAAAAAGAAAAAGAAAGAATTATCGTGACATTGGTGCATTGCATTTGTGGTTTATGTCATTGCATGTATGCTAGACTATTTACTTTCTTGATTTGATACTTAATATTTTTTAACTCAATTAATTAGTAAATGTTTCTCTTTCTAACAAACTTAAAATTCTCAGGTGGATCTGTTACATCTGGATTTGCAAATTCATTTTGTCCATTGTATTTCATGGTGGGAAAAGTTAATGAAGTGATGTCAACAGAGCAGCCTTGTGATTTTGCATATGAATTTGGGGATGGACTCTTGGATCTCCAAGATTATCCTCAAGGTTTCCCTACACCAGGTGAGTAAGTTCTTAATACTATTTGATGCAACATGGTCAATTTGAGATACGGCTTATAGTATCTTATTGATTACCTATTTATGTTTACACGAATTGTCTGGACCTGTAGTTACATTATTGTAACTTACATCCCATTTTTTGCTGAAGCTTTTACTCCGATTTTTCTTATTCAAAATCTGATTTTTTTCTTTTTTTTTATATTTTATGCGGCTATGCTCAAGTGTCTGTATGCATTTAATCATTAGGTGCTTAACATTTCACTAGAAGTAATAAATCTTGTTAAAAATGTTGTGTCAATTAGTTTCAAGATTTGTTTAGTAGAAGTTCAAGAGAAGAACGGAGAAGGAGATTTAGGGAGAGATCTTGATTCTTCTCAGTAACCCAGTTTAATTTATATAAGAAGAGGTACTGCTACAGTGCCCATCCTAGTAAATCAGAACATGACTAGAGACTTTACTGCCTTGGAATACCTCATACAGCCAGTTCATATCTTCAAGGTTGTGCATCTATGTCACATACAAGTATATAACCAACTTGCCTGAACTGTTACCTAGAAGTCTTTTTCATTTGTTGAAGCAAACACATTGATTTGAAAAATCCCCTCAGCATAATATTCTACTCTAGATTTGATTAGACAAGAAAGCCTGAAGAGAAGTTAATAATTTTATAATGTCTCATAATTATATTGATTAGACTTGTTACGGCTGAGAGAGGGTGGTCCCTTATATTACTTCTAATAATTCGATTGTCTCAATACTATATTGATTAGACTTGTTACAGCAGAGAGAGGGTTGTGACCGTTGTCCCTTAATACAAGTTATAATGACTCTTGATTTCTCCTATAATGATCTTTACAATCCCCACTCAACATTATTATCATTTTACCACTTCCCTAAGCTAGCACTTAGTAGTTCCAAACTTTAATTGATACTTCAGTAGAAACAAAGATGAACTTTGACTTCATTAATAAAGAAGAGACATTTCAAGGCACCATTCTTTATTTCCCCACCCCCCTCCAAAAAAGAAAAAACCATTAATAACATTTTAACACTTCCCTAAGCTAACACTTGGCTGTTTAAAATCTTGTGTTCCATTAGTTACAGGATAGTGTTGGCATAGGTAGGTTACCTCATCCTGGAAATGCATTTATGGAACTTATAAGAAACCTGTCTTAAATTTTCTCATATAGGTGGTTGATACACATTTTCAGGGGCTTCCTGTGAAATTTGATATTAAAATGTGTCCCACCTAGTTCTTCAAATAGTATTGCTTGGGTGGTCAGTTCATGTCATTTGTATGCTGGGGTCAAACCATGTACTAATGTCTCAGAACCACCAAATTATTGTCGAAGAAAATGTCCTTCAGTGTCATGAACTCATGTCTGCAACAGCAGCGTCATGTTACTGTTGTGGAAAAATTCATTATGTTGCTCTGGTGTTCTTGGTTCAGTGTTGCCTATTGTTAATAGATTTATCACCACATTATGCAGTGAAACATCCATGGCCCTTCAGCGATCAGGTAGTTATATACGTTCGTCACGTCGGACCAGGAGTATTAGTAGGGCAAGCCTGGCAAGAAGGAGAAGCATTGGAAAAAGTGCCTCAAAAGTTGTGCGGTGAGATCTTAATGGTGAAAGATTATGCTGCTCTTGTTGAAAAATCAGTAGAAGAAACTTTTTGATGTTCTAAACTATGAGCTTTGTTCAAAGCCAGCTAATAAGAGTCATTCAGTCTTTTAGTGTTAGAATGGTGAAGAGTCTTTGTATGTCAAAATTTTAGTGTCAGCTTGCTGAAATTTTGTATGTCAAGTCACTGTTTGTTTGTTTGGATGTAAAATATATTTATTTATTTATTATTATTTTTTTGGTGTTTGGTTGTCGTAAAATATTTATGAAGGAAAAAGAATATTAAAACTTAATAAAAATAATTTACTCATCAATTTTTGATAAGTTATTTTACACGTTCTACTCAATAAATTCGACCTAAATTTTTGTCAAATATTGAAAAATAAATTTAAAAACAGTATTTTACCTGAAAAAGAAAAAGAAAAATCAAAAAAAAAATATTTTACCCGTTTTTTTACTATAAAAAAAATCATATTTTGTCTTTATCACTTTTTAAGCTTATTATTTATTTGAACAAAGAGAAGAGGTCAACGTTATTATGTATGAAGCATGAACATGGGGGACACAGCAAGATACACATATAACGAGATGGCAAAATCTTAAAAAATAAGTTAAAAGATTATATTTATGAAGATATGTATACAAATTAAAAATATATGTTCATCTCGTGGGGAAGAATAGGGTGTATAAAAATCGCTAAAGTGTGGGGCTGCATTAATTAAATCCAGTACATATGGGTGAATATTAATTGAAATCACAATATATGAGTGATTCTTTAAGGAGTGCAAAGGCTACTATATATCCTGAGGTGGGTGATATGGTGGAATACAATTATTTGATTAATACTGTATTATATTTTTATTTTTGGCTCTTTCAATATTTTAGTTCCCACAGTTTTTTTTGATAAATATATATATGGAGAAAATTTCTTGTTCACATGCCGTAATATCTACACTTTTTTTTTTTTTTTTTTTTTAAAGAAAATTTATTTTTCTTAATAATCCTAATATGATCTTAAACTTGAAAAAATGTATTATTAATTAACTAAGTGTCCTGAAATAACTAAAAATTACATTATTAACTATGATATTAATTTTTATTTAATTAGTAATTATAGAATCAGATTATTGTAATGTTGACCATGCAGTCAAATAGCTTCTGAAATTAATCAAAATTTGAGTTAAATGAATAAACTAAATGAATACTAGGTCAACATGGCACATGTTTATGCTAGAAAACAAAAATTTCTTGTTCAATATTTTAGTCCCCACAGTTTTTTTTGATAAATATATATATGGAGAAAATTTCTTGTTCACATGCCGTAATATCTACACTTTTTTTTTTTTTTTTTTTAAAGAAAATTTATTTTTCTTAATAATCCTAATATGATCTTAAACTTGAAAAAATGTATTATTAATTAACTAAGTGTCCTGAAATAACTAAAAATTACATTATTAACTATGATATTAATTTTTATTTAATTAGTAATTATAGAATCAGATTATTGTAATGTTGACCATGCAGTCAAATAGCTTCTGAAATTAATCAAAATTTGAGTTAAATGAATAAACTAAATGAATACTAGGTCAACATGGCACATGTTTATGCTAGAAAACAAAAATTTCTTGTTCAATATTTTAGTCCCCACAGTTTTTTTTGATAAATATATATATGGAGAAAATTTCTTGTTCACATGCCGTAATATCTACACTTTTTTTTTTTTTTAAAGAAAATTTATTTTTCTTAATAATCCTAATATGATCTTAAACTTGAAAAAATGTATTATTAATTAACTAAGTGTCCTGAAATAACTAAAAATTACATTATTAACTATGATATTAATTTTTATTTAATTAGTAATTATAGAATCAGATTATTGTAATGTTGACCATGCAGTCAAATAGCTTCTGCAATTAATCAAAATTTGAGTTAAATGAATAAACTAAATGAATACTAGGTCAACATGGCACATGTTTATGCTAGAAAACAAAAATTCTACAAGGAGATTCATGCTATTTGAAATGAATAAACTACATGAATAAACAAAATTTAAGTTAAATGAATAATAGGTCAACACGGCACATGTTTCTGCTAGAAAACAAAAAAATTCTACAAGGAGATTCATGCTTCATGCTTCATGTTATTTCAAATGCTAATTTGAAAAACTAATTTTTGTAGAGTTTAATTTTTAATTTTTATTTATTTTTATTATGGTAATAGAAAGTGTATTTCCAAATGGCGAGTCTACCTAAATTTTAATTATGTTTATAAGTTTAAGGCAACAGGTAAATTAAGAATATTAAAAAAATAACACATTAAATTTAATTTGGGACAGTCAAAGAAGGCCGGACAAGTTTTGTACAGGCCGGAATGAGTATATAAATACACACATATACACACAACTCATAAACCACCCTCCCATTCCCATACAACATAAACAAAGAAGTGCATACATATTCAACATGGTTATGGCTTCTGCATCACCACCCCATGTAGTCATCTTCCCTTACATGGCTGTAGGGCACACCCTGCCATTACTAGACCTCTCCAAGGCTCTTTCGCGCCACGGCCTCAAAATCACCATCATCACCACCCCATCAAACGCCCCATGTATCCACTCAATGGTCTCAAACGATCCACAAATCTCTTTGTCCATAATTCCATTTCCGAGAGTAGAAGAGTTACCCGAAGGTTGCGAGAACACCGCTTGTCTTCCATCCATGGATCTTTTCGTGGCCTTTGCAAAAGCCACTAAAAAGCTCAAAGTGCCGTTTGAGGGTGTCCTCAAAGAGATGTCTGAAGCAGGGTGTCGCCCCATTTGCGTGATCTCGGACTTCTTCCTAGGCTGGACACTGGATTCATGCCGTTCCTTGGGCATTCCTCGTCTTGTTAGCCATGGAATGGGCTTGTTCTCTATGGCTGCTTCTAAAGCTGCCTGCGTGCGTGGCCCGTCCATAAGTGCTATGTTGGATTCTGATCCCGTACACTTTCCAGAATTGGAGATTCCATTCACCTTGACAAAGGCCGACTTACCAGACACACTCAAGACCGCCAACGGTGACGATCCGTGGCTGCAGCTCTTGGCAGAGGTGGGAGAAGCAGATGCCAACAGCTGGGGTATAATAGTCAATAGCTTCGAAGAGATTGAAGGTGAGTATGTAGCTGCTCTGGAGTCTTTTTACATGAAGGCGGCCAAGGCATGGTGTGTTGGTCCACTTCTACTTTTCAACGAGTTTGAAAAAAAAGAAAAGGATCAATGTTGTTCCAACATCAAGTGGCTTGACAAACAATTGGGTGCTGCTGTGATATATGTATCGTTTGGTACACAAGCACACGTGACAGATATGCAGATGGATGAGATTGCACTAGGACTGGAGATGGCAGGGCATCCGTTCCTATGGGTGATACGATCAACCACATGGAGCCCCCCGGACGGTTGGGCGGAGAGGGTGAAGGAGAGGGGATTGATCGTAAGGAATTGGGCGGAGCAGCGACGCATATTAGCTCACCCGTCAACGGGTGGGTTTTTGAGTCACTGTGGTTGGAACTCGGCGTTGGAGAGCTTGTCACTGGGGGTGCCACTATTGGCATGGTCAATGGGGGCAGAGCAGCAGCTGAATGCTAAGTTTGTGGCGGTGGGATTGGGAGTGGGGTTATTGATCCCACATGGAAGTGAGGGGGGAAGCATGACCGTTGGATGCGACGTGATTTGTAATGGAGTGAAGAAATTAATGAATGGAGGAGAAGGTAAGAAAGCCAGGGAGAGGGCACAAGCATTGCAGAAGATGGCAAGGCAAGCTGTAGAGAAAGGTGGATCGTCTGACAAGAAGTTGAATGAATTGATTAAGTCGCTAACACACAAATAGAAGAGCATGTAAAATCGAATTTCTACAGTTAGTCTAGTTATATTAATAAGGGAAACACATATTTGGAGAGACAGGGAGTGAGTGAGAACTTTTGAATCTAGAGCCATCAAATAAAATATGAAGAACTGAATAGTTGTGCAATAGCAGTTACAATGAGTCCAAGAGTAGTACAATGTATCTAGTGATTGTGTTATTTTCTGCTAATGATAAATTCTCCTTTTTCGATATATTGACTTTATACATGTTTATTTGATAATTGTACATGTAGAAGAGGATCATACCATACCAGTATGAGTTATATGGCTATAACATTTGAAATGTCGGTATTTAACTAGAGCGATTAATTTTCTTTCATAATCCTGAAACACAAAAACATCCCAGATTTCAATGACAAGAAGTCAATTTAACAAAGACATTCAGCTACACATTTGCGAAATTAGTAACTAAATTAAGCACTAACATGTATTGAGGAAATGGGGTGGCACTAAAATAAATAAATAACTACAAAGTAATCATCCCTTACGTTAATAACCTTTGACATTTTTGTGAAGAACATAAATGAAGCCAACATCATTTCTGAACTTTGAAAGCTACCCAAAACTATAAACGAAAGCTGAATAGTGATTACGTTAATAACCTTTGACATTTTTGTGAAGAACATAAATGAAGCCAACATCATTTCTGAACTTTGAAAGCTACCCAAAACTATAAACGAAAGCTGAATAGTGATTCCGAAAAGGAAAGGCCTTGCCGGTGATGCATGCATCCACATGAATGTTGACCAATTAATGTAGGGATAATGTTTTCTTTTTTTTGGGGGGGGGGGGGACTTTGAACGCTACCTAAACTATAAAGAATGACAAAGACAATGACAAGTAGTCAATTCAACAATACAACATGTTTTGTGATTTCGTCTAGATGTCTGCATGGTGCCAATCTCTATCCTTGGACCCAAATAAGTAAAGAATGGGACAAAGTCAAAGCAAGATAAATGAAGTTGAGAAATGTTCTAGAGTGGTATGTGATGTATGTGAATTCAAGGGATGAGATCGAGATGGCAATATCTCCGTAACAATGGCCGCCTAGTTGACTCTCTTATTGCTCAATTGTCTTTTTCTGAAACCAACCGGTCCCTCCATCCTGCATGGACCATCTTCATATTTTCAATTAAACACAAGGAAAACCGCAATTTTGTGAAATTTTGAGGGCTATATTGCCAAAATAGCTACTTTGAAATACAAAGTGTAGAAATCATACCATTTGTGAAAATATTTACGAAACCATGAACTTTCACTGTTTATTTCTATGCTGTTGCAAACAACGCCTATATGTCACCTGTAGTAATGCGTATTGGGGCTAAAAGGAAGTGAAACTACCTCTGAGACCTCAGTACAATCTAATGGTTTGATGGAGCAAAAGTTATGAGCAAACTGGTTTACCATTGATTTCATCTTCCTAAACAACTTTAGACCAAAAAATCAATTCCTTGACGCAAGAATAAAAAAAAAAAAGGGTAAAGTACAGAGACATCCCCTGAGGTTTGGGGTAAGGACATTCGGAGGAAAATTGTCTATTTTTGGACAATGACACCCTAAGTTTGAAAAATGGACAAAGAGACCTTGAAGATGGTGAATTGACCTTATTATCCTTTGAAATAAAATTAACATTTTAATTGACTTAAATACCCTTGGATTAAATCCAAACCCATCTTAAACCCGAACCCAAACCCGCCTGTGTGTATATTATATAGTTCACCGGAGGAGAGAGAACAGAGAGAGGAAGAAGGGAGATGAGATGGATGGTGGTTGTGGCTGCGATGGTGGGTGTAAAGAGAAGCGAGTCAGAGATGAATGGGATGAGTCAGAGATGAATGGGATAAGTCAGAGCTGAACTCAGCCGAGGTGAAGAGACTCAGGGATGACCTCCTAAATCTCGACGACTCGGATCTCGGAACCAGTTGTTCTGACCTCGACTCATTCATGAAGAGCTTCGAAGAAGAGATCTCCGTGTCGCCAGCTCCACCGGCGAACGTTGTAGATCTGACGTCAGACGTCGGAGATTCCCAACCAGAGCTTGGCTACCTCTTGGAAGCCTTCGATGACGAGCTCGGCCTCCCTCCGTCGACTACGTCGTCAAGTGAGGCGGAGAACAACAAAGAGACCGAGTTGGTCCGAGTTTCGTCGGACTCGACTGGACTCGGTGAGTTATGGGAGTTTGATAATGAGATCTCAAGTTACGACTCGTTCGGGTTGGGAATCGTTGGTGGTGATAGTTATATTAATAAAGGCGAGTACGTTGCGTTAGACGAGTTGTTCGTTCATTCGGATCAATTATTCTGGTCATCAGAATATTCGGATGGCTCGTGGTGGTCGGAAACGTTGCCGGCGCAGTAGTAACAGCGAAACGTTGTAGTGAAAAAGCATATTGTAAACGGAACCCAAACCCGCCTCTGTGTATATTATACAGTTCAACATCTTTGGACATAAACACCACTGAGGGCAATCCAAAGATTATGGAAGTGGACACTGGCAAGGCCAAATCAAGATCTCGGAGAACCAAAACCTGGGTGTCAGATTCTGGCGACGACCCATTTGGCCAAACACTCTCCTCACCCTTCCCATATCGAATTTTGACGTGTTTATCAATCCTCGGTCACCGGAACTCCCAAGACATCGATTGGGGACTAACTGGAGAAGAATGCCGGTTCTCCACAGCCGAAAGCACCCCTTAGTTTGTAAATTCTGGCAGGTCTAATGCCCCGGTGACGTCGGCGAAGAGCGTCTATGTTGATACTTATTTCTGGCAGTACACAAATTATCTAAATTACATGGCCAGTACACAATCATTCAAGGCCAAATTGAGGTCCCAAAGTGCTCCAAAGCAGAGGCCTGAACCTGAATGATGGAGTCCAGGAATAGCCTAAGTGGAATTAGAGGCCGAGCTCCGGCGAGGTCGAGGAGGTAGCGGTGGCAGAGCTCATCTTCGGCGTCTTCACTTGGGGGTGGTGGTCACTGGTTGTTTGTGTGTGTATATATATCTATATATATATATATATATATATATAGATATATATATAGAGAAAGAGAGATGAAAAGGGTAATGTGATACCCCTCGATTCTAGAGTCACGGGTGATCAAGTCCGAGCACAAAACACAAGGGATATCAAACAATTAATATTTAAACAAGCATTTGAATACAAAAGAATAATAAAGAATAAATAAATAATAAGCTGAAGGAAACTAAATAATAAATTCCTATTTTAAAATCCTCAAACAAATAATAATTAAAAACCCAATAATAAAATCCTCCTATCTTCGGATACTAGTAATTAATTAAACTACAACTCGGGAATCCATCATGTGGATCCCTAATAATATCCTAACTGAAATAACTGAACCGAAATAAAAATAATAAGTAACTAATGAAGACGAGTCCTACGTAGAGTCGGAAGAGTGAATGACTGTCTCTGCTCGGCACGAACAATCTCTAAGACTGGAACTGACGAACACCTGAAAAATAATGGTGGGTCAGACCCACAAACAAGTTCTAATCTACTACATCCCAAAATAGACCCGATATACGTACACATCCTAATTAATTCAACAATAACTAAATAGTCCATATGTAGATATATACACACTAAAGAAACCTCACTAGACTATAGAGTTGTCCCAACCTGAATAGTAGGCAACATGCAAAACGCACATATAGTGGGCATGAGTACCTAGACCTACCAGGGTACACAACTACGCTATATCTAGCTACACATCCCTGGCAATATACGCACCATAACCACTGATCCTGAGACTCAAGCTCATATCATGGTGTATAATTGTATATTTAAAATCCGTCCTATCCAACCATCACAAATAAACTATCCAATTATTATTTTAATAATATGTCATCCAACTATTCCGTTGACTTGACACGAATAAGTAGGACTTAACACTATGGTTAATCCGTTCCCTTATTAAATAGGTAGGACTTAACTTTTAAGTTAATCCGTCCCTAACATGCCCCCATCCCATAATGGTGCATTAATCCATATCATAATCAAAGAATAATGTAAATAATATTTACATATAATAATCCAAATAAACATGAGATAGATCATATACTCATCCATTGCATTTACTTAAACAAAAATATTAATTCTAAGTAGCATGCATTTAATTTACATCATAAGAAATTAACATGCATATCAATTAAATTGTACATCTCCATGTTCCGATTAAATTAATTTTAAATCTAAACAATTGATTAAAATAATTTAGTCCAACTATATTTAATTAATTTATCCCTTTTAAAAATAATTATATTCCATACTTAACATGTAAACTTAAATCATGCTTTCTAATTTTTAATGAATCTATTTAAATCAATTAAATATTTAATATAGACCTATCAATTCAAAAATAATAAATATTAATTTAGTATTCTAACCCTAAACAAATTAACCTTAAAATATTTAATGCATACTTATTTTTTTTTTTATACCAAATTGATTTATTCCTACCATAACAGTATTACATGTTGCCTCGTTCGGCGTGTTTGCCTTGTGAAAGACATGGAATTCCAACTTTCCAATTTCATCACGTGCACCCCTTTATGCATAGAATCAGTTTGTGACTTAGCAATGTCTAACTTTATGTTTATATCCATAAATTGATTCTTCACCTCGTTCGGCGTGCATCCCTTATAAATAAAACCAACTTTTGATTTTCTATACTTAAAGTACAAACTGTTGCAATCTCCAATTAATTCACGTGAAAAAAAATAATAAAACAGATAAATTAAATTAAAATCACAGCCACCAACAGTGCTAAGTTCGGCGGAAGAAAAGAATTAAATTCCACTATTAAAAAATGAATTTAAAATTTCAAATTAATCCATGAATTTTGATTAAATTAATTTATTTAAGAACCTAGAATTAATCTAGCATGCATAGGGTACGAATCAAAGGAGAAGAGAAGAATTAAAACTTGCCTTTAGGGATTTGATAAAAATCCTAACCTCCTTCTTCCTTTTTCTCTTCCTTCCTCTTCTTTCTTTCTCTCTCTAAAAGTACGTGATATATTTTCTAACCTCTTTCACAACTCTATAGTTATATATTTATAGGCAATTAAAATAACCCTAATCCTTTTTCCATTTCAAGACAAACTAAAACAAAATAAAAATAAAAATAAAATAAAATAAAATTATAAAAATAAATAAAATAAAATAAAAATAAAAATAAAACAATTAAATTCCTAAATAAATACACATCATTACATACAATTCAATTTAAACAAATAATTAAATCAATTAAACAAGTAAACAATTAGCCAAGAAAACAACTAAATAATTAAATGCAATTAAAACGGAGACTATCCTTTTTAAATTAGGGGTATTACAGGTAATTTGGTCATTTAAGTTTTTGATATTTTATAATTAAAATTAATAAAATAGCGAAGGGTAAAGTGAACTTTTCATATGATTTAAGGCTCTGTTTAGATGATAAATTTTACAAGGGAGTGTCGTTATCCAAAAATAAACAAACTTTCTCATGGGTGTCCTTACCTCAAATGTGTCTCTGTACTTTATCCTTAAATAAAAATTCAAACTAAAAATAAATATTTTAAATATGAAGAGGTTTTGAATGCACTGCGTCCGCAGTTCCTCTCACACATCAACATCATTCATCACTATTCACTAAGCAAACTATCTCTCTCCACCACGAGATCGAGGTGGTGTGTCAGAAATCAAGATACGATTGCTAGCTATATAAAAATTTTTACATATATGATGACTGTAGAGAAAAAAAGATATATATATATATATATACACATATATATAATTTACCTTTACTCCATGAGCCCACACAAATGGGTGACTGACTGTTTCGCACTCATTTATTTGCACGTTGAGGTCCATCCATAAAAATTGTCACCCCCCTCTCTTCTGGTTGTTCCATATCCCCATCCATACATAAAATTAACCTAATTAACTTATTAGATTGATGATACTGCAAAGAGTACGGCTATGATGGGTAGCATTTCCTACTGCAAAATATAATAATATCATGGTTTTCATACTAATGCTCACAATAATGTAAGTAGTTGGTATTCATCAAATAATTTTTTTTAAAGGGGCAAAATGGATGCAAAGACAACTGTAACAAAATTAAACATGTTATAGATTTATATTCTAAAAAATAAATAAATAAAAGACGATAAACAAAAAGGCTTGTCAGGCCAACAAAATATTGTAGCTATCCAACAGAAATTAAGATTACTAACCTTTTTTTCTCCTCATTGTTTATTGTCACAATGAGTTCAGCTATCAGAGATGAATTCCCTCTTTTTATTTTTATGATTACATGTTCTACCAAAAAGGAGATTGCCAAATTTTGATAACAAATAATCAATCCAGCTATCCACTTTGACTCAGATGGTTTGTAAATTTCGTATGTATGCGGTCGCTTGTAAACCACGCGCATCATTTAAGTTCAGAATTCACTAATCTCAAAAGTTGAGCTAGGCCATGGGACACACACCCATCGTAATATTATTCTAGAAGGGATTGAGCAATCAACCTTTCGTTTCAGTTTCAGAAGAGAGATCGCACCATTTGTTTCGCATGCCGCATCTTCAAAATAGAATGAGCTTACATCTTTGAAACCCATTGTCCTGATTGGTATCTTGAATATGATGAACCAGCCCCTGTACACCTAACTGTTTCAGAATTCCGAGCTTTTGCAACAATCTGAGCCTGAGAAGGGCCATTATCGGTTACCCAATTTGCATCATTCTCTGAATCGCCGCCTAAATTTGGCAAAGCTCGTGAAACCTACTGGAGTCTTAGAAATTATGTTGAATAATAAGTTCATTTGATAAATAAGAGAGAAAAGAAACAACACCATCATCTATGAAGAAAAGCACAGACGGTAATTTACATAAATTTCTCCTATAGTTTGTCATAATTGTACCGACTTTTTCTATAATTTAAGAATTTATACAGACCTCCTGTAATAATAAAAATATACTACACAGACCTCTCTTCTGTTATAATAAACATCAGTTAATGACAAATTTTATTAAAATTTTCACAATCCTTTGTGAGTGTAAATGGGTGTAAATATAATTTGGTGGGTGCTCATATTCTATGGGTGTAAATGTGTCTGTCATGCCACGGCAATAGCATTCAGAATGAGAAATTTTTTTATGATCATTGTAACCCACCATTTTTACATCAATAACAGCAGTGTGTGTGTGTGCAGTCAGTGTGTGTGTGTGCAGTCAGTGTGCAGTCAGTGTGTGCGCGTGCAGTGTACAGTGTGTGCAGTCAGTGTGTGCGCAGTGTGTGCAGTCAGTGTGTGAGTGCAGAGAGAGAGAGAGTGTGTGTGCGCGTGCACTTGCGCGTGCGCAGAGAGAGCGTGTGTGTGCGCGTGTAATAACACAGACAGAATAAATCTGCAAATTGAACTCATAACAGAGAAGGTATTCTAATTATCAGGTAACCATGTTCTTCATATTAAAAATAAAAAAAAAATAAAAATAAAGGGACTAATATGAGTTAATGAACAGTCCATATGGTTCGGCGGTGCCACCGTTGACGGTGGCGTTAACGATTGTACCAGAACAGAATTCAGAGCATCCACAAATTGTTCCCTATCTGACTTCCCCTCATTCGATGCCAAACTCGATGGCGTTGCCTGTGGCGGATTCACCTGGAAGAGAAACAACCTCAGCTTTGCCGGTTTCGCCGTAGCCCGATATATAACCGATCGTACTCGTGCATCATGTGGTCGAGAACGTCGTCATTGGTGATCGATCAATGCGTCGAGATCTTCTCCGAGTAACTGGTACTTGAAGCAATCGCCGGCGTATAAGGCAGCTCTGTATAACTGTATGTATAAGGCAACTGTGACGTCATGCTTAGTCAATAACATATGGGTACTTTAGTAATTTCAGATGGCAACGCAAGGGTATTTCAGTAATTTTGATAGATCCGTTAGTATATTTGACGGTCCGTCACACATAAGGAAAGTCTGTATAGGATATTTTCATTGTTAAGAGAGGTCCGAATAAATTTCTAAACTAAAAGGGAAGTCCGTATAATTATGACAAATTATAGGAGAGGTTTGTGTAAATTATCCAAAAAAAAAAATGATGCCAACAATGATATTTTTGTTTAGAAAAGGTAAAGGAGAAAAAAGAAACGAAATGAAATGATAACAGTTAAATTACTATCATATTTTTTTATAAAATGAGACACGAATGTAATTACAAGTTTTTTAAAACTTGTAATTTGTTCCGAACGTACTTTAGGGATTATGAAAGTATTACTCAACTATTATCATTTCTCTCCAAATTTTTCCATTTTTAGGAGGATATTGTTATCTCTCCAAATCTCTCCCAATTCTTTCTTTTCTCTTCGTTTAAGACAACCAAACACATTTCAGGCTATCAAATTTTTTTTTTTTCTATCTTTTCTCTCCAAATCATTAATATATGGAGAAAATTGGCAATGTACAAACTTAATTATCTTGACTACAATGTCAGCACCAAACAACTATTCTCCCAGACAATCATTCACACACAATCATGCAGCTGCAGGAGTGGAAGATAACTGATTGATCGCGGCATTATTAATGTTACCCATCATATTTGTGCACGTGTTGCTTCCATACATCCCTAGCTTTGGCTGAAACAGAGAGCAAACCATATTCTTCAACCTTTCTGCACTATATTTTGTGTTCCTGCTAGGACTTGCCTCTTGTTGGACCCAAGGCATGTATGTCTGCAAGAATTTCTGATAAGCAGGGACTATAATTTGCACCACAAGCTGGCAAGCCTTCCCTCTCAGGCTCTTATCCGACACAGCCCAACTACATTGCTTCTTATACATGCCATCAAAAGCATCCATGAACACTTCGAGTCTCTTCTTGACCAGATCATGATCAATGGCTCTCCCACCGGGGAACAAAATCAGACCCTCCTCGCTCAACATTGCAGGGAGCTTTCCCCAGCTCTCTCTCAGGTAGAGAGTCGCGTAGTACTCCATGTACTGCTCGTGTCCTTGCAGCCAAGAATCTCCCATTAGATCGCCAAGCTTGGTGCCCTTCAGATTCTTGTACAAGTACCAGTGGTTGTTCATCAGGAAAAGGTAGGACAGGGTGGTGTCTTCGTATGTCTTCGCCCATGTCTCCAGGTTCAGCTCAATCGCCTTTATGATGTCATGGACCTCGTGTGAAAGTAGCTCCTCTTCGAATTTTGCATGGTCCCAACTCCGATGAATCTCCAAGACTTGAGCCAGGATCGGTCTATAGTTGTCGTGAAGCAGCAGATTACAGTAGTCGGTGACAAAGCTTAGCAGCCTTGGAACACTGCCATCCGAAGGAGGAGCAGATTGCCTCTGCAACTCCACTTGGACTGAGAGCTCCCAGAAAATCTCACTGGCTCCGTTGACAACCTTCTTGATGAGATCCCTTGTCCGAGTTTGGATTTCAACGCATGCTTTCCCACCAAACAGTCGGTTGAAATCCAATCTCAGTTTGTTCAAAGCTGCGAAAATGTCCAGTAGCTTCAGTAGCTTGATGGCGTCCTTCTTTCCCTTGGTAATGGTGTTCCCAAATTTGATGAAATCATGCAGTCCAGATTGGACAGTGACCTTCGCGAAGCAACCCATCCAAACATCAGACCCAACCTTCTCAAATACATTTTCGCAAAGTTTGTACTCAAGCTCAAATACATGCTTCACAGCAAATTCCAAATGCTTGCACCATTGATCTATGTAACCCTCCACACTTTGCACACTATCGAATTCTGATAATGATATCTCTCGGTAGTCCAAATCAAGAGCTTGTAAAGTTGCTCTAGCGTTCAAACTCCGAACCTCCACATACATAGAAATGCACTTTTCAAGCCTATTACTAGTAGTTAATTTCTCAATAATGGCTTGCAACTTCTGAATAACAGGCACCGGGAAGGGTAGTGAAGCAATGCAGGCTTGCTCCCCAACAGAGACTGACGAGGAAGCCATGGGAAGAGGAAAACTGTTTTCCATCAAGATACGTCTGAATTCGCTTTCCAGCTTCCCATATGCAGCACACAAACACCCTCCACTAAGAAGTGAATGCTCCTCGGTCACCCTTAACTCCTCAAGTATTCTCAAACATTTATTCAAATTCAAGAGGTATCGATCATCATCAACAACTGCATTCCCTTCCAGGAACCGTACAGCATCCTCCAACCACCGAATAACTAGCCCACAATTGTCAGTGAGGAATTTTAGCGCCTCTTCAAGTTGCTTGACGATTGAAAGATAACGAAAGAGGTTGGAACAAGGATCAGCCGAGAGTGATTCTTCAAGCATGTGGACCGCGTCAAACACATTCAAAACAGCAGCAGCAGGGCCGACAGTAGGGTCGATATGCCTTCCAATCTCAGAAAGAGAACACTTGCTTGCGAGGGTTTTGATAGCAGCTTCCAATGATGGCAATCTCTGGTTGATCTCCTCCAGTTTCCGGCCAGTCTTATCTATTGCAGAAGCTAGATGTTTTGATTTCTCTAAGCTACTAGTCAACAATTCCCTAGCAGCTATAAGATTTTCTATATTCCCTAACTGAGCCATTGCCAAATGAAACAATTAACCAAAGATTTCACTACAGTTGAATCAAATACTAGCTCAGTTATAAACTATCTGCACATAATACGCATTGAAGTAAACAATGACGTCATTTCTTCTTTACCATTACTTTCTTCAACGAACTTCACCAAGACCACCAGATTCAAACCAAACTTTACTGCCACAACAAGAATACCATAACTTTCACAACCACCAAAGCCGTTAAATTAACTTTGATGAGGATTAACTTATACACATACCCTATGCAAATAATGATAACAATAAAAATTCATTACTTGACCTTCACTTTACTCATCCAATTTCTTTCCTGTCTCATCCCTCTGAACTCCTCCTTAAGAAACCTTCACATGATGTTCCCAGTGCGTCTAGTTCCGAACTCGTATTACTCTCCTCCATTGTGTCAGCATGCAAACCAAAAACCATTAATTCTAATTAAGAAGCCTGAAAACATTAATTCGATACAAGGAAAGCGACATTTTCTTGCTATTTTGTTACATGCTTAACATTAGGGATATCCAGTAATCTTCAACAAGTCAAAAAACAAATCACTTGCGCTAAACATCAATTACTTTCAAGCAAACACTTTTTATCCACTTGATAACATCTCCACATCAGGAAGAAAAAGAAAACATATGTATATCCTTATGAATGAAGCATAAACCATATTCTCATGCACCCCACCACATTCGACCAAGCTCGCTCCTTTAATAAATCATCGTACTCCTTCCCCTTAACAAGAAACCCAGGGTCCACCAACCAAACTTATAATTCCTTAAAAGAACACAAACCAACAACCGAGAGCCCACTTGTACAATCCAACCTCCCCAACCCCCGCTTAAAGTAACCATTAAAAAAAAATTAAAGGATTCACTGGGTAGATCTATGACGACTCCAACAATGTAAACCACTCTCATCTAGGCTAATGTTGTGCACCAGTCGGGTAAAAACGAAAACATTGACCAAAGCCAAAACAGAAACATGGACCGCATTTAGCTTAGTCATGGTCGGAATGAATCTGATGAATTTCAATAGTATATGTAACAGTTGGGTAAAGGGAAAGAAATTGGATTATAATTTCCGCTCAAGGAAACTGGGATTACAATCAAATCGGTGTTCCCATATTGAAGTGATCTTTTTTCTTTCTAATTTGGGCCAAAGAAATAAACAATTACACTCTACCACAATATACAAGTTCAATCAGTTATATTGTATCTCTTGATTTATTCGTTCAACCAAAGGCCACTCAACAAAGAACATATGTAATCATCCAGATATCATCTCAACAATATTATGTCTCCATCTGTAGCATCATGGAGGATTTCCTACAATAATCCTAGTCAACTTCCCCTTCTCGACTCTGTGGAAGATGACATTAACATAAACCATTATAGCTCCGAAAAGAAAATGAAAACAAAAGACACACAAACACAGAGAGAGAGAGAGATCCAATTAAAATGAAGATATTAAAGCTGAATTAACTGCAAATTTACTGAAAAGATAGAGGTGTAGAGCAGGAAAAAAAAAAAAGAAAAAAAAAGAAAGTGTCTATTAGATACATTAAGTTGCATCTTTTTCCTATTTACCCAAAAAATGTTGAATAAAAATCTATCAAAATGTAGGTATTTAGTCCATTCAACTGCCTCCTTTCTGCTTAAGAGTTATCTTGTCCCCAAGACTCAGAGCGATACCTTGAGTCTGGCTCCTTATTCTGAAGTTTCCACTCAGTTTACCATCTACTTGTTTCTCAACGCTCAAATTTACCAAAGCATCCTCTCCAAAGATGCTTTTTGCATACAGGTTAGCAGCAAGGAACCCACAATCTCCTTCCAGTGCCGATCTGATTATCAATCAGCATAAATGACAATAGCAAAATGATTATAGTCTGTCACCAAACAATAACTCCCAAAAAGTAAGGGAAGGCATCACAAAGAGTGTGATAGTATTATAACTTTGTAACTTCTATAACCACAAACTTGAGCAATAACGAATTTAGGAACTTACGGTGGAGTTAAGCATTTCATATTTGTTGACTTGATGATGAGGTTCAAAAATTCCTTCTCGTCTTGAATAACAGTGTTTACGGAAACCTGACAAAGGTACAGCACATTAATTATCATATGAAATGCATTAAGCAAGAAGCAGCTTAGACTGAACTTCATAGTAGCAAGGAAAATATAAAGATAAAGAAAAGAAAAAGATGCACAGTTCCAAAACTAGCTAAAACCAAAGAAGAGTACTATAATTTGAATGTAGCCACGAGTTCATGGACGTGTATAGACTAAGTTGGGCGGAAGAGTAATTAATCAAAAGAGGGGCAGAATGCCACCAATGATTCCGTCATAACACTAATCAAGTTGCAACTTGCCAAAATTCGACTCATAAGCAGTCTTACGAGAAAACATCCAAAGACACCAGCAATGGCATATAAACAAGTGTTAGAATACTGGTATATTCTGAAAATTCGACTCATAAGCAGTCTTAGGTGCCCCTCATATGTCCACGTTGCCATGATGTTTAATTTGCAAATAAATAGATAAGCAAGCAGCAAAATCTGGAAAAGCTCCATTTTCATGTTCACATGTGTGAAATTAACACACGCCAAAGAGTTGATTAAGAAAGCTCAACAAGTGTCTAACACTCCTGTTAAGGAACTGCACTAAATGACATAGCTTATATAGAACAATTACCATCATAATCACAATTCAAATAGAACTATATAAATACCAGTTAAGTAACTCAAAAAGTGGGAGGCATGAAAGGTGCTAGGTAAAGGAACTAAATGTTCTCCAATCCAATTTCAAGGTTTGGAATTACATGGTAGAAGGATCTAATTATTTAATAATGGAAGTCTTCAAGACTTCACCAAGAAGCAAATCCTCTGACTTGTTAGAACATGTATTTGAGGATATATATCTAGGATCAGCTTGGTGCTTCAAAAAGAATAATAATCACACTGCCCTTGAATATAGAAACAAGTTAAAAACTACATATATAATCTGCTGGTAAAAATAATGTTCTTCACTGAAATTGTTCAGAAAAACATATACTAAAAGGTACAGTTAGTAAATATAGTATCAAAAGTAATTTATACTCAAAGATAGATATACCTTGTTTTCCCACTCAAATTCAGCCCACATAGTTCTAAATACCGCATCAGCACATGCTGATGGAGAAATGTAATCCATAATATCAATGTTAATGTCATCAAGAACAATGACATTTCGCTCAAGCACATTTGAAGTTTCATAGACAATGTTACCAAATATCATTCCTGTGTCAGTGGATGAAACTTTAATATTGGCTCTTATTTGCTTGCTTGATTCTGGTGCTAGTGTGTAGTTTTGCGGATGATCCACCAGTTTGAGATCACCCATGGTACTCAATTCCAAGCACAAGTTCTGGAGGGTCTCCTTGGTACGATTGATGACGGTAACATCAAGGACAATGTCATAATGATGAACAGTGACATATGCTTCAGCATAAACAGGGTCACTGAACCCTGTGAGCTGAAGAATGCGATTAAGTTTATTTGCTTCATCACCATCCTTCATGAACTCTCCAGTAGCACGTTTTAGATCATCTTGCACCTCATCTTCCAACTCAATCTGACTTATACCCTGACAATGAAGTACACAAAATAAGTTGCATCATGAAAGAGAATCAACAAGTGGAGAATGAGGAAAAACAAAACCCAGAAATCTGACCCATTACAGAGCAACACATTCACCAACAGAAGACGGTTAGTTGGCATATTATAGAAGCTATCTACTTATTGTATCCATCGTCTCAAACAGATTCATGCAGGCACAGAGCACTCACATAAATATACAAAAGTGAGCAAGTAAATGAGAGAGAATAGGGGGTTGGAGATTGGAGTCATGATGAAATCTTAATACATTAGAATTAAGTTCATACCATAACTTATATTGTTCAATTTTCTGAGAGTGTCTAACCTTTGAACAGATCTTTCAATGCCAAAAGACTTCTCACAACCATTAATTTTCATAGACAATGAAAATTGATTGGATTATAGAAAGAAATTTACATAAACATGCGGTATGCTCCTCATGGATATTAAGTAAATTTTTCAGAAGCAAGTTTCTCACCAGTTTTCATGGTGTTTTCATTTTAGATAACCTAAGTGCTTTTGTGGGGAAAAAAAAAAAAGGCAAAAAAGAAAGAAGAAGAAAAGAAAGCAGAAGGGGACGTATGTCAGATTGGCTCGTTTCCTCACACAATACATTTCAGTTCACTGATTTACAAGCAACTCTGAAAACTATTCTGCCTCAAAAAAAGTTTTTTTTTTTTTAAACAAAAAAATAAAAAAGAAAAGAAAAGGCATAAAAAGTGCATCAAGGTAGCATGTACTGAGAGAATTTTGGAGCAACTTAGATAAAATGAAACAATCAACAATTTAATTGGCCATTGGGCATGTATTTGTTGACAGCATCTCCTCCAGAAATAAGTTAAATAACATCGACCGTATGGAATATAAACAAGGCATAACAAAATAAATCAGGATCAAGTAATTGTATTTTAATGACATGAAATTAACATAAAAATCAAACTTTAGCTATAATGTGCACTTGCCTATGCCAATCATCTAACGAAAAAAAAAAAAAATAATAAATAAATAATTGGACAAAGCTACTGAATATTCATAAGGCCAGGTAAGTTACTTCATAAAAAAGATAATAGTAGCTATGTTATATTACCTTCCTGCTCTTCAAGTGGTAGAAGTCAATAAGATCATCTGGCTGGGCGGAGATATTAGCCTTTGCTTTAACTTCCTCTGTTTCACGAAACTGCTTGTCAGCAAGCATTTTCACAAAACTCTGTCGGCAAGACTGCAACCATATCTTCCTTATCTTGTCACCAGTATTACATAGCAATCTAATGCAAAGGACAATCCTCTCATAAGAATCATTATCAATTGGGTGGGGAAGAAATAAGGATTGTCCCAGTTGCAGCATAGAAACCATGATCAACAAGGCCTGTGTAGTCTCTTTGTTCACTTCAACTTTAGCTGGCTGAACCTCTTCCAATCTCAATACCAGTTTTGTCAGTGTGCATGCCACAACCGCACCAAGGAAAAAATCACCAGCAAGAATCAGCGATCTCAAGTTACCAACTGACACCAATGACCCTTTAACTAGGGTTGGAGGTGAAATAGCAGTTTCTAGTGCAGCACTCTGGGTAGCATAGGTCCCATCAGCAAGAATGGCAGGCCTTCTTGAAGATACAGTGGTGTAGTTTACCTGCTGAGAATCCTTCGAAGCATCTTGACCCTCCCCTTCCTCTGTAACTACATAGAATGGGAGTTCCCCAAGGCACTGCTTGATAGTCGCAATTCCACTTTCTACTTCAGAAAGTGAAAAACAGTACTCACCAATGATCCAAAGAGCACAAGAACACACACATGCATCACGGATCTGATAGAAAGTGTCCAAAAGCCTTGTCACTATAGAGACCCTCAATTTTGGGTTTGTTTCGGTAATCTCCCGCACAAAGAGAACCACATCCACAGCTGAAGCAACATTGCTGTCACCCAAGAAATCCATCAAAAGATGCACAACTGTGCTTGCCACCTCAGGAAATTTGATTGCACAAGAATGAATGGCTTGAACAAGCATTTGCCTATATTCCCCATTCTTCTCGAGCTCTGCATTCTGAGTCTTCATGACTTCCTTCTTTAGCATAAGAACAACTTCATCAATGTTCTGGGAAGTTATCAATTCAAGAGCAATGTCAATTGTTTTCCTGCGAATGTCCAGATTTGGGGTAGAAAGTGCCCTAAGAACATCCATTATCATATGGACCATAATATGTCTATACGATGATTTAAGCTCATTAAGACGATCAAGCACAATAAGCTTAACATTGTTGTCACTCTGCGAGAGCAGAAGCTGGCAATAGGTGTTAGCAGCAGCTGTGATGGCCGTTGGGGCCGAGGAGAGGGAAACAAGAGTCCCAGCACATTCATAGATTACTGTTGTCGAAGGGGCACTAAGCAATGATATAATAATCTTTATATACTTCCCCTTTTCTCCCCTGTTTGCTCTGGAAACCTTACGGATCAACTCCAACACCACCATCTGAAGTTGTTCACCCAAGTCATTGATTCTATCAATATTAGTGAAAAGGTAATTGACCGCCCGATCTTGGGCACAATTAAACAACATAAGGAATGCATTCCGCTTAGCTGACGGGTCATGTTCTGTATAAAGCACCTTCTCAATCAACTCAGGGGCATGTTCTAATAACTGCTCCCCTTGGGGAAGCTTATATATTGACATCACAGCGAGAATTGCATTTCTCCGAACAAATGGGTGGCGATGTTCTAAATTCAACAAAACTGTGGGGATCAATGGCTCGATAATCTCAGTTTCACGTAGGCGACAAAGGAACCGGAGAGTGACACCCCGGATATACTCATTGGAGTGATTCAGATTGTTCAGTAAGTTTTGACAGATTAAAATCATCTCCTGAAGTACCTTCCCTCCTGAATCCGTTTTTTCCATCATCTCAAAATAAAGAAGCAATAGTTTCTGAATTGTGTGATCATCGGAGGGCAATACATATCGGACTTTGGTGATAAAGAGTTGGGGTATGGTTTCGCCATTCAGTAAAAGCATGATAGATTTCTTCATGGCGTCGATTTTCGCGTGCATGTCATTCCCCTCTAAAGATCCTTTGATCTCATTCGCGAGTGCAGGTGTTCCGTCGTCAAAGTGAACAAGCAGTGTGCAAGACTTCTCCATTTCCCGTCTCTCTCTCTCTAAAACTCTTATGTTTCTCTCTCTAAAAAACCTAGAACCTGGAAATTGAATTGATGAAAGAACAAAAATGCATTTCGAATCAAAACCCTAATAAGTGTTTATCTCTGTAAAGTCTAAATCAGATCTGGAAATGAAAATTCGAAAGCTATGATTCATGAATAAAAGCGTAATTGAGATTGACGAACCGTTTGTGTTGAATTGTGATGCACTTGTGAGATCGCATCGATTTCCCAATCTGCCACGAAACCATTGTTGAAGCTTGCGAGTGAGGATTAGAATTATTTGTACAACACCTGGTGCAAATAGGGGATCGTGTTAAAACAGATGAAAGAAGAGAGTGTACTCCGACGGGTGAATCCATTTGAAGCTTTGCAACGAGTCGACCCATCCGGGTCGGGTTTCACTTTGTTTGGAAAGTCAGGATTTGGTGGGATTTGAAATTCCAAATATAATTTTTAGTAATGGAATTTAAAAAAGAAATAGATTTCATATGATTTGATGTACCAAATATCATATGATGTTTACATTGTGTTTGGAAAGTTGGGATTTGGAATTTAAAATAAAATTTTTAGGTTTGGAATGGATGAAATTTTAAAAGGAAATGTATTCTATAGGATTTGGAATTCCAAAATACAGTGACCCAAATCTAATGAAAATTGATGGAATTTAATGGGATCTGCAAGTTACTTATTAACTAAAGAGTTTGTAACTTGCCCAACTTGTCCTTCTTTCTAATCAAACTTAATATTGCATTCAATATTAAAATAATAAAAGATACACTTCCTACTTCAAACACACAAATTGCATTTAATTTTAAATTTATTATTTGACTAATAAGTTAAACAGTTCAAAAACTAAATTTATTTAACTGTAGATATGCTTCAAGTGAGACTCGTATTTATCATTTAAAACAATTATATTTATCCTTAAATATATTTCAAGTGAGACTTGTATTTATCATTTGAAACATATTCAAAATGATAAAAACGATGTTAATGTTGTAAGTTTGAATTATCAATTAGAGCTGCACTATTAATATTTTTCCAATAAATGTATTCCTCATGCCCTGTTAGGATCTGAAGTCTCAAGGCTCTCAACTTCTCCAAGACATTGTCACTCAATGATTTAGAATTCCACTTTATTTTATATTAAGATTCAATTCGGAAAACACTAAAATTGAGTGTGACCAGAGGAGTTTTGGATTTAAAAGCTCTACTAGCAAAAGTTAATTGTCAAAAAATGTTAATGCTACCACAAGTTCGACAACTTAAATAATGAAATTATTTTTCTTACACAAAATAAATAAAATAAAATAAAATAAAATAAAAAATTGAACAAGTCAAGTTCAAACAGTTTAAACTCCGCATATCTACTGGGCTCAATTCATTTGTGCCCCCAATTTAAAGTGGTTTCTTGTGGGATAATTATTTTGCATTGACAGCAAGCAGGGCTTGGCCTCGAGCTGTTAAGGGTCTTAAGGCCCTTTTCTGTTGGACTTGAGGTCTCTTGTAGCCAGTAGGCCCATAGAATACAGTAACACCTAATTGAGAAGTTATTACATGATTTGATCAATCACTATTGGACACATGAGTAATTGGGTTAGAGCGTCCCAGCAGTTTATTAAAATAAATTTTTGTATAAAATACATACTGTCATCCATAATGTGTAATTTTTTTTTTTTTTTATCTCCAACATTATATTAAGATACAGTGTCACATCACCAATATATAAAATTATTGTGTATTTTACACAATTTTTTACATACCCATATCATCATATTTCATTTTTTTTCCTCTATTTTTCTTATTCCATTAACGAATCAACCATATATTAAGTTTGTTTGTAAAAGTTATGTGGGGTCCTGGGATTGCACATGGTTGGTTATTATTGGCAAACACAATTTTACACAAAATGTATAAAAGCATCTCCAACCGTGTATATTTTTTTGTGTAAATATGATGTGTCGTGATAGATTTACACAAAAATTTTGGATTATTTATTTTTAACTCCAACGGTTGTTTAATGCCTTTTGTATAAAAATATATCCATCAATAACAACCAACTATGTGTCATATCAAGACCCATGTAATTTTTACAAATCTATTTAATATAAGGTTAATTTTTTAATGGAATGAGAAAGAAGAAGGAGAAAAAAAATATGATGATGTGGCTGTATAAAAAGATTGTGTAAAATACACAACAAATTTACACATTGGTGACGTGCTAGTATATCTTAACATATTGCTAGAAAAATAATAATAATAAATAAATTACACATCATACATGGCCGTGTATATTTTACATAAAATAATATTTTAACAAATTGCTGGAGAAGCTCTAAAAAAATGGCCGGAGCCAAAGATTAATAGTTCAAAATTTTTGTGTAAATATAATATGACACATCATATTTATACAAAAAATTTACATAACCACTAGATATGCTCTTTAGAATTGTGTAAGCTTTATTCCGCATTTTACTCAGTTGCCTAATGGGGATTGGCCAGAACAATAGTCCTAGAACCATCTAAATATTTCTTTTAAAAAGATAAAGTAACTCTTTACACCTAGGAAGCGCGAATACTTTTATAAGATTGACTTGCCAATATCATGTCCGTATTGAATACCAATATTTTTTGAATACTCACAAATACGTGTCCGATACTTCTTAAACGTATCTACAATTTTAACTTATATTTTTTAATTTTGAATACATATCTAATACTTGTCAAATACTTCGACCACATATCTTATATTTCTTAGATACTTTGACTACGTATTTAATACTTTTCAAATCCTTCAAAACACTTTGTTAACAAGTTTTGAACTTAAAAAGTAACTTTTACAACATAAAATTATAGTAGAATTTTAAAGAAAATTTTAAAATATATGACTAGGGATTCTAGTTTCATGTTTTGAGAAACGAACTCATATATTATACTAGCGATTGCATTTGCATTTGGATTCATAATATTATAAAAACTGACCAAAAACTAATTATATATATATATATATATATAAGTATTATTTTGTATTTTTTATTACAAAATCTTATTCGCACTCGTATTTTATTTATTTAATTTTGTCAACTATCAAATCTGCTTGGTGTATGCTGACTCCTCTAGTTCTATATCAATGCAACCAGAGTGTTTTGACTAAAATGTCCTGCTCAAAATAATCATCATTGGAAAAGAAGTCAACTTTCTTAAATTGAAGATACTTGTATCCTTTTCTATTCAATTTTCATATCTGCTCTTCTTTTGTCTCTTCCTAAAAAAGAAAAAATAAAATATATAGTGTGTGTAAACACAATGTATAGATTTATCAGCTCGAGTCCAAATATATAGCTTTGAGTGTGAAGACGGTGAAAAATGATCATATATAGTGTAGAACAATGATTGTTCCAGACTCCACAACACCCACTGTGAGAGCAAAGGCTATGTTCCCTTCATAATGTGGAAAAAACTCACACCTCTCCTTTTCATAGTTGGCGTCAGGGGAGTGGATGGTTTGGAACTTTGGACATTTTCCACACAATGACACACACACACACACACACACACACATATAGATAAGCTGCAAGTAACTTCATTGGAACTTTGCTTTTTAATTCCCAAATTTAATTAGCTTAAAAATAATTATTATATTAATACAAAGGATAAATAGGCATAAGATTTGTGCTCCATTTGGTAGGAGGGATGAAAAATTTGATAGAAAGGAGAGGGGGAGGGATAAATGAGGCATCCTTTAGAGAATAGATGATGTCACTCTCATTATATTTTATTAGATGGAAAGGATGGACAATGCGACACCTTATTCTGTTTAGTTGTAAGGTCTGGAAGAAGCTAAAAATGATATTTTATAATAAATTAATTTTTCTATCTTTCCCTTCTCCTTTCGGTTCAATTTTGGAGACCGACAAAATACAAGTTAGGAGAGATACTTCATCCTCATCTCTTCGCTTTTTTCCAATCAAACAAGAAAAGTTTCTTTTTATCTCTCCGCTCTTTCATACTTCCTTAATTCTTCCTTCCAACAAAATGTATTAGCAGATCAACCTACATGAGTTCTTAGTTGCAGGTGTAATCAACTCTTTCTATGTCCTCAATTAATGTAACATTCGACAATTATGTTCTTATTTTTTGTAATTTAGGTGGAGGCTACCAGTGTCTTTTTGTACTTTAGGTGGGGGTTTTAAAGGTAAACAAACATAAATGAGAATTGAGAGGGTAAAAATACTAAAATCAATAAATGAATTCAGTACTTTGTACTTTGTTTGTGTTTGACGGTAAAAGGAGTACTGACTACTAAGTATATTTTGTATAACAAACAAACTGCCTTGACATACAAATGTTGTGGTTCAAATAATTTCCATATTCTTCATGTGGAAGTTGCATCACCTCACATGCATTGATATAATTTAAAGTGGTCATTTGTATTTTGCCTTGGACATGCTCTCAAGTTGTTTATTCACTCCTTTGTATTAGTGAGATGGTCAGCCAATTTACACGTGCTTGTTGATGTTAGAATACTTATTTAATACAGTAATATATTGTAAGGCCAAATTATATATATATATATATATATTATTTCTAAATCATAAAAGGAAGCTACAATAGAGGGCCGGAGATGTCAATATCAGCTGCTTGAAACAACCACTTAGTACAATTAGGGAAGACATTGGAGCGGTTTGGGACACTTGGTGCAACTTGGACATTCTCTCAAGTTGTTTATTCACTCCTTTGTAAGGCAATTTATATGTGCATGTTGATATTAGGATACTTATTTAATAATATATTGTAAGGCCAAATTATATATATATATATATATATATATATTATTTCTGAAACATAAACGGAAGCTACAATAAAGGGCTAGAGATATCAGCATCACGGCTTAAAACAATCACTTAGTGCAACTAGAGATGGCAATGTGACGGTTTAGGGCGGAGACCTCATTTTTCATTCCCATCCTCATTTCTGTTCCCGTTTAATTTTTTCACCCCTATAATCGCTCCAAAATCCGTCAGCTTTTTCAAAGCAATCCGCATACTTGTCCCTCTTTACATAATCGATTTTTCAAAACCACCCCAAATGGAGTGGGGAGAGGCAACCCTCCCCTGAAAGCGCCTTAAAATCCGCTAGAATTTTCAAAGTAGCCTCATTTCCTATCCCCATTTATATAATCGGTTCTCCAAAACTGCCCCAAATGGGATGGGGCGGGGTGGGAATTTTTAGCATCCCTAAGTGCAATCTCTCAAAATATCCTCGTTCACTTTAAAGTTATATCCCTAAGTGCAACCTCTAGAAATATCCTTAAATGCAACTACTTGTGAAATCTTCTCTATTTTTCAAAATAGATGAGGAAGGTTCGAGTTTCTAAAGGGGCAAAGTGAGTATGTCTTAGTGAAAAGAAGAAAAATAAAAAGAAAAACGAGAGAGAAAAAAAAAGAGAAGAGAAAACTATCCTTTGGACCTACCATATTCCTTTTGATATGTATCAATTATACCAAAGATTGTATCTTTTGGTTCTAATTAAAAATAATAAAAATTGAAACTCTCTTTTATTTATGCAGATATGTGTCTTCGCCAAAATGAGTTAGAAGCAAGAAAATTAAAAGGTATAAAGGACAGTGTGGGGTTTGGCATTAAGTTGATGTTGCAACCAATATGATTTATAAAATAATTGTCCATGTGTATCATTGTCTGTGTCTTCTAACTTTATTCTGAATCCTATACATATGGTGCACATGAATTCCTTTTCTTTTGTTCACAAAATAATTGAAGATATTTTGTCTCCTCGTATTTTATCAACTCCACACTATTCAACCAATCTATCATTGATTTATTGGTGTGTTAATTTTTTTACCAAAAATAAAAAATAAAAATTCTCCAATGCATATCTTGTGTAACATAGATGATTGGAGAAAATTAAAGTCCTATAACAAACCAAATAAATTATTTAACACAAAGTTGCTCAATTTCAAATCAATGTACTCGAATTTATCAGTCACTCCAAACTTTTGTTATTGTATGAAATTATAATATAGTTGTATAACTTGTATGATATATATATATATATATATATATATATATATATATATATATAAAGTTGTATGATATTTCAATGGTTCCAAATCCTAAATTTCTTGGTAGCCCACCAGCTTAGAGAAAGACCTCATTTTAAGCCCCATTGACCTGCGAAATTGGTGGTTGAAAAGTCCAGGTCTTTAATAATCAATAGATTGGTTACAAGTCACTTGCTAGTAATTATTAAATGTTTCATCTATTTCATAGATTAATCTTAGTTTCAGCTCAGATTCAATATATATATATATATATATATATATATATATATATATATTTAAAATCATTAAACTTTTAATCACACAAATTGTGCCTTGATTGTAGAAAAAAATGAAAAAGACAAAAAGAAACCTCAAACCTTAGATTATTTACACTGCATTTCAAAAAAGAAGTAATATAGAAAAAGGATAAAAATAATATTACTTTGATTCTTGGTCTATATATATATATATGTATGTATTTAAAATCATTAAACTTTTAATCACACAAATTGTGCCTTGATTGTAGAAAAAAATGAAAAAGACAAAAAGAAAACCTCAAACCTTAGATTATTTACACTGCATTTCAAAAAAGAAGTAATAAAGAAAAAGGATAAAAATAATAATACTTTGATTCTTGGTCTCTAGGTGCTCAGATTAGGCCAGATTCCTTTGCACTTTAATAAGACCGTGAACGTCAATGACTTCATATATATAAGAAAAATCCTATATATAAATACAAGTGCATAAATAATATACATACATAGTTGACAATAGTATAAAACATATCTGTAATTGACGGTATAACGGTATAATATTTGAACAGTAGTGTTATTGGTGCCGGTTTGAACTTCAAAACAACCACTTTATAAAATATTAAAAAGTTAATTATTTAATCTGCACGGGGTGGTCTAGTGATTAAGAATTTTTAAGGGATGAAGCATAAATTTAGACATTCCGAATTATTCTCTCACAAGACATAAAAATATTCGGATTTAAATGATATGTGTGGTTTATAGATGAAAGAACATATCCGAATTTTACCTTGTGGTCATAAATTTTTGAGTTATTCTAATGTAAATTAATATTACAAAATATCTCTTTTAAAAATTTTATAAATTAAAAATATATTGAAATAAAGTAACTTGATAAAGTATATTTTATGGGGAAGGAAATTGAATTAACACCTTATTAGTTTATTTATTGATTAATCGAAATTTCTCTGGTGTGAATTTGGGGAGTCAAGATGTGGATGTGTGTCTACATCCCTTGGTTCCCGCCATTTCATTTTTTATTTTTAATCCTAGGTTCACGCCTCTTGTTACGGTGTATTTTTAGGTGACGAAAATAATGATATATAAAAAGATAAAATAATGTTGGTGACGGTTTTAAGGTATCGCATGATTCGACAATAAAAGAGGTTATGATGTCAATGTCATTAACGTGTATTATGGAGTTGAGAGTTGAGAACTGATGGTCCAATTGAAATTAAATCCGCAAATAATGGCGACTTATGTTTGATGAACTATGTAAATGCTTGAAGTATTCAAGTCTAACATACTACAATTTGTACACCGTAATAATATATTGAGTCTTAAATATATATATATATATATATATATTGAGTCTTTAGAACAGTTATTTCGCCAAAAAAAAAAAAAAAAATGGTTCCCATATGAAGTCAACGAAAGATGCATTTATTGGAATTTTTTGAACTTCACCTAAAATTTCACTTAATGCATTATTACTATTATTACTATTATTATTATTATTATATATTGCCTCTAGTGTTCTCTCTCTCCGTGCATTTGTTGGACATGTAACTCACAAAAGTACAAATTTATTTAAATTATTATATTTGTATATCTTAAACTGTTTTAATACATGCATTTTGCTTCTAATAAGTGAAAATATTAAGTACTTTTCTTTAAAAATAATTAAATAATATTATATAATAATTCATTCGTTCCCAAAATAAATATTCACATTTTCATTTTTATCAATTTCAAAATAATTATTTCATTTGAAAAGCCAATGTACTATTTTTATTTATTTATTTTTTTGTAATAATATCAATTTAACCTTCTGAACCTATATAAAAAATTAAAAAAATCACATAATTGTGAACCTACTAAGAATAAATTTTGTAATTCATTTGCTATTAATACAATAAAAATAATAAAAATTATTATATTTAAAAGTTAAACTTTCAAAAAGGGTCAATTAAAATGAAACTTAGGGAGTATTAAAGCATTGGATAAATTCGTTGATACACTTGGGCATGTAGGCAAAGAATTGAAACGTCAATGTATTATTAGGGTTTTGTTTGGATCTTAAATAGAAGAAGATAAAGGAAAAACACATGAAGGAAAATGGAACAAAAGGTAGTACTACTATTACATGTATTTTATTTTTAGGATCTCTGTTTCTTTCCTTTTTCTCTTATTCTTACATAAAAAGTTAAAATCAATTAGATGGATGTTTGACCATCTAAGTACATAACTTAATTAGGTGGAGTTTTAACCAACAAAACCACAATTTTGTTTGGTATTTCTACATGCCCTTTTACTAGTTCCCAAAATAAATAAATAAATAAATAAATCATATTGAAATTAAATGCCATTAGACAATGGGAATACCATCATATTAATAATCCTTGAACTTATTTATTTATTTTTTTAAAATTCATGTAATGTTATTCTCGCGTGGAACTCGTTTTAGACTTCACTTAAGGTCGGCAATAATTGTTTCACTTTAATAAATAACAACAAGTAATTCTCATATCATTTTCCTTAAAATAATGATCAAGAAGTTTTGCATATTCAGGTCCACTTATTATTCCCATTTGTCAAAGTTCAAAGTGGATATCAGTAACTTGAAAATCTAAATAAAAAAAAAAAAAAAAAAAAAAATCACTCAATTTTATTTTTTATTTTTTTATTTTTTATATATGACACGTGAATGGCACATGATTAAATACCGAGATCTAAGGTCCCGTGAAGGTCTTTATCTATCCAGCAATCGGCATCCCCCAGGTCCAATAGTCTTGTGTTGTTTTGTAGGTGTGACCATGTTCTTCCAGGGTCCACGACCATTGTAACAACTTTAGGAACAGCAATTTGAGAGTAATTTGATGTTATATCCCTATGTATTTTTAATGTCATGACAATTTTATTTTATATTTTCTAAATATAGTTAAATTGTGAGATTTAGATTTATTTATTTATTATTATTTTTATTTTTTCTGACACCAACGAGATTTTAGATTTTAGACACCCCATCATTTTCTCGGTGGACTGTCGGTGGTCTGAAAGTATATGCTCTCTCTCCCTCCCTCTCTCTCCCATTCAGCTTAATCTCGCTCCTTTCAGCTAACAATTTTAACCTACCCCTCTCTCTCTCTCTCTATATATATATATATATCTATTTATATACATACCTTGCGATGAAGAAAAATGCTTTAACTTTCTCTCTCAAATAACACCAGTAAATCAAGGTCCCTGATTGTTCCAAATCCTTTGCTCTCTCGTGTGGCTATCATCTTTCTTTGCTTTTTAGAGAGAGAGAGAGAGAGAGTTCATTCATTATTAGAGAGAGAGAAGGGAAAGTCAGTGTTAGAGAGGTGTATATTTGTTGGAGTAAGACTGTCCAGAGGGAGAGAGAGTGATACTGGAGGGGATCAGTGCTTGCTAGATTTGTGGTTGATCTGAGGAAATGGCGGTGGATCCGAGACAGGTGTTGGCTGGTTTCTTAACCCTCACAATGTTTGCAATGTTGGGGAATATGATCAAGAGAGACCATTTTGATTCTGTTGATGTGAGTCACACAACTCACTCTTTCTATCAGATTCACTCCAAATTTCATTATTTCCTCTTTAATTTCAATTCAATCCATGTTTATATGTTAGTTGTGTATTTCAAAAGTGAATCCAAATTTCTTTTCCCTTTAATCTGTTTGTATATGTGTATATAATTTAACTTCATTGGAGTGTATACTTTATAATGTACATAGATCTTTTGATCTATTTGTATATACTAATTCGTCTTATGATTAAATTCATATGCTTGGCTGCTGAGAAATTGTGGGAAGCAGACCATATATTCAATGCTTACAACATCATGTATAAGCTTCCTATAAGGGTTTCAAGTTTTTCTTTCTTTTGATATGGTTCTCTTGCAAATAAAAGGATACCATGTAAATATGAATGTGCATATATGTATAAATTTTTGTACTTATTACTATGGGAGAGAAATCATGTGCCCTTTTTAAAGTTTTTTTTTGTTTAACTTCGAAGAAATTATACTTTCATGAATATCTGCTGTCGATTTACATGGTTCTTCTTTGCTTTTTACACTATTTTTTTTTTCTCCCTCTTAAAGGTGAATCAGTCCAATGTGCCAAATGTTCCTTACGATGATGTGAAGTCTGAGCACAGCCTTGTTACATTTCCTAAAGGGAGTAATGGACCTTGGAAAGAAGATGGCCTAGACCTAAAACCTTGTTGGACCACACCAAATTTGGGTAAATTGGCTTGAGTAATTTGATATCAGAGTTACTAGAAAAATCATACTATAACCCATATTAATTTGATCATTCTTTCATTTTTTCGTATTTCGGTAACAGACGAGGCACAACAGTCTGAAGGGTTCATCACCTTCTCATTGACTAATGGCCCTGAATATCATGTCTCACAGGTATCTTAATTAACCATATGAGTTTCTATCAAGTATATGCTATTTAAGTGAGCTCGCTGCTGGAAGTTGTTTTTGATAAATTTCTCAATAATACATTCTTCTGCAGGATTCTTTTGTAGCAACTGATTAGTTGATGGTCAACACAGTAATTTAAGAATTACTATAGCAGGATCTTACTTTATAAGCTTATTTTATGGGTTTCATCACATCGAATGCGACCCATCACCACTTCCTTGTAACGAGCATCCATGTGCCCTGTCTAACCCATCACCACTTCTTTGTAACAAGCATCCATGTGCCCTGTCCTATAGCATCTGTCAGATATGTGGAGTTTTGACTTTTATGTTAGACACCCATTCACGAGGATAAGAAACCATAGCAGATGTTTCTTCGGAGAAATAAGCCTATCACTTTGTCTTTCACACTTGAACTTCACCATGAAGACAAAACTTGAGAATTCTTTCTGGCATCAAGAAAATGTCACAAATTGTTTAGGCAAAAAAATGTCTCAAATTTATTTGTGAAGCTTTGACATAATATAATATCAACCAAATTATAGTTAAGCCAATATTTCACTTTCCAGTCAAGTTTACCTCAAACTTAACTTGGTCTACATGATCCCTTCTTTTTTCTTTCAGAAAGTTGCTATTTGTTTGCATTTTTTTAAAAAAAAAAAAAAAATCTTAAATTTTCATTTGCAGCCAATTTCACCTTTTTAGAATTTAGTGAACTATGTTGTATTTTTATTTCTGCCACACCTAATCGTTAAACATGGTGCTTATTAGTTGCTCAGTATCTTACTCTACAAAAACAATGGCTGGCCTAACTGTTGTTTTGAAGTTTTCCTTTCGAACAAAACATGTAGACCAGGGTTCCTGCAACTTCCTGAAGCACATCCCCACTTCATTGATTGGACTCTTAATTCTTCAGTTGTTCTGGCTCGTTACCCACCCTCAATATTTATCTATTATTTATGCTGCAGTAAAAATTATCTAAACACTCCCCCCAACACCACACACACCCGCACCCACCCACCACCACCACCACCACCACAAAAATATTAAAAAAGGGACCAAGAGAGAGAAAGGGAGAAGGAAAAAGAAACCTTTCCAAGTAAATCAACAACATTGTAAAACATTATGAATCACGTCATGTAATCTAAAATACTCACGAAGTGTGATTCAAGCAAATCCTACTTACAAAGCTATTATAACTCATTTAGCTTGCTTGCTTGTTCTCCAATTAGTCATTGCTGGATTTCAATGTGCAGACTTCTTTATTTATGTACACTTCTTCAGTGTTTAATGCTCCCTTTACTGGGCCAGAGGGAAAGCCCCAGCTCCTCCTTGCTTTCTTTCTCTTTCCCTTTACCTTCATCTCCTACTTCATGGAAAGCATATCCTTCCCTCCTCCTCCTTGCTCCCACTCTTCCAGTATACCAAAAGGACCATAAGTAAAAAATTAGAACTGGGGGCTTTCGTCTCCTAAGAAAGGAGCTTCTGGAAACTTGTCTTTTGTGAAACTTCTTTTGCAAAAGGATTCAGTATTTGTTTGGTCACCACAATTTTCAAGAAATCAATAGTGTACTTTTGAGTCTAAAAGATGCTGTCCCGTACCTTTTGCTCATCTTGAATATTGTTTCAGTGCATAGATTTCATTGTGTTTGTATTCATTCTGCATTCTATTGCCCTTAAAGTTCCACCAAAACGAGTGGCCAACCAATAATTCTGTACTTCCCATGTACCTCTAAATCTTAATTAAGTAGCATTTTCCAGAAAGCTTTTTTATAATCTTTATATCTGCAAAAACTTTATTTATGTATTGATATTTGCCCGGCGAAAAAAGAAAAAAAAAAAAAAAAATCAACTTTTAACTCCTTCCACATTTTGTCTAATATATTTATGAAGAAAATTGTCTGTTCTTCTGAGTTCTACCAAATCCTATTTTGATGATTCTCAGTTCCATTACTTCAATCAATCTTCTAACGCTTGTATCTAAACTAATTGAGTTCTTTGTTCCATAGTTATACTCCATCGTTAGTTTGCGATTTTTTCATGTTAAACTTTTGTTTTCTTTGCTTCAGTAGAAATTGTCTATTGGATTCCTACAAAGTTTATTTGTACATGTGACTAATGGTCAATGTTGCCGCTAATTAAACCATACTTGATTCAGGACTTGGTGTTACTCAAAATGTTCCTTATATTCTGCAATGCACTCATCCTTAATTTTAATTTTATTTATTTATTGCAGGAAGCGTGTATTACTTCTTCCATTGTTAAGTTTGCTAACTATTCCTTGGTGCTTTGTCTTTAGATTGCTGATGCAGTGGTAGTGGCAAGATATCTAGGAGCAACTCTTGTGCTCCCGGACATTAGGGGAAGCAACCCAGGTGATAAGAGGTTAGTTTTCTAAATAGCTCTGCAACTTACCTTGTTTGGTACTTCTATGTGTTCTCTCACCTGAAACTGGATCCATTATATGGTGGTGCTACCTGTTGTGAATTTACGGAATCTACTTTTGGTCCGACCGCTGACCTTCAGCTTTATGCTGTCTGTTTAATATTATGGCTCCTTTTTTAGTAGATTTCAGTCATCCTTACGTTTTTTTTTTCCTTCCCTTCTTCTTAAATTGGTTACTTGTCTGTATAAAATAATTTTTGGTTTGGTAGTGGGAGATTATCACAGATAGCAACTACTGTGGTTATAAGCATGCCTTCCACCATGTGTGAAGAGATTAAATCTTGAATCACAAAAGGTGCAGTGAGACTGATGTTCTGAGAACCCATGTTTCTACTGTAGTTGACACATTGATAACCGCTGCCAATCATTTAATTTCCGTTTTCAAATTAATTACAATAGCAAGAGATTTGGTGATGCATGTGCTTCTCTTGCGGGGCAAGAACGTTAGAACAGACCACTTTAGAAACTTCTTGCGAGGGAATTTTTTTTATTGAATTCAACAATAGAACAAATTTTGCTGAAGAGTTCCGATCTAAATATCTATCATTGCTTTTAGCAACCACGCCACAGGTTTTCTTCAGGGAAATGATTTACTTTGTATGAATTGGATGGTATTATTATCCTCCTTGCTCTGCTTTTGCATTGAATTTTTACTTGTGAATAGTCTACTTCACTTTGATCAATAACATCTCAGTTTTCCTCCACAGAATTTCTCAGCAGAACTAACCAACCTTGAGTGGTTGGTTGTGTCAAATCTGAATAAATTTTGGTGCTTTAATTATTAAGTTCTGTGGAATTTAGGGTAGTCTACTCAACTACAAAACCCAAAAGAAAAGAAAAAAAGTAACATAAATTAATCAATATACTGAAAAAAAATGTGCCAAACACCCTATCGGCCTTTCATTTGAGAGTCCCTCCTGGGAAGCAGATCTTATTAAACAATCCTCCTTATAGAACCTGCACCCAGCACTTTGTGTATGTCTATTTGAGTTTGTTTATTTACTTTTAGTTGTTTTCATTTGCAAGCCATCAAACACAACAATAAGCCTGACATACTTGAAATTTTTCAGGAACTTTGAAGACATTTATGATGTTGAGAAATTCTTAAAAAGTCTGGATGGGGTGGTCAGAGTGACAAAAGATCAGCCTGCTGAAATATCAGCACGAAACCTTGCAGTTGTTAGGGTCCCTAATCGAGTTACCGAAGACCACATTCAAGAAAATATTGAACCAATATTTAGAAAGGGCAACATAAGACTGGCAACTTACTTCCCTTCAGTAAATATGAGAAAGACTACACAAAAGAGCAACAGTGATTCAGTTGCATGCTTGGCAATGTTTGGAACTCTAGAATTACAACCAGAGGTCCGTGAAGTGGTTGACTCAATGGTAGAGCGGCTAAGAGCTTTAAGTCGGAAGTCAGATGGCCAGTTCATAGCAGTGGACTTGAGGGTTGACATATTGGAGAAAAAGGGTTGCCAAGGAAGTGGTACTCATGGAATGAAAAGCTGTTATAGTCCACAGGAGGTCGCATTATTTTTGAGGAACATTGGTTTTGACAAGGACACCACAGTATATTTGACCCAATCAAGGTGGGATGGCAGCCTTGATGCCCTGAAGGATTTCTTCCCAAAAACTTACACAAAGGTGAGGGGTTTCTTCCTTTCTTTTCATTCTCAATGTGCTAATCATGGTTTAAGTTCAACTTTTGGAAGATCCATCGCATAATTTGGGAAATCTTGATCAGTTTTTATATTGCACAATCAGGACAATCCATCTCCATCATTAGGTTTTCCTTTAAAATCCCTTCTAGTTCATTTCGTCTTTTATAAGTACAGTATTTAAGCACTTCTTTTTTTCTTTTTCTTTTTTTGAAGTAGCAAGGTAAAAATTTCTTATTTTGCCATTGCTTCTTAGAAATAGAAGCTACTCCAACAGTGTAATTCGTTTCAGTGTTTTTCTCATATCCCAAGGAAATGGAATGGCTCCACCACGGTTTTACTTCAACATTGCTAGCATGGGATCATTATGCAAAAGAGATTTAAAGGTTGCCATTGGCAATCAACTGATGGTCATGAAGGACCTGTTTCAATAATTTGTGATGATAGTTGTCCCATATAATATATAAAATACAATGGGGCTGTACATATTATATCACCTACAAACATGCCCTAAATCCTAAACTGGAGCATGGTTCAAAATTACTAAGTTCAATACAGAACATAATTTTTTGCATCCATATAATTCACTCCCAACCTAAAGTTGTTTGGAGACAAATCCTTGGCTTAAAGCTTAGTTTTGATACTCTGTAGAGTTTATTAGTCTTCGAGTATCTCATTCCCTTGGAAACTGTTTGCAGGAAGGCATAATGCCAGTGGATAAAAAGGATAAATTCCTCAACTCTGAAGCATCTGAATTCGAGAAGGTTATTGACTTCTACATGTGTTCTCAGAGCGATGTTTTCGTACCAGCCCTCTCAGGTCTGTTCTATGCCAATGTAGCCGGTAAAAGAATCGCTTCTGGCAGAAGTCAGATACTTGTTCCAGCAGACATTTCTGGTTCGAAAGCTCCTGCTGCAGATTTCATATCCCCTTATATTTCAAAGAAGAACCACTTGGCTTATTCATGCTTCTGCTAACTCTTCATGTGAAGGATCCATGAAGAGAGCATTGAAAAGATTTCCTCCGGCACCTTCCAGAATGGTAATGTTTGCTAATTTACCTTGGTCAAGCTTTTTATTTGTAAAAAGACAAGCAGGTCGGTTACAGCATTTATACTTTTGATTGATTGTGGTCCTAAGTACCGAAAAAGAACTCTCTTCAAAGCGATTTTCGTAGAGGCTCTTCAATTTAACTGCGGATTCCTCTAAGATATAATCGTTAAATGTTGTCGAGTATATTTTAGATTTTGTATCTTAAATTCATTGTAACAACTTTTTGCATTCAGAAAATTTAGAGTGGAAAGTATTTGTTAATTGCTCAGGTTTCTTGTATATGGTGTTGGTTTGAATTTCATATGGTGGTTACAGGAAATAGCTTATATCTGTTTGCCAAATAGTTTTAAAAATTGAGTAATCATGAAGTATGGTTGAGAAATCTGTATTGTGCTTGATGACTAGTTAGGAAATGGAGGAGAGTTGGTCCTACTACCCTTGTATGTATAGGGAATAGGCTAGGACTAAGACACCATTGAACCTAATGACCATATGTTATATTGTCACTCAGTTTTCTGTTACTTTCCCGACACATAAATAAAGGAAGCATTTTTTATTTTGCCTCTTCCTATCATTAATTAGATGGTCCTAAATTTTGTATCTGGTTGTACAAAAGTTGATTGAATGTTTTTATGCCTCTTTCTTAAAAATTGAATTAAAGGTTGCATGAAATTGATACTTTAAAGTTGAAAAAATTTAGTTCAAAGTTTAAACTAAAATTTCTCCAAACTTTTCTGATCATCCTTTTGTAGAAAATTCTCTCTAATAACAATAATAATAATAATAATATATTTTTTTTTTACCTCATTTCCTTCACCAATCAACCAAATCTTTCATTCATTCCACTGGAAAATTTATAAACTACCAAACAATTTTATAAAACTCATACCAAGTCTACACAATTCATATTGTAGAACATTCTGGAATGATGAAGCCATTCAGACAATTCTAACTATCGTGGGTCCTTTATATTCATTTTTTATTTATTTTTATTTTATTTTATCAATAATGGCAGCAATATATTAAGCACCAGAAGAGGGTATATCCTCATTGAGTACATCAAGAAGCCATCAGTGCAAATCCCTAACCCCATGACTAATAGCCCACTTGCTAATCTCATATGCCTGTTACAAGATCCATGTATCACGGATCCATCCAAAGCTTGAAACCCATACTCCTTTACAACAAAAAACAATGTCTTGGACAATACCCATGTTTATTGATTGTTGAAATCTTTATGACCCTTTTGAACTGTCCAAAAGGGCATGCTGACAAATTTTCTGGACTGATCTTGAATTGTCCATTTTTGACCTAGCTGGAGAATTTTTTTTTATTGGAAATGACCCACAAATAAGGCGCTTTGAGTTATACCCTATTTCGACAAAATATCATCGTTTAAGGTTTCAAAACAAAAATTTTCTATCCCATAAGAGGCATGGTGAATATTTCGGAATTTTAATTACAATCATAGCCACATCGCAATCACCCTCAATATCTACTTCCTCATTGCCCGATTGTGATGACAATTCCAAACCTTCTCTTAATACCAAAGCCTCGGCCACCTCTGCATTAGCAACCACCGGAACAAACAAAGAGGCAACTTTTAACACTCCATCCATCATGATTACTCACCACAATCCCCATTTCCTGTCTACTGTTTAAACGCGGCATCAACATTCAATTTAAAACGACCAAGAGACGGAGCACTCCAAGAAATTTGAATGTGAACTTGAGCCGTGTTCTTTTTTAAGGATTTCCAAGGTTTCTTGAGTGTGATCCAGCTGGTAGCAGTTATTTGAACTCGTTTGTAATTGCTTCTTTATTTTGAATGAAGCTATAATTTAGAACTTGAATATTTTAGATAATTCTTTTTCATTAATCAATTATATTATTTTAAATTTTTATAAAGACAATAACACTTATTTTTTAATAAAGTTGTTATTATTAAATATGGTAATAACCTATTAAAGGATATTATTGTAAAATTAATAATAGAAATGTTTTAAAAAATATTATTACAAAGTAAATAAAAAATAATTTAATTATAAAATACTTATTATAATGCGTCACCAAATATTTTAATTCCAATAGCAATTCCAAACGGACTCAATATAATTTGAGGCTATAGGCGAAAAATATAATAGTGACATTTTACTATCTATATAATATTAAATCACAATTAATAATATTTAGTTAAGTAATAATTTTTTTTTTTTTCTCTCTTGCAACTGGGGTATATAAATGAAAGCAAAAATTGTACAAGCAGGCAAAAAAGAAAAAAATCCATGGAGTCCATCTCTCATCTACCTTCACTAATCCCGCAATTATAAGTTAAATAATTATTCAACAATTTATACATGTAATGATATAGGAAAAAAACTTCAAACGAGGTGAGAAAGGGAAAAAAATGTGAGATAATAAAAGATGGAATGAAAAAAATTAGAATGAATTTAATTAACTACCATTGAATCTCTACTACGGTAAGGAATTAATAATTTTAGGGGTCATAACTTTCGAAAAAAAATAAAATAGGGTAAGTCTAATAATATACAGAAATAATAGGAAATAATTTTTTAAAAAAGTCTTATGAAGTAATAATTTTTGGAGTCTTTCTAGGGTGTGACAAATTGCTCCAAAAACTTAGTAGTATACTGAAAGAAAAAAAAAAAAAAAAACCAAAAAAACAAAAAAAAACTTAGTAGTATATTTCCACGTAGGCCCACCAATTTGTTGCCAGACAACACAAAATGTATACCATGTTGGGCCCATTTATGGCCCAAGTAACTTTGGCAATATCGACCCAACCTATCAACCCATCACAAGTCCCTTCGTTACTCCAACGCTGAGTGGGCCTGTTGGCCCGTAAAACTCTTAATCGAACGGCCAGGATCCACTCACATACCATGAATGAATCCAAACCGTCGGATTACTTCAAGCCCTAAAACGAACCAACGCTACAAAACCCTAAATTTACTCTCTTTTCAGCAGGAGCTTAGAGCTTAAAGAAACCCTGCGACCAGTGCAGAGAGTCCGATCTTCAACACAGCAGGCGCAACTCGGTAAGTCGATTCAGTTTCTCATTTGAATATCATTTCAGTTTCCTTCTCAATCGATCTGTGATCAATACGATGAATCGACGAGTTGTTTTATAGATTTCTTCAAGCTAATCTTTAACCGGTGTTGATATCACATTTGGTATTGAAAAGATTTATTTCTTTATTTGTTTTTTTAAACTGTTTATGTTTATGTATCGTTTGGATGAATATGGGTATCGTTTATGTTTGATTTTTTTGATGGAAAATTGTAGGGGAAGTAAATGCATTGTATTTTTTGATGTTTTATATATTTGTCATTACTTGCGATCCTAAAACAATTATATGGTCTTGCTAAGTTGACCCAGTTAGTTCTTTCGGATTAGATTTTCTTTTTCTCGTGAAAGAAAATGTTATTGTTCTCTTATATTTTAAGTGTTCAACGAGCAAATGTATGGTTTTGTTAATGGCTCTGTACTGTGAAATTTATATTTACTCAAATGGGTCTTGGAATTTTGCGATATCCCTTTATTGGAAAATATAGGGCTAGGAAATAATGTAGAGTCCCTGCATATTCATAATCTATTTTAATAGATTATAATAATGAATCTGGTCATTCTTTTATTGTATTTTATTTATATTTTTATTTTGGATAGAATATATGTTTTGATGAATTTTGATTTGTTATTTTATTCAATTTTCGGTGATGTTATTGGTATAGAGATGGCTGAAAAGCAAGGGCCTGTGATTCCGGAGTCCGTGTTAAAGAAACAGAAGAGGAATGAGGAATGGGCTTTGGCAAAAAAGCAGGAGAATGAAGCTTTAAAGAAGAAGAATTCTGAGAACCGGAAGCTAAGTTTTATCAGAGCTAAGCAATACTCAAAGGAGTATGAGGAGCAGGTAACTCTTTATATGTTTCTTTTGATGCAACTTGTTTTCTTTATGTTACTTCTACAAGTAGAGTAGTGCTATGGTTTTAGAATGAACATTTAATTGGTTGTGCAGCAAAGGGAGCTGATTCAATTGAAGCGTGAGGCAAGATTGAAAGGGGGATTTTATGTTGACCCTGAAGCTAAGCTTTTGTTCATTATTCGTATCCGTGGGTATGTATCCATGTTATATTGTCTATTATTTTGACTGATATTGTGATGTATGTATCCATGTTATTTTACATAGATTGGAGTGTCATTTGGACTGATATTGTGATTTACTTAATATTTTTGTGGCTTTTGAAACTTTCAGTATCAATGCTATGCACCCGAAGACAAGGACGATATTGCAGCTTTTGCGTCTAAGACAGGTAACTTGGCATAATTTTATTTCTGCTTGTCATGGTTTTTAGTGTATGTTATACCGTAATAAGGCATCCTCCCTTTTTAGGACTTGGTGTTTCTAATAGTTATGCATATGTACTTGAAAAAAGAAATGGTTATTAATGTGGGAAAAAGAGTTTTAAGAATCAGCTTGTTTGGATATGTTTTAATTTTGCACAAGAATGACTTGATACCAATAGTTATGTATATTTGATAAAAAGAAGCTATCAAGCATCAGATGGTTTCCAAGAATGGCTTGATGCTAATAGTGATGGTTGTATCTCGTTGATATTTTCATTTAGGGACTGGTATTTTTCAGTACTTGTAAAACTATTGTGGAAAAGGTATACAGTGTCTAATGGTATAGATATGTACTATGTTGCGTATGAATGGTTCTGATCCACTTGTTCTGATGGGTGGATCTTGTACTAAGCAGTTCTATATGAACTTCGGTAGGTTGTGTGCTGATGTTGGCATTATCTGTTGCATTTAGTACCAGGGTAAGTAATGGTAAAATTAGGATGGGAGGAAGTAGTGCAAGGCAATGCTGAATTGTGAAATGCTCGAGTTTATCTGATTTGATGTGCAACTGTAATTGCTCTAGTACTCTAATCGGCAGCCAGCTTTTATGTTTGGGGAATGCCACAATGTAGTTACAGTTGGTGTCCTATTATTTTTGTTCAAAATGGTTGTTCAAATGTAACTTTTATAAGCTAAGCGTGCATTCTCCTTTTCCATATCATCTCTTACATCTTCTGATTAGTCTTGCTCTTCCAACACAGATATTCAATGGTGTCTTTCTGAAAGTGAACAAAGCAACCGTGAATATGCTGCGCAGGGTTGAACCTTATGTCACTTATGGGTATGTGGCTACTCATGTGACTTTTAATATTACCAGATTTGGAGTTCTATACAGACAATAATTTCAAATATCCATGTTTTTAGGTACCCCAATTTGAAGAGTGTGAGGGAACTGATTTACAAAAGGGGTTATGGCAAGCTAAATAAGCAGAGGATTGCCTTGACGGACAATTCGATCATTGAACAGGTTTGTTTTGTGCTAATTCTATGTTCAGTTGTAAAATGTATTTTGTATTGCTAAGATGCCACTATATACTACAGGGTCTGGGCAAAAACGGTATTATCTGCATTGAAGATCTTGTCCACGAGATCATGACAGTTGGGCCTCATTTTAAGGAGGCTAATAACTTCCTCTGGCCATTCAAACTTAAGGCACCACTGGGTGGTCTGAAGAAGAAGAGGAATCACTATGTTGAAGGAGGAGATGCTGGGAACCGTGAAGATAAAATCAATGAGCTCATCAGGAGGATGAATTAGATTTTGGTGTTATTCAGTTTTTGCAGGTTTGTGGTTCTTTTTGCTTCTCATTGGCAGTTGGAAGAATCTTAACTCAGTTTTTCTTCCTCTTTTAAAGTTGGAAAGTATTTTATTTTTCAAGTGTAAGACCTACCATGGTGTTGACAACTTTACTTTTAGTTTTGGCAGTTGTATCTTTGAGACTTTATTTCCTTCTGTTATTCTTGTTGGCTATCCTGGCAACGATGCGATGCTCATTCTATAGATAGATAGCATAAACATGTAGCTTTAAAAATGCAATCTGCTTGTGTCCTACATAGCTTCACTTGCTTTATGTAATGGTCTTCAAAGACTGATGATGAAACAGCTGACTGGTTGTTTCTGATTCTGCTTTCACATTGTGAAGCCCTTTATTTCTGGCTACCAAGATTTTGGCTGCTTCTAGTTTACCAATGATGAAATGTGTGACGGAACATTTTGGTTCTCAGTAATTGCTTTCAATTTCTGAAGCATTGATTAGGTGTGTTTTTGCTGCTTTTCATATTGGAAAATGTGAGTCTTTATTGATTACCCCATTCTGATATGGGGAGAAGAAAGGCAGGATTATGTGCTTTTAGGTATGGTTTACTTGTCACAGTGCTGTTACTTGCATTGTAATAATTGAGTAGTTTGGTGTACCAAACTACTAGATTCTCCCCATGCAACTTTAGCCCTAACAGGTGGGATTGAATCTCTGATAGAGGTGTTAATATGTTGGATTGTTGTAGAAGACCACGAGTTAGAATAGATGTTCTAGGCAGCCGGTAGTTCCAGGTTCAAAATGTGGGATGAGACACTACCACAGTTTGAACTTAGGTCAAGTGTACTGGACTTAGAAAGTAGTTGCAATACTTACAATCGTGCCTATGTAGAAGTGGAGTTAATTAGTTTAAATCGTGGGTTTGATGCTACACAGTTTGAAAAGGACTAGTGTACAGTATTTGAAGAACTGTTGCTTCTATAATTGTGCATGGAACTTGGAATAGAGGATTTTGTGCTTTGAGAGTGGTACTGCACAAAGATTGATCACCTCCCCTTCAATTGATGTCTTATAGTGTGTGATGTTGCATGCAGTCTAATGATGCCTTGCGTGCTTGTGTCGATATGGTAATGTTCACGAGGAAATCATCTAACCTTTTCATGAATGTTAATGCTTGTGTACGCCTAGGGTCGGACTGGTTTTCTTGAGATTAAGCCGAAGGATTGGTATTTTGTTTAGTTATTAGTAGCTGTTAAATTTGAGGATTTATGTAGTGATCTTTGGCCCAATTAAAATTGTTACGAGACATGTCAAAGTTACCGTAATAGCCCATTAGAGGTTATCAAATTCCTATAGAAAAGCATTTTGGTTTCAAATTCCTATAGAAACTTTCAACCCTATTTCTTTGAGTAGATGCTGCTATTTCCTATTGTTCATTCACTGGCTTTCAAAGATGTTTTCATAATCTCAATGGCAATGGTAATGTTGGAGGGTAAATTTATATTGAGGGTTTTTTTATTTATTTATTTTATTATAATTTCAATGGAGGCTATTTTAAAATTTTATTGGTATAAATGCCAAAAAAAAAAGAAAGTATAAATTTAAAGGTGTAAAATACAATAATAAAAAATTTCAGTGGGGTCAATGCCCCCAGCCCACAGGACAACCTTAGCTGCTCCCATGTACGTGATGAAGGAAACTTCTTATAAATTAATTCCAGTGTCCTTTGAAGAATTTATCAATAAAAAGGTAGAAAAGGGCACCCATCTCTCTTCTAGTGTTGAAGATTGGGGAGGTTTAAGTTGCCACGATAATGTATGGAAGTTTTCATGACTTTTATTTTTGGGTTTTGGTTAATTTCTCTACTTTTGTTTTTGCTTTTGTTTTTAGTACTGTCATGACTTTCCGGATAGGTGAGGCAAGCAGAAGATGTTATGCAACTAAAAATTTAAATAAAATTGATATATTCTCGGATAACCACAGATATGGTCATAGTCATATCTTAATTTCTCGTATATGACCGTGTCAAAAGTTGAATAATCTTTTTTGAGTCAGTCATGGCCTACTTGACTTCTACTAGAAGGCTAGCACAGAATCTCTAATAGACTCAAAAAAATAAAAATCACAGTCACTGCCTCACAACATAAATGCAAACCTATTATTCTACAACATCCAATAATTTGTTTACAAGACATAACACCCATATAAATAGCCAATCCTCTTCCTCCCCATCTTTTATAGCTGCAACCATCTCATTCCACTTTGAGTACTGTCAACCTTGAAGATGCCATTTCATCTTCTTCAAGTTGCCAACAATATATATATTTATATGTGTGTGTGTGTGTGTTTGTATGCATGTATGCATTCTTCTTTCTGGAGGACTTGAAGCATTTGCAAGCGGCGTCATTAGTTATCGGCTTGCACTGGGTTTATACATACACAACCATTTTCACCTTTAAGTCTAGTAGTAGCTGTTGATGGAGTCTAAAATCGCTTTGCTGCACTGTTTGTTTTTTTTTTTAAAGATAACGAGTACTCATCACCCATCTTGTTTACTTCTAATCTGCATGCGTGCTTCGACCACACGATCAACTATGTACTCTCTTTTTTTTTAATTAGTTCACGGCATGAACGTACAATGTTCAAACGGGAGGGGGAGTGAGAATACATGTTTTGCAGTATTCTCAATATATACAATTAAGCCAAATTAATTAAAACCTGTTCTACATACTTTCTTTTTTCGTTTTTTTTTCCTTCTCCTATAAACCAATTTGTTAATATTTCTTTTATATGTGTGTGTGTGCGTAACACACACGTGCAAGCTTTCGGTTGCAAAGCAACATTAGTTATGGATCTTGGGTGCTGACAATCTAAAACTTGTTGTAAATGCGTCTTTTTCTCCATGCCTGTTTCTATGGAGAGGAGATATATAGTGTTTATAACATATTATTATTACGAGTGTCATCTACATGATACCCGGGTTGGCTTATGTAAATATGATGACGTAATCAACAATCCATATATACACAAATAATAATAATAATAGATATATCAAGTTACAATGAAATTTATAAATTTTTGAACAAGAATTACAATATTATGAAATACTGGACATACACAACTCATTATATGTTGGTGTGGGTGGCATTAAGCTTTAGGAACTAAGCGTGTGGAGCAAATGGAACAGAAGAACTTGGTTTTGGTTTTGCGGGAGAAAGGAACACAAAACACAACCAATTGGGTGTCATAGTCCATGGCTAACACAGGTCCTCCACAGTAAGGGCAACCACCTCCTTTTGCTCCTCCTTTACTTTTCAACTTCTCTCTCAGATCAACTATTTGCAACCTTCCCATCTTTATTACGGATTATTTCGTAGACACCCTCCACAGCAACAGCTATAACAGAGCAATATATATAGGAACAAACCCACCATATATAATTCGTGTGTGGATTCCGTGAAGCAATTCGTGTGACTCTCCATTTCGTCATTTTCCTTGAAGTTTCTCGGACTTTATGGGCCGACGCGCTCATCACGAGGAGCCAACTTGCTTAGTTTCCACGAGATGTCGACGAAGGACTCCACAAGGCAATTAAAGTTGAACCTTTAAATTAAAAAAAAAAAAAAAAGGGGGGTTTCCGAAGGGTCAAAGGGTTCAAAAGGATATTTTATGAGCCTTTGTTGAAAATGACATTAGTGCCCATAAATTGACCTCTTCTTCCCTGGAGCTTGAGAAGTTTGTGGTCAAGCGGGATCCGTAAAACTCGCTATGATACAGAGAAATATGCAAGGAGCAAAGACACATCTTCTCAATTTGGAAATTGTAAGATGTCGATAATGTTGCCACTTGGTGGGGCCGGAAATGTCAACGAAAACCCTATCATTTTAAATTTGAATTAAGGTGCTAAAAAGGTCCAGGGGTTCAAAAGGGTCGTTATTATTTCTTTGAAATCACATTGCCATAAATTAACCTCATTCTTCACAAGTTTCTGTATAACTTACTGTGATAGAAAAATTGTTGGATAGGTGGTTCGAGTTGGGGGCATGGGCCGACGATTTATGTCATTTGGTGGAACTTAAATGTATGGAGACTAATGGGTCTAGGTCTGTAGGGTAGAAAAGAAATTATTAGATTATTGATATTTGACGGTCTAATTTCTCTGATTCAAACATATTTACAAAAATATATTAATATGCAAAGCTTTAATATTAGTTTTTGATTTGACAGAATTACGAGTGACAAGATGGTCTAAGAGAAAATTACATTGATATTCTTTAAAATTTTGTCAACATACACTCGTCCCTCTTATTTATCAAATTACACGACCTAGTTGGAGGTATATTTGTAATTTTACTTTATTTGACAAAATCTCAAAAAAAGTCAATGTGTTTATCCCATTATTTAATAGTAGAATTGCAAATCATTTTAACAATTTTTCATCTTGGTCTTAGTAAGTTTCCACGAAATGTGATGAAAAATTCCACTAGGCTCGGCTATCATTATTAATTTGAATTAAGGGGCTAAAAAGGGTTCAGAAGGGTAAAAAAAAATTGTCTTCAACGTGAAACTCTTCCCCCAACAACTAATGAAGAGACCTTGAGAAGTTTCTCGTCAACAAAAGCTGTCTTCAACGGACTACCATTGTGAAATTGCAATGATCTTTCGCTTGGAAGACTTTGACAGCAACTTATGAAAGAGATTTAATTAGCGACAACCATTCTTGGCTTGGAAGATTGGTGTTGGTGGGCACTCACTAACTTATTTATCTCTTTGTCAACTAAGGTCACCGTCCATTTGGTTTCTGTGTCACCTTCTCGCCTAATCAATCCCATCATTACTTCTTGCATTTTCCTTTCACAATATTTTATTAAATTGCTTTACCTTTTCTTAATATATTCAAATTACGGACTATCATTCACGCAAGCTTAAGATAAACAATATCAATATAAAATAACATCAAATTATCTGTTGCCAATAATCAAAAGGGTTAAATACAAAAAACCTCCCTAATATATAGACTTTGTGTAAAACTAGTCCCTATTTTTTAAAAATGTGTATGCAAGTCCACAAAATTCAAAAAAAGTGCTGAACTAGTCCCTTTGACCACTTTTTGGTCAAAATTGACATAAAATAAATTTAAAAATCATAATTTGCCCTTTTATCTTCCTATTCTACCCTTTTATTGAGTTGACTTAGTGTGTCATCAAAGCCACATCACAAATCCAAATTTGTTGAGTTGACTCAGTTACCCAACAAGTTCCACAACGGCGGCACCATCACCACCATCCCACATAAGGATGGCAAAAATCCCCAATCCGGTGGGGAATAGCCCCGCCCCCACCCCATTTAAAGCGGATTTGAAGAACCGTTTACTTAAATAGGGTGGGGATGGGGGTTAAAAAAAAAAACCCGGCCGATTGCGGGGGACTCAGATCCCCGCCCCGGATCCGCCCCGAAACTAGCCCCGATTAATATGTTAAATTACTAGTTTACCCTGCCATGTTAATATATTTACCAAATTAACCTTCAATATATATATATATATATATATATATATATATATATATATTGAAACCCTAGATTTACTTCACTTTCAATTGTTATATTTTGATAGTGAGGCGACAGCGGCAGTCGGCACTGGTAGATTTGACAAAAACAACAACCAAGAAGGAGCCAAGGCCTAAGCAACTAGTATATCAGGTACTCCTACCATCCTACACTATTTTCTTGTTTGGATTTAAAGTTATTTGAAGAGCCGATACAAAATATTTAGTTTTTATAACACTATTTTGGTACCCAATAATATAGATATTGCTTTACGCCATTGATGGGTGAAGTTTGCAGACAGGTTTTGGAGACGGCGTCGGAGGGTTTGACGAAGTAGAGGACAAGGACTTTGTCGATGGTGTCTATGATGATCGAATCCACTTCTTGCTTTTTCGTCAGCGTCGTCAATAGATAGCTCATCTTCTCTCTATATATCTCTCTCTCTTCCCCTTCCCTGGTGGTGGTGGTGGAATCACAGAACGTTTCCGTTCTCTTCTCCTCTTCGGCGACTAATTTGTGAATTTTATCATCCTTTTTAATTTTCAAATTTTACTTCTTTTTTTTTTTTTTAAGAAAAATAAAATGAAATTATTTCAAGGGCAAAAATAAATTAAATAATGGTTCTATCTAATATTTTCCTTACTATTTTTGGTACCCAATAATATAGTTCGTTCCCGTTTTGGATCTACATTCCAAATATTGTCTCGTGTTTCGTTTCTAATTAATTAGTTCGCATTTGAGCTCTTCAAATAGGTATGTATATATATATATATATATATATATATATTGCTCTCTCTCAATCTTGTCTCTGTAAGATTTGTATATTTGCAAGCAATGTCGTTGATTTTTATTGTTGCAAAACGGAGCTTTTTTGTTTGAATTTGATAACTATTTTGGAACTCATTGACATTTTTATCCTTTTTGTATGCATTATAATCTGGAATTGATTTAGAGTTCAATAATATTCTTATTAATAAGAATCGAATAAGTTGATTATAGTCCATATTCAAATTTTGGGAGGAAATACTTTTTTTTTTTTGCAAAGAAAATGAATAAGCTAATATTATAAAATGTCATTGTTTTCATCTTCACATTATTGTAATCTCTGTGGTTCTGCTACAGAACTTGTGTAGAATCAAAAAATAAAAAAGATTGGAATTTTCAAATTTAACCGATTATGGGGCGGGCGGGGGCGGTTATGGGGATTAGAAGCAAAAATTTAAACGGTTATGGAGCAGTTTTGGGATGGGAGTACCAAAATTAAACGGGGGCGGGGATAGGGAATGAAAAACCCGCCCCAAACTGTCCCATTGCCATCCCTAATCCCACCGCGTCCCCACACCTACACCAGCGGCGCCACAGTCGGCAATGAAAAACTATATTCATTGCGGCTGCAAGAAAGGGGAGAGAATACGAAGAGAGAGAGAGAGAGTAGAATAATTGCTTTGAACGCCAGGAAGGCTCCGGCCCAAATTCTCAATGTTGTTCCAATTCATGATACAAAATTTTTCATCTTCTTGTATGGTTTGATGAGGATTTATTATGAAAATTCACTATAACAATTAGTCTATTTGGGTAAGAGATATTTGTGGACCATTATGCCTGCAGTGATGGTGGTGGTGGCTCGCTGGAGAAGATGGTGGTGTGGCCGGAGGAAAGAGAGAGCATCTCATTTGATTTTTTTTTTGGCTTCTTCCTTTATCTTGGGCAACTTTTTTCCTAGTATGTTTGTACAAGTGTCATGCTTTTAACCCAATGTAGTGACGACATCAAAGATTAAGAAATTTCAAAATCACAATCTGGAATTGCTTCTTGGTTGCCAATCTGTGACTAATTGATCCCAAGGTTTCAACCTCTTTGCAGAAAAGATACATACAAACTCTCTGCCGCACTATCACCGCCTATCCTTGCATCGTCGGTTCCTCGTTGCCTCAAGCCCGCCGGTGCAATCATCCGTGATCGCCGGAATCGCGATCCTCCACGGCCGCCGTTTTGTTCAGTCCATTCAAACCGAGCTCAGCCGCTGTCCTTCATCGCCGGTACACATCATCATAATCACAAGAAACCCTAGGGTTCAAGTTAGCAGCAAAAAAATTAAATTGGGAAGGGATGAGAAATCTATTATTTGATATTCACTTGAAATGTCCTCTAGTTCTAATTGCAATTAAATTAACTGATTCGAATTCATACTCTACCGAATTGTCTGAGAGAAAATTAGGCGAATTATTTCACACCATAAACGCCGGCGAGAACTTATCATTGGTGAAAAAAAATCCCAAATGCCTCTCCTCTCTTCCCCTCCGACGACACCAACCCCAGCGCAATTCAAACACAATCAAACACAGAGAGCGAAGAGGAGGCCGAGTGCCGCACGCCCACTCGGCGAGGATGGGAGCGACGTACTCCGGTAGATTCAGTGCTCCGGTGAGCACAGAGAACGGTACGGCGACATACTTGTGTACGCCGGTGATGGACGGGTGATTTCCTTGTTGTCTTTCATGGGTTTTAGAGAGAGAGTTTACTGGATAGAGAGTATGAACCCTAATCTTCCTCGAGGCCATTCGTTCGTTTTTTTTTTTGATAAATGGATAAAATGATCATTTTACATAACAATGTATATATATTTAGTTATTAATATATTCAACTGGAGTGCGAATATTATCGTCATTTTACACCACCAGGAATCTATTCGCACGAAATTAATAATATAATTGATAATATAAGGATTTTTTTACCATATGAACTAAAATGCACTATATCAATAACAGAGAGTGTTTTTTTGCACTTTACCCTAATCAAAACCAGCCGACCAAAACCAAATTATGACCACTACTTCACATATTTTTTAGTTTTTTATTTTTATTTTTTTGTCTTAATCAGATTGAGGGCCTCCTTTATATGAATGAGTAAAATAATAGCAGGAACACAATCAACACACGAGTTTTTCATGGTTTGCCCCCACAGAAAACCGTCTACGTTGGTTGTACTCTATAGTATTGAAGGAATTGAAATAAAAATTTAAATCAATTTTCGCCCTCAAAGGAATTTAAACTTCCAACCTTCAATATGTGAGGTCAAAGTCCTTGCTAATAACTAATATTACTAATAAACTTTCCCTCCTTTCATTTTCTTGGCTTCCAATTATTTCCATTGGGCATGTTCCACTGTTCCACCCCTTTATACACGATGAATTTGTAACATCCCTACCCCTTTTTCTTAACAATTTGCAAAATTATCATATTCCCATTACTTGTATTCATGTAAATTAACCATAACATTTTAAATCAAATTTTTTTTTATTTAACCTAAAGAAAAAAGAAAAGAAAATAATGATAATTTTGTAAATTAAAAAAAAAAAAAAAAAAAACTAAATTAAATACAAACACTAGCTGTTCTCGAAACTATCAAACCCAGAATTCAAAAGGGCTGTTCAGCTAAAATGAAGGCTTGGATGAGGCTCTGAGCAGCACGTGTTTGATCTGGTGTTCCTGATAGCACAACCAGGCCTTCAGTAGCCCCAGCTCTTGGATCCTGAACAACCACCTTTGCCCCCGATATCTAAGTCACAAAAATAAATTATATGTCATCCAAGTCACAAAAAAATACCTATAATTAATGGACAAATTAATAGCCATATATATATTGCACATTTTTAATAATAAACAAATAATAAAGAAATGATAGGAGCAACAATACAGTAGTAACCATATACCTGTCTGATCTGACCCAGGTTACCATTATTCTCTCCATAGACATGGCTCAATAATGATCGAGGAATTACAACCTCGACACTTGTGCTTGCCGCAATGGATGCCTGATTTCTGCTGACCAAAAATAATTTAACATTACAAAAGGAAATCTTAAAAAATGATAATTAAGAAAATAGCAAGTCCCCACATCATAAACGGGAAAATGAACATTTCCCCATCTCTTCATTAATCCTCAAATGGTGGACATATATAAAACGAAATATAGTCAAAAATAGTATTTGCATTTTTTATTTTTTGTTGGGTGTGTGTGGGTGCCGTTTGCTATTGAGCTAAATTCAATTTCTTCCTTCCTCAATCTACTTGATATATCCCAATAAAAATAAAGGAAATATATGTTAGTAGTATTAACAAAGACCATCACATCATTGCTAGTTCACCTGAAGCTATATTTTTTAAATGACCATAAAAGTAGAATGAAGGAGAAAAAGGATCACCTTCCAATGGGACCACTAGTTGATGCTAAGCCTCCCCCAACATCAGCATTTCCCCTATGGCTGCCACTGCCAACTGCCTGGAAAGGGAAGGAAAGGGATACATATAAAGAAGATAGTCGCCAAAAATTGTCACTGATCGTTAAGTTGAGCCATCATTTCACTTCTACTGAGCACAAACCACTGACCTGAGAATTCCATCTTCTAGGTGAGGATTGTCTATCAAATAATGGTCCATGTCCAGGTCTCTCACTACCGTAAGGATACGGAACACGGTCTGGATAAGTTGGACCAACACGTTCAGTACCATATGAAAATCCTGGCTGGGGATCAAAGGATGGAGCTGGCATAGCTACACGGTCAATGGAACGAGGAAGTCCAACTGAGGAAGGGTAATGACGAGGGGGGGAAGCATTATCATGCCTTGGCCTATACAAAGGTGGGGGCATTTCTGGATAAGGGGACATATACTGTGAGCCTTCAACACTTGAAAGATGTGGATTCACTGGAAATACGGTCTCCCGAAGCCTGCCTGTAATTTGAAACAAAGCATCCTGTACAGACTGCAAGCTCCCAATAACCTGTCAAAAAGCACAGGGTCTTGAACATTCTACAGAAAAAAATTTAGAAATAGGAATCTGACCTTCCGCTAACTTGAAGCAAATGCATCAAATTTTGACATACATTACTTTAGATCCAAAAAACATATTTTTATTTCAGAGTCACATTCAAGATGATGGAGAACAAGCATCCAACTTAATCAATCCAGTAACAGTTGGAAGTTAACAGTCGGACACCACCAGCAGCTATGTTGATAACAATATCGGTGAATCGGTGATTTTAGGAGATCATATCGGCTGGACAATTTTGAAATTTTCAACTGTGTCTTAAAAGAAGCATATCACTAGGTCGACAATCAGCAAGATTTTATAACCTCACTGAAGTTTACTCGTCCAAACTAAAATTCTCCACATATTTGAAAAAATAACAGAGAAATAACAAGGAACATCCATTACCAACATAGAAAAGAAAAACAAAAATATGATAAAATAAACAAGAACTAGCAAGAAAACTTCCCCATAATACAGCACGACAGTAAAGGCCCCTTTTACAAGATATAATACTGAATGAAGAAACTTCAGTAAGAATTTTGTGGAGGCTAAACAAAATACCTCTTGCTTCTTATGATGGAAGCATTGGGAACATATTTGAGAAGTAAAGGGAACACTGAAAAGAAAATCTGCACTTCAAAGAATAATCCAAGATAAAACCATCATCAAACAATGTAACAGGATAACAACAATGATGCAAAATATAATAAAACCTTGAACTTACACAAGTGACTAGTGTTCTTGGCATGCTGCTTACTACTGTTTTAGGTGATCTAAGTGACGCTACTCCAAGTCAAAAGGTAATATTAACATGAAAACTGATATTATATAGTAGTTATGAAAAAGGAAGAAGAAAAAAGTAGTAATAATTTACATGCTCTACATATTTCTTCCCCAGATATAAGATGGGAATGGAAGAATAGTCTAGAAAGTGGAAGGACTGGGATGTTGCATCATCTTTTTTTCTTTTTTTCCCTAGTTGCATCATCTTGTTCACTACCCAAATTATCCTGATAACAACTATTGTGAACACGAGCGAGAAAACCCAAAAATAACAACAAAGGAACACTCTTAAATCTTCAATAAAAAGTCGGCTCTTTGAGCATTCAAACTAGTTATTTTAGTTATTTTCATCAATTTCTATCAAATAACTAAAATATATTATATTCAATTTCAGAAGGAACATCTGATATATAAGGAGTATCATTAGCTTATAAACTTGAAAACACAAGAATCATATTGATTAGACAGATGAAACAAGATATTTAAAAGCAAGTATCAGGCTAGTGTGACCGCTTAATTGAAGCCTTGAATTACCTGCACCACTTCATCATTCTGGGAACCACACTTTGGAACTTGTTCTTTTGGAAAAATACGAATACTAGCACCAGTAACTCTTCTCAGTTCAGCGATAATGATACCTCCCCTACCCAATAGACAACCTATTTGCTGTGAATGGACAAGAAGTCTAGCAACAACTGCAGCGCCCGGCTCAAATCCAATTTCAGCAATTCTACAGTGCACACGAATAACAGCTTCCTGTGCTACAGAATGTCTTTGATCTGCATTCTGCAAAATGTCAAAACAGATAGAATTATAAGAAACACTTAACACCCAAATAAAATTAAAATAAATAAAACTGATAATAAGTATCCAATAGGTATTCAATTTATCTAACTGCTAATGGCCACCATTTTGGACACCAACTCGTGGCATACTGAGTGTCGTAGCCATGGCATCAGAAAAGATGGTTGGAATCAAGGGCTTAAAGGTTTGATTCTTGCCATTTGTCATAAATGAAAGAAAAAAGAGGCAATGTTGGAATATGTAATTCTTTACGTGTCTAATTAGTCCAACAAAGAGGAAAGAGCATTTTCTAAGAGGGCACTCCATAGAATAAAATAATTATCATCTGTATTAATCACGTATAGTAGATTTCTCATGACCATCGTGCTCAATGCCAGGTCCCACACACTGCTCATGGTCCAAAACCCACTAGATCATGATATCAAATGCATTCATTGTCTCACCAATGACAAGTTTTCACTGTCAAACCAACAGTCAATGGTTTAATCCATCATCATGTGGTTTATCAACTCAGTTTAATTAATTCTTCCACACAGAGAACAACAGATCAATTGTCAATGATCATCCATTTCTGTGGCTCTTTGGATATATCGTCAACTATGAAGGGTCATTCAGCGGCGAATCCTAAACTATTGAGACTAGTCCAAGTCAAATGCTAACATTTAGTGCACAAGTGACTACACACAAAACTTTCACATAATAAGACTCACTAGAATATTACAGTTAGAAAGTCTACAAACTATGAGTACACATGCCTCTCGTGCAGAGATTACAACAACTTTTTCATCTGAATCAGGTGGCGCATCAGCAATCTTGATAGACGCACCAGTTTCAATCATCAATGCCCGTATGATAGAGCCGCCTTTTCCAATCAAGCTCCCAACTTTGTCAATTTGACACAACAACTTAAATACAACCTCCTCTTCATGGCCCATCCTGTAGCTGGCTCCAATATTTTCAGTACCCGTGACAGAAGAATAACCCCTGGAATGATGATCCACAGTATGAAAACCAGATGCAAACCCCTGTTGAGGAAATAAGTCCCCCTGGGCAGGCAAACCAGTACCCTGAAGTGCCATCCCCTCTGCCCTAGGGTTATCCTGAAGACAACCAGAAACAGATAATAGCGCTTTTCTCACAGCTGAATAGTTCCCTGTTATCTGGATATTGAACACAGAATTAATATAATAAAAGATATAAATAAGCATAAAAGGGATAAAATTGTAGTGAAATACTCATCACTGCAAAAACAAAGGGAGTGAAAATACCAAGCTCGTTATGAACACAAAAAAGGAGCAAACTATGAAAGACATTATAGTTCATAGGAAGATCAATAGAGATGACTCTTGAGCAAATTGGAATATACTGAACTCAATGAGGAAATGACCAATTGTATTTCCATAGCATACAAGCTATTCAGCTATATGCAGGTTTTGCAGGGCTGCAAGTTCTACTTTCAAAAAATCAAGGGTAACAAAACAAAGTATGTCAAATTTTCTTGAGCAAGTTAATGATTTTAGCAGCAGCAAGCAAGGTGATTAAAAAGTAATAATGATAAAGTTCAGGCTAGAAATCAAGAGACTGAGACTAGTTTGCCCACCAAAAAGTAAACTGCTACAAGCAAGACTGAGCCCCATATCTACTTGTTTCCTCTATTTCTATAGATTCAATTGTTAAAAATACAGCTTTATTCTTACTTATCAAAAAAAAATAAAAAATAAAGCTTTATTCTCCCTAATATCATCACTGCTTTGGAAAGGATATAAAATTTTTCAGGCCTATTTTGGGAGTTATTCTACTTTATGAGGGTACCATGAAGTCCTCAACAAAAAAGAGCCACCTATGTCCCTGCTTTTAAAATACTCTTGACTTTGAACATCTTTGCAAATTCTCTTTCACTTCCTTCTTTCTTGTATATGCAAATATATGTTTGTCTCACTACCACTTTCCAAAAACCACTTGGCTTGTTAGTATATGCCACTTCACTAAAAGATCAGAACCCTGATGACAAATTCAAGGCCAGCTGGCTGCTAGGCAACGACACATAGGGTTGGTAGGTTGACAGGCAAGGGTTGGGGAAAAAGGCATAAGGCATTTCATGTTAAGAAGACATCATAGTGTAAGGGGAAATTTTTTACTTCAGTGGGTTGCCTATCAATATACAATTTTAGGATGAGGGAGTCACATTCCTAAGTTCCTTTGCACTCTTTCCTACTTTGTTGTACTCATAAACAGCAAATTAAAATTCTTCTGAACATAAAGAAGCATGACACGAATTGTAGGAAAGCACGTCATTATTTTTTCTCTTTTTTTTCTTTTTTATTTTTTTCCCCATTCAGATTTGACCTCATAACTACAACCTATCGCGTCGGCCATGTCATCACTTAAGTAGCATCTTCGAGGTATTAACAAGTGTTTTTCTCTCATCTCAGAAACTTAAAAAGTCTAAAACTCCTATAACATTTTGAGAAAGTTAAAAGATGATGCGATATTTTCTCTCTCTTAATAATTTCTCAGGAACATTACTTATCTTTTTATATTGTTCATTTGTATATAGATTTGATTTATTTTTATCAACATGACCTCCACGTTTTATTAACCAATGCTACATGGAACAGGCACTAAACAAGAAAACACATCTAAATACACTAACACAACAACACTAAAAAGGTAGGAAAGGAATCAGATGAGCACCCAAAAATATATAGAAGTATAATAATACACTACATGCAATGTATTATAATCAACTCTGAAAAACCTATTTTGAATTACTTGAAGTTGGTCACATCATTGCACCTAACCAAACTATCTAACCAGTTCTCACTTTATTGAGGTGTACCTTCAGAATTTTTGAGATGTACGTGGATCAAATAGTATGTCAAAAGCACTGCTCTATTTAACCTAACCTACTTAAATATATGATTAACATTGTTGGGGTAATTTCTCAACCATTTCTGAGTCAATTGTTAATTTTTGATTGTTTCAGCACTCAAATTATAATAAAATTATGATTGTTTCAGCACTCAAATTATAATAAAATTACATAAGCATGAACATAAAGCATGAATAATATAGTACGATAAAAAGGGTTAAAAAATACACATAATTGAAACAAAAAATTACCTGAATCAACTCATCGCCCGGAGAGGCACACACCGGAAGATGTTCCTTGGGCAAAACCCTAACTTGAGCACCAGTGTCATGCCTTATCTTTTCCACAATCTTCCCTCCTCTCCCAAGCACACAACCAACCTGATTACTAGGCGCCAACAATCTAAACGACACCGCTTCCTGCGCACCTGCATTATCACCTTCTTCCTTTTTCTCTTCCCCTCTCTCACTCTCTGCCGAGACGCCACCTCTTTCTTCATCCACCTTCAACATCTTCTCAAAAACCCTAACCAGTGCCAGCTGCGCCGGCGACCCCTCGTCCTCACCGTTCCAATTCGAGCTCGAATTCGCCGATTCTCCACCGTTGGTATCAAAATTATCGGTGCTCTGCTTTCCATCAACACTAGAACTGGTCTCTTTCTTGGTTGAATCGGCGACGATTACGATGACGCGCTCTTCGCAACCGGGAATGTAATCGTCGATGCGAATCTTTGCGCCGGTCTCTTCGCGGAGTTGGCGGACGATTGCGCCTCCTTTGCCGATGACACTGCCGGTGCGATTCCCCGGGCAGAGGATGCGGAAAAGGGTGAGAGGAGGCGGTGGTTGCTTGAAGGTGAGGGATGAGGGGGCGGCGGAAGAGGAGGAGGACGATGTCGACGGTGGTGGATGGGGGTGGCGTCGTTTGGTGGAAGAAGTGGTGGTGTAGGGTTCGATTCTGTCAACTGTGGAGGAGTCGTAGTGAGTCTTTGGCACGAACGAAGCTTCCATTAGAGGACACTAATAGAGACGCATAAATCTAGAGAGAAAAAGGGCATGCTGGTGTGCTTATTTTGTACTACTCGTTTGACTTTTTCTCGCTTCGCTTTGACTCTTGTGCCAATAAGCCTAATATTATGTATACTACTGTTTACTGCACAAATTCAAAGTTACAAGAGACTATTAATTGCGAACAAACAATTTTGTAAGAATTTGAACTGAATTAAATAGAATATTTTGGACAAAATTTTATTTATTTATTCATCTATTTTATTTTTGATATTACAAAGCAGAGAAAGCTAAGAAACATTTGCTTACAAAAATTACTGTAATCCAAGGGTCAAGTGCATAAAAACACTATTAAAGTATGTTTACAGTGAATATTACATTCCTTAAGTATAAAAAATATCCTTAACGTTTCAATTAGGCATAAATAGGTCTCTGATAAATTTAAACACTAAGTTAACTAAACTATCCTTACTGAATCATTTTATAAAATATATAGAAATAAATAAATTTATAAAATGACCGAAAATGACACTATTAGAGAACGCCCCTCACATGCAAAAAAAAATACCCCTAAGTTTAAATTTAGTGTAAATAGGTCTCTTTGACAAATTTAAACCATAATTTGACTAAATTACCCTTACTGAACCATTTTATAAAATATATAAAAATAAATAATTTTGTAAAATGACCGAAAATGACACTATTGGAGGACGCCGGCAATGGACAAGTAAAGATAAAAATAGAAATTAAAAATAAAATCATAAAAGAAACGTAAAGATAAAAATTGAAAATAAAGAACGAAAATAAAGTGCAAACTAAAACAAACAAATCTCCTTCCAAACTCCAAAAACCAATGCACACTAATATTGGGATTTTTTCTTTTCTTTTTCCTCCTTTTTTTTTTTTTTTGTTTAATAGTGTTGGTACGGAAAAATAAATAAATAAAATTAGTATAAAACAATAAACTGAAATCTCAAAAAATTCAAATTCTCGTTTTACAAATTTTCAAAGTTTCAAAAAAAAAAAAAAGGAGGTAATGTGAACATAACACCGTTGTACTATGAGATTAGTAGCATATATACCCCCTCAGGTATTTTCAGAATAGTAAAAGGGCAAAACGAGTATTACAGCATTAATTTATGTCAAATTTTTTATTAAGAGGTATTTTTGCACAATGTTAAAAGATTAAGAGTATTTTTTGCACACTTTTTTAAATACGGTAAAAATGCTAGATGGAATATACTTTAGGGATATTTTCTGCAGTTGTCCCATTACCCTAAATCAAACTTTATCTGACTCAAATTTTGTGACGATAATGTTTCTTCTTTCACCTATTTAAGAGTGCATTTTTGGTGCCTAAAATCAATGTGCAATATGCTAACAAAGAAATAAATAGTTGTAGATTTATTAATATATTTATGTAAATGATGGTTAATTTTAGAAAAAGCTTTCTCACACTCTCTCTCAAATATAAATATAATCTATATCTAACATGTAGGATAAGGTTTAGTCAAGAAATCAATCAATTAATTTTTAATTTTTAAATCTCTCACATAGGTTTTTGCACGCTCTCCCTTTCCTTTCGCATTGTCAATTCTAAAGGACACATTTTTCTCAAACGAGTTTGTTATCATGAAAGACACTCAGAGAGATTCAAATAAAAAATCCAAAGCCTATTTCAAACATTTCTCACCACCCTCCATGAGATAGTATTCAAATTTATAAATAAAATATTCTTTTACTTTTTGGTTCTGACATTTGATACCTTATATAATAGGGTTAAGTGCAAATAACTCCCCACTATTATCGATGTAGTGCAAAATAGTTCATATATAGTGTAACATACCCTTATACTATTGATTTGATGCAAATAGTCCTCTGGAGACTTAAAATGACGATAATACCCTCATTTTACTAGAATAAATTAATAAATAATTTTTAGGGCCATGTAAAATGGCCATTTTGTCCAATTACTATAATTTTTTATCTGTCTACAACCTTTACCAAATAGATATATATATATATATATATATATATATATATATAGTTGAATCCTAAAAACCATCACCATCATTGTTATTACATTGTACACCACCACCAGCCCCAACAATCCCATCATAGTTTCTGAATCTCCGATGACCCAAATGTCTCTGGCAACAAACCGAACTTCGTATCCTTAGGCAATTCATACTCCAAAACTATATTCCCAGTCATCATCAAGTACAATTTCATTTAAAAATAGTTGGGACTTTGGTAGTGTTCTTGATCGCCAATGCGGCTTGGACTCTAATATAATTATGCGACATGAATTCAGCATCGAACTACCACTATCGGCTAAATACGTCGGTGCTATCGTTAAAACTCAATCCTCACTGGTCTGAACCACAAGGGTTTCATAGGCCTCAATTTATACTCTCTCAGTATATATATATGTGTGTGTGTGTGTGTGTGTGTGTGTGTGTGTGTGTGTGCATATATTACCCTCATCCTTATTCTCTCTCTTGTCTGCCTACTAGGGCCACCTCCCTCATCACTTCCACCACCACAATGAACACAATTCATGAACACTACCCACCCTTCAACCACCCATGCCCCTGTTACACCTTTGACACGTCTTTGGGGTGGGCTTGCCACCACCTCTACTTCACTCTAATCGACGGCTGAAGGGGTACAAGGTTTTGACAATGGAGATGGCCTTTGATATCCCTACCAATTGAAATTGAACTTGAAATTAAAATTGATCCTAATGATAATGGAAAAGCACAGAAAACATAGGGCCATAGGTTGAATATAAATTGAGGTGGGTCTGGTTGTAATTGTAAAATTGAGGTCCATGGAGTCTCGATTTTAGTGGTTGAGGCGTGCAAGGGTGATGAAACCACCAGATGGGTTGCAATTGCGAAGGAAAAATGATGATGAAGGAACTGTGATTGCATCGTCCAAAGGGCTGCGATGGAATTGCTATTGAATGATATGATGGGAAAATACAAGCTTTTAAACTTTTTGAGGGATTTTCATACATGGATCTTGATTCATCATATAGAGACAAGTTTTATGTAAAAATAAAGATGATAAATCATTCAATTATTAGATTGAATACTTACATCAAATGTTTGAGTAAACTTTTAAATTTTTCTTTTAAAGTGAATATTCTCACTTATTGTAGATCACTTAGCAAGATCCTTTCTCGTTCTTCTTGGTAGTGATCTTCCCTTTAGGAATCACCCATATACCTTAATGAATGACCTTGGAAACAAAGCTTGTGGTAACCTCCTTTAGATGAGAAAGCAAACCCTAAAAAATCTAGAAAAAGAAAATATATGTTTCTGTCTTTTTCAATATTACGTAAAATATATATGGACCCATGTATGTATAGGCAAAATAAAAATAAAGAATAAATACAATATATTCTTCTCAATTTCTAATTCACATATCTCAAATTTATATCATTCCAATATTAACTTGGGCTATGGGTGAGAATCCCTTAGGCTTACCATTTTCTTGGCTACTATAAATTAATAATTGGTCTGGTCCATTAAATCATGAACCCAATTCAATTAATTCATAAATTAATTTTTACTCCACTAAAAGAAATTAATTGCACTCCAATAAAATAGTAAATAACCTCTGAGTCAATGTTGCACTTTGACCCCTCTATGCATAATTATTTATCGAATTATAAAGTCATCAATCCGACAACATAATTAATATAATTATTTTGTTACCTTTGATTATTTCCGGCTTGATCACAATAAAAATTTGTTTGACAAAAATAATATTTTACTAAATAAATATATATAGAAAACATTTTGTCTAAAACATACAAATGCCTTCGAATTTAATTTGTGATTAACCATAATCAATACAAAAAAAATACAAGTACCACTGATGCAAATATTAAGAATATAACCCTGTAATTATTAATTACATAACTACCTAAAGTGCCGGTCTAAAGATCCCGAAGTATCCGCCAAACAAATCAAAGTAATTATTAATTAATAAAAGAGTCCATACTTCTCTCATACTTGAGAGTCAAAAGCCACGACTGTGATAAAGAGTAATTGCATACGACGGCTCTCGCAATATATCTTAACCTATCGTGGACTCTGTTAAAGTCTTAGTTAATTAAATGTCAATCCATAATTACCGACTTTGAAACATTTATGATTACTAATTTATAACTTAGTATTAATTGTCATTACATACATATATAAATATATTTTGTAATCAAGTGTACACAATCAATTCCATAATGAATCGAAAAAATAATGCATTTCATTCACCAATTGTATAATGTCTTAATAATAATATTTAGATAAGGAACCATGACTTTTACAATCCAAATAAGAATTTATTATGCTAGGGCACATAAATCCCAACACAATGACGTTGTAGGAGCAACAATGGAGATGGTGATGGTGATTTTGACGCCAGCGGTGATGGTGGTTCGGAAGGTGGCAATGAAGGCGGTGATTAACGCCCGGAAGATAAAACAGTAAGAAAAGAGGGGGGGGGGGGGGGGGATCGTATATGTGAAAGGGGCAAAATAGGAACAAAAAAGGTAAAATCAGGTTTTCATATATATATATTTTTTGTCAAAAAGTTGTCAAATGAGTTTATTTGTACATTTTTTGAATATTATAGACTGAAATGCACATTTTCAAAAAGGAGAAACTCATTGTGCACATAACCTATATTACAATTTTTTTTTTTTTTTTTGCATTTGACCCTATATAATATTATACCTATATAGTCAAAGCAAATGCGACAATGTTATAATTTATAGGGAAATGATATTTTTGACAACTTTAATACCTGACTTAAAACCGACCAAGGTAAAAATATGACGTGTTATTATAAAATTTTAACTTAAATAAGCATCATTACTACTCCAGTTTGTTTTCATAAAATACGTCCATTTTCCTTTCTTTATCTACCCAGTTTTTCATAATTCATTTCGTTATCTTTTCAGTTTTCAATAATCATCATCTTCTTTTTCATTTTCACAGTATCTTTCATGGTATTCAAATAGAAGAATTTGATTGGTACAAAATCTAGAACAAAAACTGCAATAATTTTCAACTTT